ATGTACAGCTATAGGTCAGAGGTTGTGCAGGTGTGCCACATAGATAAAAACATAAATGCTTGATGCAATTATTTTGGTGGAAAGGTGCTAAGGTATGAACAGTAACAGAGATTAACATGCAAAATATCAGTTTTATTGATTTTCAAAATAAACAGTTAAAGTCATTATTGCTTGGACATTTACAGTATAAATAGTATAAACATGATGCAAAGAGTAACTTAAAACACTGCACAATTTGTCTAGTCTATCGAAGTCCTGTCATCTTACCCTGAAAACAACTCCACTCTTTAAACCGAAAAGTGTATGAAGTGTTCCCATTCACTTCTTTTGTCTAAGTACAGATCTGGTTATGTGTCACATGACTAAATCACTTTTCAGGTATAGTAACATGATTCTCATAAACAAAATGGCCAATATAAAGCTATAAGTGGATTATATGGGAGTTTTCCAGAGTTTATGTCTCAAATAGCTCATCTTCACGACTTCAAAGTAATTTCTTGATCAACATTGGCAAAATGATGTACTCGCAAATGATTTTCACTGTCACATCCTTGGAGATTTTACAAAGTTTATCACTGCCAGGGGATGACTGAACTACTGGCTCTCACTGTCACATCCTGGGAGATGTAAGTTACAATGTCTATCATTACTAGGAGCTAACCGAGCTACAGGCTCTCACTGTCACATCCTGGGAGATGTAAGTTACAATGTCTATCATTACCAGGAGCTAACTGAGCTACAGGCTCTCACTGTCACATCCTTGGAGATGTAAGTTACAATGTCTATCATTACCAGGAGCTAACTGGGCTACAGGCTCGCACTGTCACATATATCTTTGCCTCAAGTTGACTTAATTGCAGGCTGTCACTGTTTCAGCTAGGGGAGATGAAAGTTACAATATCTTATCAATCCCAGGTGTTGACTAAACTGCTGGCTCTCCTTGTTACATCCTGAGAGATTTAAGTTGCATTATGTATCACTAGATACCAGGGAATGACTGAGCAGGCTCTCTCTGTCACACCCTTGGAGATGTGAGGTACATTGTCTATCACTACCAGATGATGACTGAGCAGGCTCTGACTGTCACACCCTTGGAGATGTGAGGTACATTGTCTATCACTACCAGATGATGACTGAGCAGGTTCTGACTGTCACACCCTTGGAGATGTGAGGTACATTGTCTATCACTACCAGATGATGACTGAGCAGGCTCTAACTGTCACACCCTTGGAGATGTGAGGTACATTGTCTATCACTACCAGATGATGACTGAGCAGGCTCTGACTGTCACACCCTTAGAGATGTGAGGTACATTGTCTTTCACTACCAGATGATGACTGAACATCAGACTCTGACTGTCACACCCTTGGAGATGTGAGGTACATTGTCTATCACTACCAGATGATGACTGAACACCAGGTTCTGACTGTCACACCCTTGGAGATGTGAGGTACATTGTCTATCACTACCAGATGATGAATGAGCAGGCTCTAACTGTCACACCCTTGGAGATGTGAGGTACATTGTCTATCACTACCAGATGATGACTTAGCAGGCTCTGACTGTCACACCCTTGGAGATGTGAGGTACATTGTCTATCACTACCAGATGATGACTGAACACCTGGCTCTCTGTCACACCCTTGGAGATGTGAGGTACATTGTCTATCACTATCAGAGGATAATTTGGCAGACTTTACGAATGTGACAATTTAAAAGATATAATGTTCTGTTTATTTATAATCACTGACAGATTTTTTGTTAATTCTATTTCTTGAGATTTACTAGATATTGGTCATTCTGAAATTTCATTAGTAGGGCCCCCTTGGTCCTTTATGGTGCCTGTTTGATTATGTGACTGATCAGAAAAAACAAATGGCTGACAGGCAGCCATCTTGGATTTGGCAGTTTAAATTTATTATTGCTCTTTCTTAAGAGGAATTCAAAATAAAAGGCAAATACAAGAGAAAGAATGAAAAAGGTCCAACTTTTTATTGATTTGCTAACTGTATAGCAATACTTAGCCACAACTTAAAATATTTGTTTATCTTATAACCACAGGATGTGAATCATTTTTTGTGTGAAATGTTTCTATGAATTCAACATTCTGTGCACTTTGTCTTGCTTGAATGGACAAAAAAATGGTAACACAAGATAACTTTCCTTTATCAAGTGATGATATGACATTCCATCGTATGACGTCACAAGCTTGCTAATTCTTGTTTGACAACAAATGTATTATCTGATGTAAGATGAATGCCCTGGCCTCTCACTGGTTATGATATAACATAACATCCTTGTGCCTCACTTGATGTGATATAGCATGACATCCTGGCATCCCACATGATGATATAACATGGACCCCTTGACCTCTAGTTGTATATGATATAACATGGACATACATGCCTCTCATTGGATATCATATAGCATGACACATAGGCCACTTACTGGATATTATATAACATGAACATACTGGCCTGCCACTTGATATGATATTATCATCCGGACCTCTCACTGGATATGATATAACATGGTCAACCTAACCTCTCTTTGGATATAATAGAACATGACACTCATGCTTCTCACTGGATATGGAAAAAGATGGACACTGTAGCCTCTCAATAGATAGTAAATAACATGGATACCATGGCCTCTCAATGGATATGATATAACATGGACACCTAGCCTCTCAATGGATATGATATAACATGGACACCTGGCCTCTCAATGGATATGATATAACATGGACACCTGGCCTCTCAATGGATATGATATAACATGGACACCTGGCCTCTCAATGGATATGATATAACATGGACACCTGGCCTCTCAACGGATATGATATAACATGGACACCATGGCCTCTCAATGGATATGATATAACATGGACACCATGGCCTCTCAATAGATATGATAAAACATGGACACCATGGCCTCTCAATGGATATGATATAACATGGACACCATGGCCTCTCAATGGAATTAATGTTGAGTCCATGGCATACTCGTCTGACACTGGACTGATATATAATGTTTAATTAAAGTCATGCATATGCTGGCTTATGGCCTCTCCTTATCTTCTAACTGGGTTTGATAAAATGGCAACAGATACTTGGCCTCTGATGAAAGACATGTTTTGTTGTTTGGGCTTGAACAGTCAGGATCATTATTAAGCCAAGTCTCCTTTAAGTAGTAGATGGATACCTTACTGAATACCTTGCAGATATCTCACAACGTGTAATGAGAGCAATTTGTATAAATTGCCTTGCTCAAGGACACAACAGCACAGGACAATTTGTGATCTTAACTTCCCAAAAAACACAATCTGCCTCAGGAAGAGTTTGAACCACACACCTTGGTACTTGAATTTAGATTAAGATGCTCTAACATTGGAGGCATCCTCGGTCAATCTTGGTATCAATATGTAAACCAGCTACATGGCATGATATTGGAAAATATAAATTATGAAGTTAGCTAGAAAACAGCTGCATGCCTAAGATTTTAAAGAAACAGGTTATGGTTTTTACTGTGTACTTGTGATGACTTCTCTTTAGAAAAGGAATTACCATCTGTCTGTAGTATACACAGCGCAGAAAAGATATGTTTAAAAAAAACCTAAAAATCACCATAGAAGAAAAAACGTAAGAATTCTTGTCTGCTGCGATGTTCAACTGTTGTGAGGTTACAGAGTTATCCAGCATATGGTTGTAGTTAGATGAGGCCTCTGTATACTACACTTAAGAACATGGGCTAGAGGGAGGGGTGTCTTGTTGATGAATCAGAAATGGGCCTCCACTTCAGAAATGAATATAGTGAAACTTATAATATAGGACTAATGTCTGGGTCGTGAATGTTAACATTGGTGTACTCTAGTGTAGACTGATACTGAACTTGTAAATATATAAATATAAACAGTATTTTTATCATATAAATAGAAACAGCATCTGAGTGCAGTACCATTTTTTGGTTTATATGAGTTGGCCTGTGTTGAAAAGTGATGAAGAATTTCCTCTAGAAAACAGTTGGTATTGAATAACATTTGCATGTTTTCAAAAAATCTTTTGCGCACTTTATGATAAAAATAGATTTATTCTCTACAATATTCATATACGATATTACTTATCAAACTTATTCTGTCCAGTATGATACATGTATAATAGAACCACTATGACATCATCTTTTTGATATCATTAAAGGATGACATCACAGCATTGTTAAAATCTGAAGCTTTTATAAGTTGATTATATGTGTTTTGTTTATTGATGTCTGTGTCATATTAACTTTATTAAATTTTCCAATGACTTGATATGACACTTACCTAAATGCTTGTGTCACGTTAAATTCTATCACATAGCTACCTTGTTATCCATATTACAACATGCACCCATCACATGACTTTTGTGTTATTCACTGCCTGCCACAACACACATTAATATGACCCGGCAAACCTGTGATTGTTTGAAGGCTCCCATTGTTTCCTTTATGACTTCATAGCTTCATGGCATTGTGATGTTACCAAGGAAAGAGATAGAGAGTGAGAATAACACCAATTTAGATTGTTTGAAAAGTTTCTGACTTGTATGATAAAATCTTTGGTATTGTACATGTTAATTTTTAGTATTGTATGATCCTATCATTTCTATCTATGTGTTCAGGAAAATATCCTTTTTGCACATAGATTTGTATCTGTATATATTCTTAGTCATGGATATCTTTCGACCTCAGATCAAACTCTTATTTTTGCAATGTTTGAAATTTGTATACTAAATACATCAAAATACATAAACATTTCAGCTGTAACAGGAAATATTATCACCCAACTGTTTATTTCTCCCTTTTTGTGAAAACGCACAACAGACAAAATTAAACAGCGGCAAAAAAGTTCCCTGTATATACATACAATACAATATACACATTATGTAACTGAAAATGGGTTTTTGAATCATCAGTTCATTTTAAAATTTTAAAATATATTTGAAGTTTGCATTTGAAACTTTTCAGCTACCTGCCTTATCTTCAAATATCTAGTAAAAGGAATTGACGAGGCTAAGAAAGAATTTGACAAGGATGGAGCTTCTGAGGATGTACGGAAGGTGCTGGATTATCTTGTTACCGTGGATACCATAAAACACTCCACAGATGACCACCAGGTGGCATGCCTGGTTGAAAAACACAAATTTGGTTTGGAGAGTATACCTACCAAACTCCTTAATTCTAAAGAGGTACAGTAAAACCTATAATGAAACTGTTTGATGCAAAAATTTTGTTTGTTACAATAAAATAATTGTCATTTCATTTCTGTGGTCCTACCAAATGAGTCAGTTTGATAGGAATTTGTCCATATGGAAAAAATGCATTGAAAGAATTTTGCTGACATATTTTCATATCTCTATATTTTTGTCTGAAATGATGCAATAATGTATGAAGTCCAAGGTATTCTGTCTCTCTGGGCACAAAGTTGACTGCTGGCCCCATCCCCTTTACCTCGTCTGGTGAATATGCATATTTTGAAGGCCAAACAAGGTCACATGATGTGTGACGTCATAGTCCTACTTCAGCGATAGGAAGGCTCTTATTTACTTGATAAGACACTACTAAACAAGACATTTGCAATCATTAACAATTGTTTTAAAGTGAAACCTAGCTTAGTATACAGTGTATTGTATACATAATATATGTATATTATATTATATATGATGTATGACTGGAAAAAATAAAGTGTTTTTCTTTCTTTCATTATCTATTTACATGTATTTTGTTAAGGGAAGCCATGACAGGACATGACTATTGCAGTTGTGTGAACAGCCTTCTCTGAGATGATACATAGTCTAGATGCCTTGAATAATTAGAAGAAAAACTAGAGTTAATTGTTATATCTAACTAGGTTTTTTCTTTGTGTGAACTTTAATGATAGCAATGTCATTAAAATGCCAAGATTGATCGTTACATAATGCACATTTGTAGATGGACATTATTATCAACAGATCATAGGAATCAAATGTATGATCAGAAATCTTCTGGAAAATAACTAACTCTCGTCATATTTCATTATCTATTCTCAGAAATGGATAAATTTCAAGACCAAAGCTAGAGGTTGTAAGTCCTGGGTTCAATTCCTGGTTAAGTAGTTGATGATTGCACTTAATATGATGAATATAAACATTGCACTTGTTTAATCGGTTGTTAAACCAGGGGTTTTCCTTAAAACGAGCTCAATACATTACATGGATATTTTGTTTTGTACAGGTTTGGCGGGCCCTGATCAATGTTATTCCTATGACAACATTACTACAGTATTTTGGGAAACTGGCAGCTGTTGGGCTGTTAGAAGCTTCATGTGAAACCAGTAAAGTTTTGGTAGAGAAGCTGCAGGATGTTGATGCTCTCAAGGAAGGGAGGTAATCTTTTCATTATTGATTAACTGGGTGTAAAATTTGATTTGTAGACTTGCTGGTGAACTGTCTAATTAAGTACTTTAAGACAGACTTGTTTCAGATTCAAAGTGTACATTTCATTAAAATATTTGTTCAAGTTGTATAAGTGAATGTTTATCCAAATGAAAAAATATAGAATAAATTTTGGCAATTCCTTTTTTTGGATAGGGTGGACCCATTGTCTGTCCTTCTGGCCTCAAGAATATATGAACAAGGCAAGGGGGGCAAGCCCAAGTGGTCACGAAATGAGGAGATAGTTCATGCCCTTGACGCGGCCTTTGATTCTGCAATTAAGGTACAATCACATGAAACGATTCTTCAACAAATACTTGCTATATTTTATTCTGATGTGTTTAGATTATTTATTGGAATTTTCACTTAATTTGTCAATCTTTGTTTAGCACCATACATTTATACAGATATTTCTTGAAAAATGATCTTCATATTGTTATTTCCCAATGGAAACTAGAAAGCAATCTGAAGATCCTTAAGAAAAACCTTCAGTTTGGCAGGTAACTGATCATCCTTTACTACACAATGGATTAATCAAACCAGTGCAATCAATGTAAGGGAAAAGGAGTGATCAACATTTAATGTTTCTGAAATGTTTCTTTAAGCAGATAAACTAGAACAGGTTATTGTGTCTATGTTTGAGTGTATAAACTGACAATTTCTGTTTGTACCTTACATTCTTCATTTTCTTATTTGGTTGAAATTCTATTCAAGTATTTAGCATTTAATAAGTTGACATTACAGATCACTGTTTCCATAGTGATGGAAGATTTGATGTTGGTTTTAAGCAGTTTGGCCAGTTTTAGGAACCATAGCATTCTAATGCTTACTTTTCTCACAGAAAAACATGGAGGCTACGAAAAAACGTTACTTAGTGGCAGTGCGGGTAGGCGTGAGCAAGGGAAAGCTAGCAGTACGAGGGACGCAAGTCCTGTCCAATATCATTGCTGCGGCTGCCATGACATCAATGACTATGAAGAGTGAGGATAAGGTGGATGTTGTTTATTTTACCCGTAGTGTCACTCCCCTTCCTGTCAGTGCTGATTCCAAGCTCTCTGACATCTGTGATGAACTAGCCACTCAAATCATCATAGCAGACAACCTCCCAGAGCCTGTGAGTATGTCTGTAGATCATTTTACACAGGACAAATTTGTAGATAATATTCCATATGGATCTACAATATTTTTTAGCAAAATACTGTCTGAATACTAAAAATTGATTCTCAAACTATCTGAAAGAACTTTAATAAAATATATTTTGCATTAATGTGAACTTTGTGTTATTGTAGAGCTTTATAAATCAATTTGAAGCTTAAACATAGGAGTCAGATCTTCAATGCTTTTTCATGCTTTGTGTGGTTCATGAATCAATTCATCAGAGTTTGAACAATTTAACAAAGGAGTGACATCGAAGTCATGTTACACTGCACAATAGTTTTGCAATAAATTGCTGTGTAACATAATTAATATTTATTTCACCAAATAAATGGTTTCTTTCTAGGAGGAAGACAAGCCAAAAAATGATGAACCAGTATTTAGAGGGGTAAATATCAGACTGTCATTGTAATCAATAAACCCAAAAAAATTGCCCAAATGATCAATTAAACAAAACTGTTTCATCAATGTAAAAATCCACTTAAACAATCGTATTCAATTTTGTTTTGCAAAATTATTCTTAATATAGTTTTCATTTTTCATATTTAATGACTGATGATTTCACACACGTGACAATTCCTTGTATCTATGCAAGTGTTATCACCTGTATGTAGATTTTCAGAGACTGACTGCTGAATATAACTTTTTTCTGTAGGTACCTCCTCCACCATGTGACATTGCAGGACCAATCAAATGGGCCAGTGAAAACAAGAAAGCAGTAGACGTATTCCTGATCCTGACAGACAATCGGGACAAATCTACTGGAAACGTCTCCCCGCAGGATGCTCTACAACAGTATAGAAAAGATATGGACATGCCAAATGCAAAGTAAGTGTAGAGAAAACCTGTATATAGGGGCCACCTTTCCATAATGAACTTTTGTATATAGGGAATACCTTTCTATAGAGACCAATTATACATATGGATTCCTCTCTGTAGGAAACGCCTGTATATAGGACCTCCTCTCTGTGGGGAATACATGTATAAACACTTTCTCTCTGTAGGGTATACATGTATAAACACTTTCTCTCTGTACGGAATACATGTTTAAACACTTTCTCTCTGTAGGGAATACATGTATGAACACTTTTTCTCTGTAGGGAATACATGCATTAAACACTTTCTCTCTGTAGGGAATACATGTATGAACACCTTCTCTCTGTAGGGAATACATGTATGAACACTCTCTCTGTAGGGTATACATGTATAAACACTTTCTCTCTGTAGGTAATACATGTATTAAACACTTTCTCTCTGTAGGGAATTCATGCATTAAACACTTTCTCTCTGTAGGGAATACATGTATAAACACTTTCTCTCTGTAGGGAATACATGCATAAAACACTTTTTCTCTGTAGGGAATACATGTATAAACACTTTCTCTGTAGGGAATACATGTATAAACACTTTCTCTCTGTAGGGAATACATGTATTAAACACTTTCTCTCTGTAGGGAATTCATGCATTAAACACTTTCTCTCTGTAGGGAATACATGTATAAACACTTTCTCTCTGTAGGGAATACATGTATAAACACTTTCTCTCTGTAGGGAATACATGTATAAACACTTTCTCTCTGTAGGGAATACATGTATAAACACTTTCTCTCTGTAGGGAATACATGTATAAACACTTTCTCTCTGTAGGGAATTCATGCATTAAACACTTTCTCTCTGTAGGGAATACATGCATAAAACACTTTTTCTCTGTAGGGAATACATGTATAAACACTTTCTCTCTGTAGGGAATACATGCATTAAACACTTTCTCTCTGTAGGGAATACATGTATGAACACTTTCTCTCTGTAGGGAATACACACTTTCTCTCTGTAGGGAATTCATGCATTAAACACTTTCTCTCTGTAGGGAATACATGTATGAACACCTTCTCTCTGTATGGAATACATGCATTAAACACTCTCTCAGTATGGAATACATGTATAAACACTTTCTCTCTGTAGGGAATACATGTATAAACACTTTCTCTCTGTAGGGAATACATGTATAAACACTTTCTCTCTGTACGGAATACATGTATAAACACTTTTTCTCTGTACAGAATACATGTATGAACACTTTCTCTCTGTAGGGAATACATGCATTAATCACTTTCTCTCTGTAGGGAATACATGTATAAACACTTTTTCTCTGTAGGGAATACATGTATAAACACTTTCTCTCTGTAGGGAATACATGTATAAACACTTTCTCTCTGTAGGGAATACATGTATAAACACTTTCTCTCTGTACGGAATACACGTATAAACACTTTCTCTCTGTAGGGAATACATGTATAAACACTTTCTCTCTGTAGGGAATACATGTATAAACACTTTCTCTCTGTAGGGAATACATGTATAAACACTTTCTCTCTGTAGGGAATACATGTATAAACACTTTCTCTCTGTACGGAATACATGTATAAACACTTTCTCTCTGTAGGGAGTACATGCATTAATCACTTTCTCTCTGTATGGAATACATGTATAAACACTTTCTCTCTGTATGGAATACATGTATAAACACTTTCTCTCTGTAGGGAATACATGTATAAATACTTTCTGTGTGGGGAACACCTGTACATAAAACTTCCTCTCTAGGAAACAGTTTTATAAACTGATTCAGAAGTTGAGTCTTGGGGTATATGTAATGGCTTATATAAAGGTAAACTACATTGAGAATCAATACCCAGTCATTGCATTACTAAATAGTCTATACACATTACTTTCTACAGAATGGTGACGTGTGGCTTTACTAGTTCAACAATGTGGGTGGCAGAGCAGAATGACAAAGGGATGCTGGATATCGCAGGCTTTGATTTGACTGTACCAAACGTGATACATAACTTTGTGATGGACACTTATTGATGTGTAAAGACATTAATATAAAAGTCTGTTATCTGTGTAGGCAGCCATGGCCAGTCAGGCAATGGCCATGCTTCCCCCAGTCTTTAGTCATTATAAATACCTGTGTTCACAAGTGGATTTTCTTGGTATATGGATTAATGCTAAATGATATACTGTAAAAGTTGGTATTTGATTCGAATTTCATAAGAAACTTTGAAGTAAGAAGATTGCTTTTTTTACAGAAGTTAAAAAAACAGAGTATAGTTTACTCTTTTTACCTTTGGCATATCTATTTTTTAAGTTTATTCAATTCTGGTATATAGGGAAAAAATTAATCCTCTCAAACATGACAACTTTTACAGAAGATCATAGACACTTGACTATAATGGTCAGATTTCTTTCATCATGGAATTGAATTATGAAATTGATATTGATCTGTTATATATCAGTCGGTTTTGGTAAAGTTTTGTGTATTTCTGGGTAGTTTTTACACTTTGTCATAGTGTGGGGTTGGATTACGATGGGCATTATCCACTTATTACAAGGTACCATATTATTTTTGTTTGTTTTTTGTAGGATCTCTCTATTTTAATCCATTTACCTCAAACTTATTTAAATCTAATTCACTCTTTCTCTCATGCTCAAGACAGCTGGTTTTTTTTTAACTCATCCACATACAAGTCAGTAACTTGAAATGAAAGTAAAAAAAAACAGTTTTTAACTTGTATTCAAACTCAAATTATAAGCAAGGTCCTCAAAATACTGTGATGACATTAAATTTTTTTCTGGATCAAAGGATCTGGAGTAGATTGGGTTTTATTGTTCATAACATTGTACATGTACTTTAGATTTTCGCTGTCAGATGTTAATATCATCACAGCCACACTGTAGAGTATACCACTTTTGATAGTTTAAGTGACTAGTAAATATGACGTCTGTTCGGTGAATGATCTGATGTTGTAAAATAGGACTGTGGAGTTACCGATATCTCCTTTGTGTTGTAGAAATAGATTTTGCATACATCAAAGTGTTCTGCACATGACAAATACTCACTCCATGGGCCAGTCTCAGTTCTGATCTTTGCATGTTGAGAATACCTAAAAGAGTAAAGTTATCTCCCCTGTGTTATATACCTGTATTCACAAAATGTAAATTACAGTCATATGGAATAGAAATCTCTTTCAAGCATAACAGAAAACACATTGTGTTTGGATTCTGTCATTTGTATCATTATTGTTTCACTTGAAGACATGTTCAGTTATCAATCAGCTAGAGTTAGCATTTTTCAAGAGAATTGAAATATACTGTATTTAATTTCATATCAATTAATATTATTGTGCACTATACATAATTTTTATCTACTAATGTTTACTGTATTACAGATTCTTTTTCATGGATTACCAACATACGAAAACATTAATGATATTCTTTACAATTTAGTCTCCCAAAAGGCTAAGAAAAATCTGACAAAGGAGTCGCATTTAATGGTACATGTTTATCATTTTTTATATATATCAATGCCGTTTTGGATTGGAGACAATTTGCTAGATGAGTTGTTAATGTATGGATACTTCAGCTATCTTAAATTTATCTTAGGAGAAGTACTTTATAGTAAATCACCTTCTAAAATTATACTTATATATACATATAATCAAAATTATTATTGTTCATTCGACTTATCTAGAATATAGAGGTGAAGGAGTAACAGAATCTCAATAATCAGTTATAATCCCTTCTCATATTTTATTACCAGCAACATAGTGTTGATAAACTGAAAAAAAATATATTAACGTGTTTATCTGTATACCTATGTAGATAAAACCTCCTGCAAGAGGAATTTTATGAATAGTTCAAAGACATAAATATTTAAGAATCCACAAATGTAAAGGGTTTGTTATAGATATAACAGTGATCAGGCCATGGAGGCATGTTATTAAGATGTATTTAACTTCTACTGGAATAAAGTATCTCTAGATGCGAAACATTTATGTGACAACAAGGAGAGAGTAGTTTGTAACTGTCCTAACTACATCAGAAATGGGTTAAAAAATTGTGGAGGAGGTGGAGGACATGTGTAGATGATTGGTGTAACATTTGATTAGATTGCTATACAATAATATGATATAGGAGTTCCAGAAATATAATGTAACTAGCTAAAAACTGTCATCAGTAAATTAATAAACAATTTGGGTGATCTCCATGAAAAAACCAGCTTACAGTTGAAATAGGTTCAAGTATCTTTCATTACAGATTATACAAAAAAATTAACAAGTAGAACGGCATACACTGACTTTTCTATCAGTTGTACAGACGAGATCTGAAGGGAATGGACGTCCCATGGTGGACATGAATGTGTGGTTTATGTTTGTTTTGTGTTCCTTTGTACCATTGTCTGTAATTTGGCTTGGATATTTCTCTCGGCTTCTGTTTGAATTGGAAGTATTTATTGTTACCTGGTTGGAATAGCTCACCTGATATGAAAGTGCCTGTAAATTCATGTGATGGTACAGTTTTCTGGTGTTATATTTTTCCATTTTAAGAAAATACTTTTAGGAACTGTGAGGCGAAGGGCTCAGATGGTTTTTAAGCAAATGATCTTGACTTACAATATTATTGCAATGGTAGTTCTCATTAAAGAACTGTTAATGCTGTAATCAAAATACAAAATACAAGATTGGAATTTTACATTTGTACTGCTTGAATGACAGACTAGTGTCCAGGAAAATAACCCTTCTTGGCCCACATGGAAGGTCATCAGGTCAGGTATGTTGAAGATGAATAGAGCAAATATAGTTGGTGTGACATGAAAAAGGATGATGGGATATTCAATACAAACAACTTCTCATGACGATCAATAAATCTTGAATTATCATAGTTGGGCTGTAATAATTTTAATCATGAGACATCTAAATGATAACATAGCAGCAATCACAGAATTTTACTAACTGTACTCTTTGGTCATTGTTAACTATTACTTTACGGTTAACAATTTTTTTTTTTTTTATTAGGATGTCTTGTATTTCTCTACAAGCATTGACCTTGCTGATGTATTTAGTTGTATAATGAATTAAAGTCTAGACAGCCTCAACCCTAATTCAAATTAACAAAAGCCCAAAATGTCAAAACCTTCTTTTTATACTTTGGTACATTTGCAAACTGAAGTATGTTCTCTAAATAAATGATTCAATCTCCAAATATCTGATAAGCCAAAAAAGGATTTTTCAACACAGTCAAATAGATGATAAACATGCCCTTTGAGCCTCTTGCTTTCATTGGTTTACTGTTGTTTAAGATGATATATCACAGAAATATAATGAATAACATTGACAATAAAATTGATGTATATGTTGATCTACCTTACAGAGACAGCTGATGTCCAAAACTTTAATATTGTGCTATTGCTGGCTTTGGATTTATATGGCTATTCAGAGGAGTCTAACTTAGTTTTACTAGTCAACAATTTTGTACTACTCTCACTATAAATGTATCAATTTTTGGTTAGGGTATGATATTTTTCCTGCAGTTTTCCTTTATTTGTGTGCGTTTTTGTTAAGATTTTGCTCACCTCATTATAATTGTAAGGTAACGATTATCAAAATAAGCATTGTCCTCTTAATCCTAGAAATTGATAGTGTTCATTTTCCATAGATAATTTGTCAAAGTCTGCCTAGTGTCAGAAGTGGGATTAAGGAACATTTTGGAAATGTTTAGTTTTCATTGTAATTTAGAATGGTGAAATTTGTTTAAAGTTCTTTTGGTTTATGAATTGATCAGAACAGTTTTCTGAATAAGTTTTCACGCACACAATACAAATCTAGCCCGACTTTGAACAATCTTGAAATATTAGGGTAACTTGTTACATTACGTACATGTACCTACTAATTGTTTACCTGTGTTTGATTTGTTTTTCACCTGTTTGTGAGCCAGCAAGTGCCTGTCTGTCTGTCCAATTATATACCCCTGTCTTGTTACAGTTCGCAAAAAAACACTGATACAGCACATATTCCAGAATTCATACCAATATTGGTAATTGATTGATAGTTATTTTGCAAAATTTCTCAGAAATTTTATATGAAAAATGGTATGATTCCAAATATTTTCTGAATTGCATCTCCTCAGTACTTTTTTTGAGGAAGAGAGAAGCTGATTGCTTTACTGGAATATTTTGAACTGGTGTGAAAAACATTGTTGTGTTAGTAAGTTTTAACACATTTACAGGCATAATAATGTCTGAAATATGCAAGGTGCAGTGTTTGCCTGATGAACTTTGATAGGACATGTGGGATGAGTTTCTATGACAACCAGGGATGTCCACTTACTGGTATGCTATAGAATGTTTGCTCGTCCAAATGTTACATGCTCTAGCAATGCTAATCCTAACTATTGTAGAACATAATCGTGGGCAGACAGATTTCTGTGGAATTACTTTTATCCCATGGATGTTGAGCATTGGACCTGCCCTGGTATACCTTTTTTGTATAAGGAGCCATTCCCAAAATGTTTGGTTTGGTCTGACGAATAGACCTCTAATACAACACGTCATGGTCAATAAAACGCTTTGGCTACGTCAAGTGAGTTTTCTGTTGTGCATTGTATGTTCTTGAAATATGTATATAGCAATGGTGGTTTGCATACCCAAAGTATATGAAAATGTATAAAAACAATTGACTTTGAAGAACTTTAGATAACAAGTGGAGAGTCTTGGGTCATGCTGTAAACTTTGAAGTTTGTCAAAGGCATTTAGATCCGCTTGCTTTTATTGCAGGATCTTTGACATCCTGTCAAATTTGATTTCTTCCAGTTCAGCAAGGGCAATCAAATTTCATTTTCAAGGCACTATTATCTGAAACCTAAATATATCTCAATACACCACTCTGCTTTTAAGATATTGAAATACATGGGTTCACTATTCACCACTTTCTGGAATGTATAGGAGAAACTTCCAAAGAAGTCTGCTTTCATTCCCTGAAGTTGCCAGAATTGGTAACCCGAGAGGTAACTGGTGGACCAGTATCTTTCATTGGATTATTGGCCTTTAATCTAACAATGTTCTTTGATAATGTAACAATTGTTTTAATTTGTAAAGAAAGCTTCAGAATTCCATATATATTTAGGCCAAGCATCATTGAAGAGTTAAAGGCAGACAACTTATGTTGAGAAATATTGGTAAGTTCCCTTTAAAGGGCAGTGGGATCAATCGCCAATGGAACACCATTAGTAATTGGAATGAGCACCGTTTACGAGATAAACAGCATTGCATTATTGTCACATGCGATTCGTAAACAGGCATTCCAAGTAGAAGTTAAATGGACTTTCACGTGTTGCCCGAGAACATACCAAACATGCTGAAGTGGTGACAAATCATGTGATTTCGATGGCCAATCTAACACCTGCGCGTTATTCAGCTACATAAAAGTTTTTGTAACGCAACAGGTGTGTTATCCGCTGGAAAATGTCACAAAAGCCATGACATTTTAAGATGGTAGAATCACTGGCCTTAAAATTTCGTCGCAACACTTTGCAAAACGCTCTCCTCGTCGCCTCTTCACGCCTTTCGTCATCGTATTGCACACAAACTTAAACAGAGCATTGTTCTATTGTCGCAAGGCATATCGACGATGAACTCGGGTCTGTTGCGGTTTATTATTACGGTGACGTCACAACAAAATTAATCCAGTGTGTAGGACACAGCGCTTAGGAATCGAAGTGAATTAATCATACAATTATGCCATCACGGATGGTCATTTTGCAGGATGAGCCGCTTTGGATCATTTGTCTTAACACTGCAACCGAAATGCTGTGCCACTCGTCGCCGAGACTGCCATGTTTGGATCATGTCTTCAGCTCTTTCCCTCTATATTTCTGATAGTCGGAGCATAATGGTAAAGAGGATAAATAGATTTGGTGAATTCTCAGTCCTTAGAATCTGAGTTAGTCGCAGAAAACCTCGTGGATTTGGTAACCCCCTTGGATTTAGTAAAGTGACAAATGCCAATTTCTGGTATTGCACAAACGTCATTTTATTTGCTCTGATTTACAGGTATTTGCCAACATGCACACCTTGGAATACGATCGCATTTAGATATGTAAAAGTATAAGCCACAACCGTCGTTAAGATAGCTTACTGAAAGCGAAACGAATTAGTGACACAGGTAGATTATCTGTAAGATAACGGAAGATAACTGTTCATATCATATCCTACCTACCTACCTACCTACAAATGCTGCTGTTTCGGTTTCGATTTGTAGTGCACCTTTGTTATAACTATAACGTTTTGTCTCAAATAGTATACCGCTAGATTTCGGCCGCTGACGACAAAGTTCAGCTACAACGTGTCTAAAAGAATGTAAATTGAATCCTTCAACTCTTTTCAAATACGACATATTCCTGGCCAAACTGCTAACTATAAAGATGCCCCCCAAATGACTCACTAAATTGCCCCTAAATTCAAACACGGTGTGGCATATGTCCACTCTCTGTTCGAGATGTGAACTTTGACAGCTCAGGCACAAGAAAAGTGAAACCCATTCGAGTACATGACATCGGAAGGACTCCTAGCTTGCACGCGTATTGTCATCATGTTAAGAATACTTTTCTCTGTGTTATTTTACATGTGAGATAGATCGATGACGCAAGTTTGCCGATGGTGACGTCATACTAACACTTTGTCCATATTATCGACTCCTCTTTGGATTTCGGGAAGCTTCCAGAAATCCATGTTTACAGAACTAATTTCCTAAGTACAATACTCAAAGTCTCAATACACCACTCTGCTTTTAAGATATTGAAATACATAGGTTAACTATTCACCACTTTCTGGAATGTGTAGGAGCAACTTCCAAAGAAGTCTGCTTTCATTCCCTGAAGTTGCCAGAATTGGTAACCCAAGAGGTAACTGGCGGACCAGTATCTGGGTTATCTATTAACACAGATTAATGGGTTTAGTTTTATACACATTAACATTATCTATTGTTTGAGATGATGACAGAAAAAGAAGGATGAATACAGGAAAGGGAGATAAATGTGGAAAAGGAAGATGGCTAGAATTGAGAACGAAAATCTTCGCTACTGAAGAGCTAAATATTGGAAGGGTTTTGTGGAAGCTGTTTGACAACAATTGCTTAAACGTCCACAATCTTACCTTTCGCCTAGGGGTATAAAGCATAGATACGCTAAGAAATCAGAAAACCTCAACGATCACGTTTACATTATCACTCATATTTTTGGACAAAAAAAAACTAAACCATTTCCACAGACAAAGGAAACAATACCCCCAACGCTTGCGCTGGAGAACATGATACACCTCTCACACTATTTCCTGAGATATCAGTCGGGTTAAACCACAAGTAAAGAAATCCCAGCAATGAATCTTACTTACCAATGATATCACCACACACATAGCTAAATACATGCATGCTAAGAACACAAAAATATCCCTGTGACTTAAGGAACCTATCCTAATATAAACGACTTCCTTAGATATACAACACTCTTAAACCGACGACAGCGTACGACACACACAAACCATAAGACGACACAAGTACAACAAGAACATTTGGAATGGGATTGTCACACGAAGTTCCAACTAGACAAATTCACGGTACTCGAGGATTTACAGAATTACAGAACAACCTCAGATGGGATCAACACAACTGTAACATCGATATTTCAAATAGATATTCCGGCCTTCTTAAACGCAAATTAACAATTAACTCGATATGCATCAAAGAACACACATAAAAGGTATTGTCAAAATTGAAACGCTGATTTTTTTTCTCATATGCTTCCTTTTATTACAAAAGCAAAGCAACCTCAACCAAAAATTCAGCACCACATACACGACCCATGGTCACCATAGTCACCAATAATGATAACATACAGTATGCGTAACAATGGGATTATTTCGTAAGAATTTGTGTCACATGCCGAGATATAGAACAAGTAAGCATAAAAGCGAAAAAGGATCGTGACAGTAAGAACTAATAACACGTTTCCATATGATATCGTGTCCTAATTTATATTTCAGAAAATAATGATCGCACAACTACTTAGATATACTATCATACATCACAATCCTATTTTAGATAACGTACCGATTATTTAACAAATTCGTTCAATATCAAACAAGAATAAGGTCGCTACAAGCGTATTACAGTCTTCACACATATAGGCCCTATTGTTTTTATGTTTATTGAAAGCGGGTCTCTTACGTGCAATACCATAGTTTCGGTTTCGATTTGTAGGCTATATATGTAAATGACTCATGTAGATCTGTCTGTCGTACAGCTGGGGACACGTCAGCAGTGCAGCTGAAGACAATCATGTGGTATGTTGATTAAGCTTAATTATTGTAATTTTGGACAGAATCAGACATTATATATTGACCGGGAAGTAATGACGGATTTCTAATAGGGTTATATGAGGTTTAAACATATTTTCTCAATGAAGATTTTTTTAATGCAACGCTATACACTTGTCGTTTGGTTGGTAATATTAGCCATATTTTTCTCCTGGGCTTCATGTCTTTCGTTTTTATCTCATCTGGTCCAAAGGACTGGTGAGCTTACGCCATGGCGCGGCGTACATCGTCAGTCAACTTGTTAAACTCGCTTCTAGTCATGAATGGCTGCACGGAATTTGGTGAGAAGGAACATTGGAGGAGGGGAACCAAGTTTCTATAAATATTAGGTCTTGGACCCCATGAGCGTGAGGTGCGAGCCCCAAAAGGTGGATATTTAGCACAATTCTTTAAATTCCTTCTGTAGAAATTATTGAATTTTGCCAAAATTTAATCCAAAGCATTGTACGGTGGAGTAAAAGGCTTTTGTGTAAACAGTGGACCTTGGCTCCACACCTCTTGTAGGAATTATTGAATTTTGCTCAAATTTGTTTCCAAGCATTCTTGTTTGCAGGGGAATCATTTTATAAAATCGGCGGGTGTCTACCCTCTAGGGAGGGAGGATAGAACAAATGGAGCATGGATGGTCTGACGAACCCCCTCGGGAAAAAGGTTGTCCCAGTGCAAAAAAAGATATGTTGTGTTGTGTGCTTTGATATTTAGAATTTCTTTTCCTTTAGTTTTGATGAAACGATTACAGCCGTGCAAAGTCATGTGAGCGATAAAGGCCGAGCGTTATTGTTTTTTGTTGTTGTTCTTGTTTTAGAAACAAAACAAATAGCTCTGTTTACAGAAGTGCATATCAATTATCTGTTCTATAGATTAACAGTAGTACTTAGCGAACCGTGTCCAGTCCTTTTAAAAGCTAGTGGTATGTCGTATGGAATAAAGGGACGGATAACGAGGTTCGAGTTAAAGAAATCATTTCTAACACGAGCAATGCGTTCAACACAAAAACAATCATCTTTCATGAATTATTCATGAAAACTAGGTCGGCCTTTTGTGAGGAGGTTCTATAGACTGGAATAAGAACTAATAAAACCATGGCCAAAAACAAATGTTGATAATTTAACGCAAACGTTACTTAAGAATTTATACATACAATATTTTATTAATTACGAAAACAAAAAATTCATTTGTGTTTTATGAGTATTATGAAACATTTCAAGGTGAAAGACACTATTGTATAACCATCACAAAGTTCTTGAGGGATCGAACGGCAGAGCTTAGGGCATGTAGGTATGCAGTTCATTTTTAGTGTACATGATGTATTGTAGCACTTGTATATGTGATATCTAATGGACTTATTCCAGCGTTAAGTTATTTCTTTTACAGCACGGGAGAGATCTATTTCGATGTTGGTGTGCCCAACAACTGGAAGCCTCCGGCTAGATCTGACATGGTATGGTCTGGTTCCGAAGACAAAGCGTTGAGGACATTCCACGACAAATACGTTAAAATAGAGAAATCAAGTTTTCACAATAATCAAGTAGAAATCAGTCGCCTAATGAAAAATCTGTACCAAGAACTGAAGACACTCGAGAAAACTCACCAGTTTCTGAGATTCCGACCATTCGTGAAGCAAGGAGGTGCGAGAGAGGGTCTAAAGGTTGGAGCGGCAGATGAATTTGATGTAGTGCTCCCTTTCACCTTCCTGGGAACCACCGCTACCATTAAGGAATCGCCCAGCAACAACCTGCCCGCTGGTCTGGGTGAAATCGAGATCAATAAGGTGAATAGTCGTATGACCGTTCAACCGAAAAATCTTTTTGTAGAAAGAGACGGTAAGCAGTATGTTAATGCAAGAGTTTTCCATGATCAGTTGATCAAAGGACGGATTGACGCAGCTATACAGAAGTTGAATCAAAACCCCGAATTTGCCAGCTTCAACATCAAGCGCCAAGCGGCCGCACCAGCCATCAAACTAGACGCTACAGTAAATGGCGATCGAATTAGTATCGACATGGTGCCCGGATATAACATTCGAAAAGATGGGTCAACCTTAAGAAAGTTCATGGTTTCAAGATGGGTTCCGAGTTCCCAAAATGATCACCGTGTCGAGCCTATTCCTAACCCAGACACGGCTTGGCGTATGTCCCACTCTCAGTTCGAAATGCGTATTCTGGATAGATGGATTTCCACCAATTTGACCGCTCAGCGTCTGGTGAGAGGCGCCAGAATACTTAAGGCCGTTCGAGAACACGACGTCGAAAGGAATCCTAGCTCACAACTGCATCACGTGCTGTCGTCCTATCATATCAAAAATGCTCTCCTTCATGGTATTTTACATTTGAGATGGATCGATGACGTACGTTTGCCGAACGTGACGTCAGCATGCAAACACCTTGTCCATATTATCGACACCTCTTTGGAACACAGAAACCTCCCACAATTCTTCGCCAACAATCCAAGTTTGGAGAAGTATTTCCCTATGTACAATTTCCACACGGATTATCCGGATGTGAACTTGTTTAAGGAGCGTTCAGAGGGTGAAACACAACAAATACGTGCAGATCTTACTAAGTCGCTCAAGCACTTTAATTTGCAGCCTATTCTGGACAGAGGTGGGAGCATTCACGAGGACAAACTCGAACCACTCACAAGAAAGATCAGGCCGACTAATGAATTATGTACCAACGATGAATTGCATTAGCAAAGCAACTGCCAAATACAAACGTGAATTATTCCATATTATAAAACGAACGTGCAATATTGCAATCGTGGATTGTATCAGGTTTTCTATGATGATTGACAAAATTCACTTGTGAAGAATTGGAATCACGTTTCCTCTGTAATTAGTTATTGTTAATGCCGTAAATTCTCATGCACGCACCTGTCAATCCGATGACAGAGACTGACTTTATTTAACTGGTATATTGACACAAGCTGATGTGATGCTTTTTAATATTGAATAAAATATGTAATCACTAACGATTGATATTAGTTCAAATTGTCAAATGTCATCGTTTAACAGTGTAGCTCGCATAGTTACCAAGTTTTCAAATGTCACCATTTAACAGTGTAGCTCGCATACCAAGTTGCTAAACGAGAATTACAGTCATTCCGACTTTCTCGATTCATTTTACAATAATTTAACAATGAGTAAAAACAAATAGCAAGAGACTAGCTGTCCTGGAAGGGTTAATCTCGTCTGTTTTATCCTAAAGTCCCGCCACAGCTATCATATCACACTTCATAAAATCATTTTGACAAGACGTCGTTTTCAAATTGTCTCTTACATGGAAATAACTATTTTTTAACTATGGGACTAGTGCACCTCCTGAACCAGCTGTATGATCTAGCATCACTGACGAGTCCTAGAAGGACGAAACAGCTGTATTGTGTAGCATCACTGACGAGTCCAATGATGACGAAACAGCTGTATGATGTAGCATCAGTGACGAGTCCTAGAAGGACGAAACAGCTGTATTGTGTAGCATCACTGACGAGTCCAATGAGGACGAAACAGCTGTATGATGTAGCATCACTGACGAGTCCTAGAAGGACGAAACAACTGTATTGTGTAGCATCACTGACGAGTCCAATGAGGACGAAACAGCTGTATGATGTAGCATCACTGACGAGTCCTAGAAGGACGAAACAGCCGTATTGTGTAGCATCACTGACGAGTCCAATGATGACGAAACAGCTGTATGATGTAGCATCACTGACGAGTCCTAGGAGGAGGTGTAGCATCACTGACGAACAGCTGTATGACGAAACAGCTGTATGATGTAGCATCAGTGACGAGTCCTAGAAGGACGAAACAGCTGTATGATGTAGCATCACTGACGAGTCCTAGAAGGACGAAACAGCTGTATGATGTAGCATCACTGACGAGTGACGAAACAGCTGTATGATGTAGCATCACTGACGAGTCCAGATGACGAAACAGCTGTATGATGTAGCATCACTGACGAGTCCAATGAGGACGAAACAGCTGTATGATGTAGCATCACTGACGAGTCCTAGAAGGACGGAACAACTGTATTGTGTAGCATCACTGAAAGTCCAATTAGACGAAACAGCTGTAAACATCACTGCCGTATTGTGTAGCATCACTGACGAGTCCAATGATGACGAAACAGCTGTATGATGTAGCATCACTGACGAGTCCTAGGAGGACGAAACAGCTGTATAATGTAGCAGCTGTGACGAGTCCTAGAAGGACAAAACAGCTGTATTGTGTAGCATCACTGACGAGTCCTAGAAGGACGAAACAGCTGTATGATGTAGCATCATTGACGAGTCCTAGAAGGACGAAACAGCTGTATGATGTAGCATCACTGACGAGACCTAGAAGGACGAAACAGCTGTATGATGTAGCATCACTGACGAGTCCTAGAAGGACGAAACAGCTGTATGATGTAGCATCACTGACGAGTCCTAGAAGGACGAAACAGTTGTATGATGCAGTTTAATTGATCATTCGGCTCTACTATATACTCTAAATTTGTATTTTAAAATGCTATTTAGTTGTGCTCCTTTTGTACAATCTTGTTGTGGCATTCTGCTTACGTGGGAACCACTTGACACATTCACTTTTCCTTGTCATACTCTTTATTAAAGTGGTTGGTTTAGGGTTTTATGGGTTATCAGTGAGTATTCATGTCTTTCTCCTACCACCTTTGCACACACCTCCAACAGAGATATATGAAGTGTTAACGATAGTGTGGACAAATTAATTGAGGCAATCTGCCCCTTTATCAAGACACGAACATTACATACATTTTTTTGTAAATTACATAACATACATCAAAAATATAACAACTATAAAGTTATAAATGAAGATCGAGAACGGTAGTGTAAAACAAGGTGGTGTCTCGATAATCCCTTCGGTCGATGGACGTCGAAGGTCGCTTATGAGACAAAATCATCTGAAGTTGTTGTATGAAAGAAGGTGATTCAAATGTCGATATCGACTTCACGGTCGATCAGAGCTGGGAGGGAAACGTTTGCATATATGAGGTATATCAAATGATTTGAATAACGATGGATTACAACTCGCGAGCAATTTCCTTTTGTATTCTGCCGTATTAGTAACAGAACCTAAAGTTATGAATAGGTTGTCGTTATTGGTTCATATACAACAGAAGTGATAATATTAAAACTAAACACCAAGTCTGAGTTTTCATGGAAGTCTGCAATACTTTTACTTTTGTTAATTAAGTGTTCTCTTTCGTCATGCACAACATTTTGATACTGGTGAGTACGCAATAAAAATGTCGTTACGACCATGTTAAAACAAGAAATGAGAGTGTGTAATGTGAAGGAAAGATACCTTGAAAAGAATATAGACAACTAGATCTTACATATGTATATCAGAGTGGTGATAAAAATAAAGTTAATCCATTTTTGTGTATACGGATTTGTGTTACGGAATATGTGCATTTGAAGGTTGTGTGGATGACTCCGTAGTTTAAACTGTTCAAATTAACTAAATAGGTGGAAAGTGTACCCTTTTTTTATTTATTTATTTTTTTTTTTATTTATTTTTTTTATTTATTTTTTTTTCTGTTGTGGGTTATGGAGTATCAATAGAATAATGCAATACTTGGAAAGTCTTGTTTGAAAAACAGAATTTTCGGATTTTGTATAACATTGTAGAGCAAGCAACTCTTCTTCTGATGTCTAAGCATGGCCATCTCCGCTGTACGGATGGATTTACTGGATGCTATAGAGTAAACAGCTCCGCTACGCTAGAAACATTTCTGTTTGTTGGTATAAGCTTCCAAATAGTTATGTGCCTTATCATAGATGTTGCAGATATGTTTTTTTTACCTGACTGAGTCATTAATACATCGTATATACATTGTATCACCGACAATAATGTGTCGAATATTTTGCATCGGATGTAAGACTGTCTGAAGTTATTGTATAAGAAAATTACGTGTGCTGTCTTCCAGTCGGTTGAACATATGATAGCATGGAAGCAATTTTGTTAACTATGTATTGCAGTTACTTACGTGGCAAAGACTTGATGTTATCAAGTTCAGCTTCTCAGTCTGGATCCAAGTACTGTTGCCAGGTTTTTGATACTTGGGTTGGTCATCAGTTGCAGATAGATAATTGGTATTACCGATGCAATACATCTGTTTATACTCGGTCATTATTCATGTTTGAAAATGGAAAAAATATACACCCTTTATGAAAATGATTTTACTCTGGGTGTTGGGTTTTGTCACTAGGATCAGACAACAAGACGGTAGTTGATTTACACAGATAATTGAGTTTTGTCTGAATCAGAAGGTATGAAATTATATGTAATAACAGTTTAACAGTTCAATGAAGGGATATATATATATGTGTGTGTGTGTGTGTGTGTGTGTGTGTGTGTGTGTGTGTGTGTGTGTGTGTGTGCGTGCGTGCGTGCGTGTGTGTGCCGTTTGCATAACGAAAACCTTTGATAAAAATTAAAACCATAATAGTAACTATTCCCTGTTATGTCAGTTAGGAGATACGAGTTACTTCCCTTGAAATGTACTCTACTCTTAATAAATTACACCCTTCATTCATGTCCGTCTACTGTGATCTACTTTCTCGGTTATAAAAGGAGGCAAAAAAAGTTTTGGGAAATGAAAAAGAAGATTTCCTTGGCGCTTTAGGCTCGTGCTCCTCAAGAATAGTATCTCACTAGCTGTAATACAACTTACAGTCAACATGTGTTCACACTATCAGATTTATTTTAAAATCTGACCAGTGAAGCACCAGTATTTTTTCTGAAAAATACTCGAAGATATAACCTCAAATTTGCACACTTGAAATGAACGACATGTGTATCTTATGTCATCGCTTAGTCACGGGGACGCCTGGGTTATATTGTATGCAGCTTTTCTAACGGGTATGATTAAAGTTTTTTTTAATTGTTTGATCCTTCTTTTCTCAAATGAACCATACTTTTGGGTAAAATTCTTTTTTATAACACTGACTATTCATACAAATTAATCATTTCATCTCTTGGTCTGCATCTCTCTAGTTAATTTAATTCAGAATTGAGTCATTAAAATTGTTAATTTTTAAAATCATATTTTTTTTTAGATATAACACGTTTGACATGTTAAAACGTGTATTCAGAAATAAAACACAAATTTGCCAATACTGATAAATACTCATAATATTTTATGGTGCATGGATTTAATCACAGTGGTTTTTTTTCAATATAACACCAGCAATTTTTGACTTCCGTGGCCAAAAAATGCAAGTGTGGCTTATTACCGATGGTCGATTTTTATTTACTTGACTGGAGACAACAAAACGCAGACTGGCATCCGAGGAAGCATTGATGGGCTATTTTATCACAACGAGTGAGGATTTTTGACATGTTTTAATGTGTATTAAGAAAAATACACAAATTTGCCAATACTGATATATACTCATAATATATTATGATGCATGGATTTAATCACATGCGTAACATGTTGAAACGATATTTGGAGTTTGTGTCTGTTCTAATCAATTTCCCACTAACTCACAGCAACAACACTACTGTTTAAGGGAAGAAGGTTAGGGTAGAACTACGGTACAGATCTCCTTAACTTTGTTGTTTAAAGCGACGTCAATTTAATGTTTACAGACACGTGTCCACTCGCTAAAGCGCATCACTAACTCAGATTTTATTTCGGCGGAGGCAACATGGCCTCGTCGACACCTTTAAACGAAGAAGTCCAGTCAGTTACGTGCTATAACATACGACCATTGATACTCCATGGGTATATAGGACCATTCGTCCTGTTGTATAGTGTATGGTTCTACTGCTGGACATGCGTGTATGGCCTTGAAGAATACTATGAAGCCGGATTGATAGCACTTGCTTTCATCGGATTTCTACAGATTTTGTCTTCGCTGTTTTGTCTTTGGTCGGTGGACGTCCGATGTGTATTTACGTGTTCAAAGGTATTTATCATCATGAAATATTGTCGCATTCGATTACGCCACCAAATTTTAGTTGTTTTCCTTGATGTTATCTTTGAAATAATGGTGGTCAGTACATCCGGCACAGACCAACATATGGTCACAAACACCGAAACACTGTTCGAGATTGTCCGGCATTTGCGATGTTTCTTGTATGATGTTGGAAGTGTCGAAAAATCCTTGATCTAACGCCATGAAAAAATATTTGGTCTTTTTTCAATTTTTGGTATCGGTTGCAGTTTATCATGCTGAAGCGAAAGTATATCAATACCAAAGTGCTTATATCCGAGAATATGCATACAAATGAATGTTTCATATACACAAGGTTGTGTTTTATATCAGTCTAGTCACTCTTGAATCTGATGTATGTAAATATTCTTTGTTTTGATGATGTATTTGAATTTTCCATTGTAACAGGCAAAGGATGCTGACAGTGCTGACTGGTTGAAAGTTGTTCCCACTCCCAATAATGGGTCCACAGAGCTTGTCAAACTCCACCATGATCGGGTATTACTTGCATTAAGATTTAAGCAGAGAGCAGTGTTTTGCCCCTTAATTTGATAGTTTCTTTAATGGTAAAGATTGGGGAAAATATGGCAATACTTTTTTTTTCAGAAATTCTGAAAATATTTGATTTTTTTTCTGAATTTTGATAAGAATGTAAATAATTTGAGATATAACAACTTCTTTTAGCTTGGATAAACATACTGAAACAGCCTCATTTAGCTTTAAAAAGATCTTGAGTAAAGTACCCTAGGAGATACACCTGGTATCTTGAGTACATATTTGAGTAGTAATTAACAATCCTCATTTACACATTAAGCTGCATTGTCATGATATTGTGTTGATATATCATCTTCAGATTTTGCAAGCTGTAGTGTGTGTGGCATCTGTAGTAAAACTTAAATCCAAATTCTGTGTTTCATCCAATATTTCTATTTGCTCCAAAGACACATAAAACTAAAGCTTTGGAAAATGATACCATATATAATGTGTTGGTTTAGTTTTGATATCTTGTTTGCATTGCCTGTCTTTCATTCAAATAATGCCATCTTTTTATTTTCATCTACTGAATTAATGGTTTGCCAAGTCATTAATCACTGTCATTGATTAAAAGAGGTATGTATATGTTTGTCATTTGCTTGCCTTTCAGAGTGCTACACCACATGTCCTATCTTTCTACTTCCAAAAGATGCATTATGTCTATGATCGTGAGGAAAAGAAGCAGTTTATCCAGGTCAAGTTTCCTACTGACAGAACAGTAGGCTATTACTCTGAATGGCGGGGCTACCAGGAAGATTCCAATGTGAAGGAGGTGGAGAAAATTTATGGCCGAAACATGTAAGGCATACAGAATTCATTTTGCTTTCAGAATGTTATGGAAAGTAGTTAAGGCAGGTAAAACCAAAGAAGGATAATGTGAAACAGTACTTTAAATGATGACCTTTCATTATGGGATAGTCGTAGTTTACTTAGTCAGAGATATATGTCTTATTTAGTATATTAGCATGGAAGTATTTGGTAAATCTATTTGTATGTGGAGGGGGTGGGGGTTAGGGGTTGGGTTACTGGAATCTGTTAATTTTATTAGCTTGTTCGTCTGTCTGTTTGTTGAAAAAGTTTGTCTGGACAACTCTTCCAAAATATGGGAAAGAATTTCAATGAAACTTCATAGGAACCTTCAGTCAGTTTAAACAAAATTGATATGAAATGTTGCTGAACCTATTCAAATTATACGAAATAATGCTTGTGAAAACAAATTACAGTTCAAACTATCAGGGTTGACATTGCCCGAAATCACAACAAAGTGTCTAAAATCATCTTAGCAGGGCAGGAAGCTACCGGTCAGAAATGGCATGAGGTTGATTATAACATTATTATCTTTTATCATGTAATACATGTTAAGCGAATGTTGAGAAATCACAGGTTTCATTTTGATCTTCTCAACTTTGGATACTGAGAAGAATCTGCTTCTGTATTGGCAGAGTCAGTATTGACATATCAATATATGGAATGTGGATTGAGAATTAATATGACTACAGATTAATGTTTGTTAAAATCTTTCTGAATCTTTCAATTATTAGGACAGTCTTGACATGATTATTTTATCAAAAAAAGAAGTGAAACAATGTTTTGCTTTGAAAAAGCACATGCTGTCATCCCGTGGTCTGCACATTTACTAAGCGATTAGCTTATAATACAGAGTGGGGGTCTTGTGTTGTGTCAGCTGGCATGTGCACAATGTTATGTCTAGATGTGAAATAAATCACACTACACATCAATGCTAAATAAGTGACATGTATGTGTATAATCTGCTATTACTTGCTTACAATGATCATTTACAGTCTGCTACCCAAGGTGTTTAATGTCAATGTGAATAGTGACTACATGAGATGATTATTCTGACACCAATGTCTTTATCATTAGTAAGACATGAAGTCAGTATCTTCAAACAATTCAAAATATGAGTGAAACAATCTAGAAAGGGTTTGAACTATCACTTGACAGAAATTTATCGGTTATATTGAAAAAAATCAGGTGCTCAAACTACCAACCTATTCGAACTGATCAAATGTTTACCGTGACCATATTTAGAAGTGCATTCATCCCATTAATTTTTGTGAATGTCTTGGTTGCTTTGGTAACCTAGTCACTTTACACAGGTTTTCGTCCAAAGGTTCATAGCTCATCAACCCGAAGATAATTTTTTTTTACAAATTTTGTCAAATGGTGAAGCTGATCAAAGCCAATAAATTTACACAACAGATGTTTCCAAAACAATAATATTTGAAAACATAATAAAGGCTTCTGATTGATAGAGATTGAGACATTGTCAAATTCAGCTGAAAATTTGTATATAATAGTTTTTAATGGCAAATCCAATGGTACTATATTTGAAAACACTAGTTGTCATTTGGTTGCCATAGTAACCAAAAGAACTGGGGTGGTGGATAGGGGATGTGTTTATATGGTAGTGCTCAGCTTATAGTTGAAGTTAGTAAAAAGAAAACGCTTGAACATTATAGAAATTATATGATATGATGCAAGCTAATGCACATTTAGTAAGGTTTTTCAAATGAGACACCTAACATTTTAAGTGCAAATAGCAAAACAACTTCTTTCCATTCTTGATTCCAATGTGTATTTCAGATTCTTATGACATCCGAGAGTTATCGAATATCTTATGGTACTACCGACTTAAACCTGTTTTTGGTGTTTTTCAGAATGGAGATGGACATTCCCCAGTTCATGGATTTGTTTAAGGAGCGAGCGACAGCACCATTCTTTGTGTTCCAAGTGTTTTGTGTAGGACTGTGGTGTTTGGATGAGTACTGGTACTACAGTGTGTTCACTCTCTTCATGCTCATTGCATTTGAGGCAACCTTGGTCCAACAGCAGCTCCGCAACATGACAGAGATAAGGAAGATGGGAAACAAACCATACCTCATACAGGTACATATACACAACAGTAATCTAGAGTATGTGTTATAAACTGTACCTCATACAGGTACAAATACACAACAGTAATCTAGAGTATGTGTTATAAACTGTACCTCATACAGGTACAAATACACAACAGTAATCTAGAGTATGTGTTATAAACTGTACCTCATACAGGTACCAATACACAACAGTAATCTAGGGTATGTGTTATAAACTGTACCTCATACAGGTAAAAAACCTAGAAAACCTGGTGTAAGTACCTAATACAGTTAAAAAATCAGCAAAATGTGAAATGTGACATAAGTAGAACTTCTTGCACATAAAAATCTAGAAAGTGTGAAATTAATAATGCCAAATACAAGTCAGAATAAAAAAATCATTTGAGAAAATAAGAACCAAATCATATCTGATGTATATATATACCAAATACTCTTTATCACTACTCTTTACTTTACAGTTTCATGTTCTAGTCTGTAAGTTCCCATTTGAAATTATTAAGATTGAAAAGTTTAAATGAATGGGCAACATTTGTGTGTGATAAATCTGGATATTGAAATATATCTGTGGTAATTTTTGATGCTTGACACAGGTGTATAGAAACAGACGCTGGAGACCTATCATGACCAATGAACTAGTACCGGGAGACATTGTCTCTATAGGTAATGCATCACATCTTTTCTCTTTTGTCTTGAAAAGTCCACAAAAAAATCCAGTATTTAACCGATAACTTGGTTCAAGCACTATTTAGTGACTCTGCGTTAAAATTGATAAAAGACAAGACAAGAAGGCTTATAGGAAAAATTATCACATTGACTGCATATTCAACAATACTGGTGCATATTAGTGCAAATTAGTGTCTAATGAAGACACTTGTCAAAGTCAATTTGTGGAAAAGTTTAACCAACATTAATTCTGGAAAAATAAAGTTATTCTGTCAAAACATGAAAAAAGACTGTTCTTTAATGTTTCACTCAGTGCTTCACAAGGAATTTCAGAATCAGAATGCAAAATGGCACTTGTAAATGTTGGAGGGAGTTGTCCTATATGTACATATTGCCTTGCCGATGCCATGTGTTTGCTGTCATCAACATAATGATATCTCACTTAGGTCGCTCCCAGGAGGATCGTCTGGTACCATGTGACCTGTTGTTACTACGGGGACCATGTATAGTGGATGAAGCCATGCTGACTGGAGAATCTGTTCCAGTGATGAAGGTAAGTTTTGCTGATTTAAATTCCAGATCTCATTATGTGTATGCATGATATATTTTTAATTATTATGCCATTAATAGCTCTACTTATATTGGCTGTTGCAATTAAGATGTAATTGCTGAGCAAAGTTATCTACTAGATAAACTATCAAATCTAGCTTAGCATCGAGAGTTCACTTCAGGACAAAAGTGAAGGGTTTTTTGGTGTTTCTACACAAACTACAACAGATATGGACGGGTTTATTACCAGGCATGGGGGTTTTCAGATAAATTATTGTCCCGTTTAGTATAATTTGTTCTTTGCAATTTGGAATGATTTGTTCTACTCTTTGATTGAGGTAGATGTAATTTCCTATTGTCCTTTGCTGATAGGAACCTGTTGAAATCTTGGAGAGCAGTCATGTATTGGACATTGAGACGGATGGAAAATTACATGTGCTATATGGAGGGACCAAAGTGGTACAACATACTCCACCCACCAAAACAGGACCTGGGCTGAAAGGTATACATCATCGGTCGGTAAATGTATGACAGACTTTCTGTCAAATTCAAAATATTTGATGACAAGACATATTTTTTGTTAGTTGATGAGTTTATTTTGTAGATAAAGAACAGATTTAATTAATGATAAAACATGTAGTTGAAAATCTTGTGGTGATTAGTGTATTTCAGTTGATGATCAAAGAAACAGGTATTGCACAATGTCTTCTCCTTTCTTCTGTTTTACAGCTAGTGACAATGGATGTATTGCCTATGTACTACGACACAGTTTTAATACATCTCAGGGCAAACTCTTACGCACCATTTTGTTCGGTGTGAAGCGAGTTACTGCAAACAACTTGGAGACATTCATCTTCATCTTGTTTCTTTTGGTGTTTGCAATTGCTGCAGCAGCGTATGTCTGGATCAAAGGTATATCTGGACGAAAATGTGTGACAATTGTGTACTTTGATGAGTGTTTTGTTGTAAAGCATTTAAAAGCAATATGTTAAAAACTTCAGTCTGAATTATTCCAATTTGTAATACATACCATTTTTGTAGTGCAGTTGGGCTCTAAATGGTGTACTGTTCAGAGGGAAGAAGTCATATTTTGTTCAGAGACTATTTTCTAACATATTTTGATTTTTGCATATAGCCAATGAATTCAATGTTTTTCTGAAACTAATAATATCATATTTTTATAACTTAGGCAGTGAAGATCCAGAAAGGAATCGCTACAAGTTATTTTTAGAATGCACCCTCATTCTTACATCAGTTGTACCGCCAGAACTGCCCATAGAATTATCCCTCGCTGTCAACACAAGTTTGTTAGCCCTCAGTAAACTCTGTAAGTACTGTCATGTAAATAATTTCAAACATGTTAATGATCTTGTTTCAATCATAAAAGTTATGAATTCTCAGAGGCTTGAATTGTGCCATGGAACTGAATATGAATTAGATATATTCTTAGGTCACTTTTGTTGAATTTTCCTTTGCAGATGTGTATTGCACAGAACCATTTAGAATTCCATTTGCTGGGAAAGTAGATGTTTGCTGTTTTGATAAAACTGGAACTTTGACTGCCGACACCATGGTAGTGGAAGGCGTAACTGGAATAAAGTAGGTCACTGTGACACTGCATTATTTCTGTCTGTAAACAAATCTACTGAAAATCTTGTTTGGAAATTGGGGGGATGGGAGGGGAGAAACAAACTTTATTGTTGTATATTAAGTTAAGTGTGTTAAACATCAAAGTGTGAAAAAATGTGTTGCATAGTATGCTAATGACCCACTATAACACTGTATGGATTGGTAGAAAACATTTTGTATGGTCATACCTCTGACAAGGGTGCTGTTTAAATTTAGGTGCAAAAGTAAAAATAGAATTGGATATATACTGCAAACCTTTATACTCCTTGAGTGCTCAATAAAATATCATTCAATAAATCACATTGTAATCAGCTGTATTTGATAAATTCTGTGTAGGATTAAAATACTGTTTTTATATCTGTTGTAGTGGTAATGAGATATTACCTGTGAGTGATGCATCCCTACAGACTGTCCATGTATTAGCAACCTGTCATGCCCTTGTCCAGTTAGAGGATGACCTTGTGGGTGATCCCCTTGAGAAAGCCACTCTCAAGGCTGTGGAGTGGAATTTGACCAAAGGTCAGTTAGATCGTGTGCATTAACATGAAATTGTTTATTGACTGAAATATGTAATTCACCTTATTCTGAAGACATTTTTTTGCAGAAGATTTTGTTGTTGTTAAGAACCATCTTTTTAAATGATAGAACAACCACATGACCAATTCACCACAGTTTGCACAACAACGTCGTTTCAAACATATAGCATGAAAAAAAAAGAAATAATAATTTTCCAACAAATCAATCTTTTCTGTTGTTGATTACAGGTGATACTGTAGTACCTCTGAAGCGTAAGACACACGGCCTCAAGATTTTCCACCGCTACCACTTTTCCAGTGCATTAAAACGCATGTCCGTCATTTCTGGACACACCCCACCTGGTGCCATGGATACAGAATACATAGCAACAGTGAAGGGAGCTCCAGAGACACTTAAATCTATGGTAAAGAAAAACAATAGTTACTTTTCCGTTTGGTTGTATATTGACACAGTAGTTTAAGATAAACTAGTATTGAAATATGCTATTTTTTATATTTTTTTCGTATTTATTGTAATGTTTGTCATATTGTTGAACCTATTTGTGTAGGCTATTTCATACTGCTGCAGCACTTGCAGGGGGTAATGAATAATGATACCTTTACTACTTCCTGGTGTTGTCTGTGAGATAATTATACATATTCTGTTTTGTAATGATAAGAGTGGCAAGTTGTAACTTACATGGTGTGTTATGATCAATTAAATAATGGCGTTAATAGAGAAAGAGTGTCTAGATAAACCATAAATTCTACAAAAAGACCATGACCTGTAATCTCAATTTCATTTGACATGTTTCATCTTAGCTTTATGAAAAATGTACTGATGCTTGATTTCTGCTTCCAGTTTAAGAGTCCGCCACCCCACTATGACTCTGTGTATCTAGAGATGGCAAGACGAGGTGCGAGGGTGCTGGCTCTTGGTTATAAAAAGCTTGGCAATCTCTCTCATCAACAGGTTATATCCTTCAAATTCTCTCAGTTCTGTACCAGAATGACCATTGATCTTACAGGTAGTCAAAGATAATTGATTAGTAATATTTAGTGAATATCCATGCATAGAATCTTATCACAATGGGTGAAAGTCAATGCTAAGGATACTAGAATAACCAAAATCATTAGGTTCTTGCATAAATGGCCATTATTTTCATAGAAGTTTATTGTTGTATAATGTATTTTAGAGGTTTTTCACAGAGCAATGAGAGTTTTTTGTGGGACCTTCTTTTTTGTGGTAGTTTTTTGTGGGAACTTAATTTTGAGATTGATTGCAGGTACGAGATATGACTCGTGAGAATGTCGAGTGTGACCTTGAATTTTGTGGATTCATCATCATTTCCTGTCCACTCAAGTCAGATTCCAAGGCTGTTGTCAAAGAAATCATCAATTCATCTCACTATGTATGTAATTTACCATCATACAAGGATAGAAACAGATTTTCATTCCGAAATTACATCACTGCTACTGCTAATAGTATTTTATTAACAATATTGAAAATATTTAATTTTTTCACAGTTCCTTTGACAGAAGAATCAGTCTGAAATTGTCTGGTTGTGCTCAGCACCTGAATTTGATAATTGCATAATGCATTCAGCTACCACCAATTTATAACATGATTCAAGATTCACACTCCATGTACTGGTTTGAAGACATTGAGGAATTGATCAACTTTTGTTGAAGTATTTCAGTATTTTTACTGATGTAAAGTATTTGTTTTTGAAGGTCGTCATGATTACGGGAGACAATCCATTGACTGCATGCCATGTTGCCAAAGAACTTCGATTTACCAAAAGGACAACTCTTATTCTTACACCTCCAAATGACAAAGGTTTGTTACCATTGTATCGACCTAGGATCAGTTGACTACTTACCAAACTAGTAGCAAAACACTGTACAGTCTGCAAAACTGTATACTGGTAGTTGCTTTATGTTGTGGGATAAATATATTTTATAGTTGTTAGTTCATTGGGATTAAATTTTCCAAATGTCTACACATCAGTATCCATGTATAAAGGCATATAACATATTCTCTGTAATTTTAACTCCCTGTAGAAATATTCACATTATAATGAATGTCCTCGAATAGAGTGAAATTGAATCCCTTGCAGGTAATGCCAACTTAACAGTATGTAAATTAAGGGGTTAGTGGTTTAAACTCTGATATCGTAAATTTTTGAGGGATTCAAAAACCCAGTTTTATTTATGGAAAAAATACTGTTTCTTTGGCACCGGACTTCATGGATAATTAGCAAAATCCACTACTGGGTAGCACTACAAGTTCAGGTCAGTTTTTAAAATTTTGGATCATTTTGTGTCCATGTGAATTTGGGGATGAAATCAGCAAAAATTAAAATTCCAATAAAAGTTATTGATCTAACAGTAAAACTATGTTTTTTATTGTAGATACATCTTGGCACTGGCAGTCTATAGATGACAAAGTTATATTACCTGTTAAAATGGAAAATATCCGCAAAGAGCTGATTGGTCAGTATGATCTCTGTCTTACTGGAGAGGTAAGTTGAGATACAATGCCTTTAATAGTGCTTTATAGTGTACATTGTTTTCTTAAAGAAGATGTTAGTCTGTATGTATCTAAAAGGAGAAGTTGGTCCTTGATTTGTACTGTCAAGATATAAGTTTTTATTTCTTGCACCACGTTTCTTATATACAGCTTTGATTTCTGTATCTCCCAAAAAAATGAGCAAATTATTTGTATTTTTTATACATATTTTCTGTTACCGTATTTATTGGATTATAAGCCATACTGGTATATAATCTGCAGAACCAGTTTTAAGGGATTTTTTCCGATGTGCCCATTTGATTTTGGGACTGATCAGAAAAACAAAATGGCCGACAGACGGACATCTCAGATTTTGACTTTGAAAGTTTTTATCGCTATTTCTTGATAACTACACCAAAGATCTTTCTGAAATTTATTTGATTTTGGTACTGATCAGAAAAACAAGATGTCCCACAAGAGATCATTTTGTATTTTGACTTCAAAAGTTTGTTATCACTATTTCTTGAGAACTATTGTGAAGATCTTTCTCAAATTTCATGTATAGGGTTCTTTAGGTCCCTAGTTGTGCCTATTGAGTTTGGGACTGATCAGAAAAACAAAATGGCTGACAGGCAGCCATCTTGGATTTTGTCGAGAAAAGATTTTTATTGCTTTTTCTTAAGAAGCACTAAATGGATATCTTTCAAATTTCATATGTATGATCCCTTTGGTCTCTTCTTGTGTTTGTTTGCTTTTGGGACTGATCAGAAGAAACAAATGGCTTCTAGGTGGCCATCTTGAATTTGGCAGGTAAACATTATCATGGCCATTTCTGTAAAGGAATGTTCAAATGTCTTATCATCAAGAGCAAAAACTGAGAAGAGAAGAGAAAATAATAGAAAAGATCAAACTTTCAAAGAGCATATAAAGATCGAACAATGGTGGGCACCTAGATCCATCTGGGATCTCGTTTATTTTCATCCTACCTTTTTTTTCATCCACATATAAGCCACACCAGTATATAAGCTGCACACCTGACTCTTGAGGAAAAAGGGTGCTGCTTGTAATCCAGAAAATATGGTACAAGCTTCAAACTCTTGTTTGGAAATGCTTAGCAAATTTTAGAATCATGCAACTCCAACACAGACCATTACCTACTGGATTTCTAAATATAAAGTATTGTAAACTAAGAAATTTTGATGTGAGTTGTTTTGTAGGCCCTGTGATAACTGTTGTTTTCTTCTGTATTCCAGGCTTTAACTTACATACAATCAGACGCTCAATTGTTAAGAATACTTTTACCAAATGTCCGTGTGTTTGCTCGGGTGGCTCCCAAACAGAAGGTCAGTGTAATTTTCACTATTGATTTAAACAATACTAGGACACACTATGATGACAGTTTAAGAACAGGTAAATAGTACAAGAATGTATTTCTGGACATAATTTGACATGAAGCCATTGATCTTTCTACATTTTAGAAAGTTTGTCATTTTTAACTAAAAGGTACAGGCCTGAATATATAATTTTATAAGTAAGGTTTGATAAGTACATTTTTATCAATACTTACTGTTCTTGAAGTTACAAGGTGAGATAAAGAAACATAAACCTAACATAAATAAAGAACTACATTTATAATTCTATGAATGTCTTTGACTGTCTAGGAGGTTGTCATCACAACACTCAAGAGCTATGGCTACACAACCTTGATGTGTGGTGATGGAACTAATGACGTAGGAGCTCTCAAACATGCCCATGTGGGTGTGGCCCTTTTATGTAATGCTCCAGAAAAGCCACCTGAGAGAAGGAAGCGAAGACCTATTGATGAGGTAACTCTACAACATCTGATGTGTGACACTTAACAACTTGTTTTGATCTTACATTTAACTGTTCTGTTGAGTTGTTGTCCAACAAGAAGTCGTCATAATTAAGTTGTCTTTGAAAGATTTCATTTGTAAATTAAAGTGCACTTTACATAAATAAAGCAGTTTCTTTGTCTACTTCAGAATTGGTATGAATAATTTTAATGTGTAATTCTTAAATTAAATTAATTAATTAAAAAAACCCAGCTCATTTTGTTTGTTTTCAGGAAACTGTCCTATTGTTGATCCAATGATTCTATATTCCCTACCATGGGAGATACATCTCATGATTAGGTGTTGTTTAAGATGTTATATTTACTGTTTGACTCTTTGGTTTAGCTGGATATACTACAAATACTGAACAGATACATTGATTTTGTCAGTCACAGTAACAAAAACATCGATTCTGATTTAGCCACTGTCACAGTAACAAATACATCAATTCTGATTTTGTCACTGTCACAGTAACAAATACATTGGTTCTAATTTTGTCACTGTCACAGTAACAAATACATCAATTTTGATTTTGTCACTGTCACAGTAACAAAAACATCGATTCTGATTTAGCCACTGTCACAGTAACAAATACATCAATTCTGATTTAGCCACTGTCACAGTAACAAATACATCAATTCTGATTTTGTCACTGTCACAGTAACAAAAACATCGATTCTGATTTTGTCACTGTCACAGTAACAAATACATCCATTCTGATTTTGTCACTGTCACAGTAACAAATACATCAATTCTGATTTTGTCACTGTCACAGTAACAAATACATTAATTCTGATTTTGTCACTGTCACAGTAACAAATACATCAATTCTGATTTTGTCACTGTCACAGTAACAAATACATCGATTCTGATTTTGTCATTGTCACAGTAACAAAAACATCGATTCTGATTTTGTCATTGTCACAGTAACAAATACATCGATTCTGATTTTGTCACTGTCACAGTAACAGGTACATCTATTAGGATTTTGTCATTGTTACATATATGTATAATACCTGATAGCAAAACGTTTTTAAGGAAATACTTTTGGGAATTATTTCCCTGCATATACATTCACAACAACATTTGGAAAGATTTTATAGTTATCAGTTTCTTTTTCCTTTTTTGTGTGTGTATGGTGTGTCATATCCTGATCATTGTTGAGAAGTTCCTGCTAGTGCATAAATGTTTCCCTTAAAGGCCAAAGGTCAGGAAATTCCAATTAAACTAAACCATAATTATTTTTAAGGGATCATCAGTGGATGGGGATGCAGGATCGAATGAAAACCAAAATGATAAACACTCACTTACGTCCCGTTCCAAGGGAGGAAGCAGAGCAGCCAAGCAGAGAGCTATTGCCAGGGGAGATAATTTAGCTCCAGCTCAAGTATGTAACTGGTGTAGGAATGTTTCACTGCATGGCTGTTAATACAATTTAGATATTTTTACTCATAGAAGTATTATTTAGGGATCAGTTAGAATTTTAAGTTAACAGAGATGAAATATATTATTTAGAACTATATGTATAGTTGTGAAGAAAAACAAAATGAAAATAGCACCAAGTTGTGAAAATCGTAATTCAAACTCAAAATCAATGTAATATGAACAAAATACAAACAAAAGAAAGATTTACAAGGATGTCCTTGAAAGCATTCAAGGAGTACACAACCAGGTGTTCTGAAAGATTGAACATCTTTTGCTTCATGGATGACACCCACCATGTAAATTTCTGTCAATCCAGGTAAGTAATTTAACATTCTCAAATAAGAACAAGCTTAACAGCAATAAAACCACTGGGCATACTATAGCACTAGACCAAGGCAAACTCATGCGAAATGTTAAATCTTACCGTACTGCTCTTAAACTTGACACTGCAGGTTAAGAACTGTTGGTAAACCTTACAAATAGTTCTTGTGGACAAACAAGCATTATTGGTAAGGTTAAACTTCAACAGGAAGAAACAGTACTACATTTGCTGCAAACTGCAGGACCATGTTAATAAACTACATTGTATTGTATTTATATGACAGGTGGTGGTTGTACCCTCCCCCTTAAATTGCTCTGAACTTATGATCAGCATTGTTTGAAGTTAATGAGTTTTTTTTTTCACTATCTACAGAAAAAGCTTGCTAACATGTTGAAGGATTTAGAGGAGGAAGAGAAAGCTCAAGTAATCCGATTAGGGGATGCCAGTATTGCTTCACCATTTACATCCAAGCTTTCTACTCCAATGTGTAGTGAGTATCAGTACTATAGAGTCACCTACCATGTCTAGTGAATATTGATGGGTCTACTACCATGTCTAGTGAATATTGATGGGTCTACTACCATGTCTAGTGAATATTGATGGGTCTACTACCATGTCTAGTGAATATTGATGGGTTTACTACAATGTGTAGTGAGTATCAGTACTATAGAGTCACCTACCATGTCTAGTGAATATTGATGGGTCTACTACTATGTGTAGTGAGTATCAGTACTATAGAGTCACTTACCATGTCTAGTGAATATTGATGGGTCTACTACTATGTGTAGTGAGTATCAGTACTATAGAGTCACTTACCATGTCTAGTGAATATTGATGGGTCTACTACTATGTGTAGTGAGTAATATTGATGGGTCTACTACTATGTGTAGTGAGTCAGTACTATATAGAGTCACTACCATGTCTAGTGAATATTGATGGGTCTACTACTATGTGTAGTGAATATTGTCACCTACCATGTCTAGTGAATATTGATGGGTCTACTACTATGTGTAGTGAGTATCAGTACTATATGATCACTTACCATGTCTAGTGAATATTGATGGGTCTACTACTATGTGTAGTGAGTGTCAGTACTATATGGTCACTTACCACGTCTAGTGAATAGTGATGGGTCTACTACTATGTGTAGTGAGTATCAGTACTATAGAGTCACTTACCATGTCTAGTGAATATTGATGGGTCTACTACTATGTGTAGTGAATATTGATGGGTCTACTACTATGTGTAGTGAGTATCAGTACTACAGAGTCACCTACCATGTCTAGTGAATATTGATGGGTCTACTACTGTGTCTAGGGAATATTGATGGGTCTACTACCATGTGTTGTGATTATTAATTGGTCTGCTATAATTTTGAGTGAGCATTAATGGGTCTACTATCATATTTGATGAGTATTAATGGGTTTTCTATCATGTGTAGTTAGTATTAATGGGTATGTGATAATTTTGATTGAATATAAATGGATCTGCTACCACATATAGTTAGTATTAATAAATCTTCTATAATGTGTAGCGAGTATTATTTGGCCTATTGTAATATGTTGTTAGTAGTAATGGTTTTAATATTATTTTGATTTAGTATTAATGAGACTTCTTTCATGTGTAGTATTAACTGGTCTAGAAATGTTTTAAGTGAATATTTATGAGTCTAATGTCAGGTGTAGTGAGTATGGATGGATCTGCTCTCATGTGTAGTATGAACCGTATGATTTATAAGGAGTAGAAGTGAGAAGTACAACTCTACTTCCACGTTAAGAGAGTATTAAAGATGATTAAATATTGTTTGTTCATTGTAATTAGATTTTAGTGTAGAGAATTAAAGTATACAGTCTTGCCATACTGTTTCTAATTTCCAGTTTGTCATGTGATTAAACAAGGCCGATGTACACTAGTTACTACTCTCCAGATGTTTAAAATTCTTGCCCTCAATGCCCTGATCCTGGCCTATAGTCAGAGCGTCCTCTACCTGGATGGCATCAAATTCAGTGACAGTCAAGCTACCATGCAGGGTCTCCTCTTGGCAGGATGTTTTCTGTTTATATCAAGGTCAAAGGTGAGAAGAACAGACTGAGGTCATTAGTAAGCTAGAGCCATCAGCTTTTACTTCATTTTTTATGAAAGGAAGGCTTAGAAATTCCATTATTCAATGCTTAATATTTGGCATAAAAAGGGACCAAGATTTGTTTGACCTCTTTGTCTGTGATTAAGTGTAATATGGTTAATGTTAATATCACTAAACTTCCTTCCCAGATGGTGTTATATCGGAAAAACTGGAAAGTGATTAGGAATATTGACCATCACCTAGAAAGTTATGTAACACTTTTGAATTTTACGGTTACAGCCACTGAAGACACTATCCAGGGAGCGACCACTTACCAACATATTAAATGTGTACACATTGCTCACCGTACTGCTTCAGTTCTTTGTCCACTTCTCCTGTCTTGTGTATCTGGTGCAGGGTGCCAAAGCATTGGCTCCATCGTAAGTCTACTTCACAACATATTCTCCTAAATTCTTTGATCTTTATTAATGGATTTCCTTCTGAACATAAGTCATTACTGAATTATCAATTATTTGGTTGTCTGTTTGCAGGGTCGACAAGATTGATTTAGAAGCCAAATTTTCACCAAACCTATTAAATACCACTGTATACATAATATCAATGGCTTTACAAGTATCCACCTTTGCAGTTAATTATAAGGTAAGTAAATAAGAATCCATTACTTTATAAACTTGATTTTCTGAATCTTCATTCAATTAAAGTTTAAAATAGATCTGTTTCATGTTTCATAGTTATACTTTTCTTTTTAATCAGTATTCTAATTTCTCTGCATAATTCAATGTCAAATAATTAAAAATTTGTGTTCTAAGATTGTCTCCCTTGTTTACAGGGTGAACCTTTCATGGAGAGTCTACGTAACAACAAACCACTTTTGTACAGTTTGATGATATCTGGAGGCTCCATAGCTGGCCTGGCCAGTGGCATGTTTCCAGAAATAACAGAACACTTTGAACTTGTTCCTCTGCCAGAAGAGGTAAGGCAGTGGACAAAGCAAAGATCTATTACAAAGATAACTAGGCTGAAATCAAATTATGCAGAACAGCAAAAGTTTACTTAAACAGAAAGTAAAGTAGTGTTCTAATCACTATTTACATTTTATCACTAAAAGCACTGTTAGAGAAGTGACAGGCTGTTGTTAAAAAAAAACATATTGAGTTGTCTCCTTTAATCTCAGAAAATATGAAATTGTGAAATTTTAGTTAATTGTTTTTCTTCTTCATTTTTCAGTTTCGCAATGTCGTTCTCTCTACGTTATTGGCAGATGTTGCAGGTGCTTTAGTTTTGGATAGAATATGTTTCTTTTTATTCGGCAAAGGAAAACTTCGTCAAGGATGATGTGAATCTAGGAACAATTTAACAAATTAAATATAGTGTAATGTACATGTACTTTTTAATTTAATGGAATGTATGATGTATATTAAATTGAATTTGGGATCAAAATATCTATGTTAAAATTATCTTTAAAGTGAAGTGAATGACTATCTCAGAAGAAATATTTATTTATACATACAAGTCAGATATGGAAACTCATTACTCAAGAAAACTGCTATTGCACATGATTTTGTTTAAAGAATGCATTTTGCCAGGAGTTGAAGAGTTTCTTGGAAACAGTGCTTTTGCCTTTTAAATGAATGAAAGTGTTTTTAATTGATGAAATTCAGTGTTCACACATGTGACAAGAAGAATTTAAATTTGTGATGTATAGAAGAACCTTTGTGTCAATATTTACACAAAAAGATCACTATTTATTGACAATAAGAAGTAAAATTAAACCATTAAACACATCAGAAAGGTTTCTTTATTTTAATATAAATATATATTACTGCAAAAAATATCACAAAATACATAAGTATAAAATTCAAAATTTTAAAGTTATATTTTGAAGTTGAACTAAGATATTATGCACATATGCATTACAAATCAGACTAGACCACTATCATCCCATGCTACTGAAGCTTAATTTTATAATGTTAGTACTGATGGTCTTGATCGGAAATCGTATCACTGAAAATTCTAGTTAAATATATTAATCACAACTGAAAATTCTATGTACAGTATATTAATATAAAATATTCTTTTAACACATTTAAAAGTCCCTGAGATATGTTTTTTTTTGAGTGCGGTAATTGTTATAATGAAAGTAAAAGTAAAACCAACAGTGACAACTGATCTAGAAAATGATAAAGAACTGAAATCAGTTGTTGTTATATATCTGTGGTGTTGAAATAGGAGGAGAAAATACAAGGATAAATTTTAGTGACTAGATTATCAAGTTAAAGTAGCAGTGATTTTAAGACATGAAATGTTAATTGACATTTGAGTATACATGTACATCAATAAATATTGGTAATGAACTGTAATTTTAAAAAACAAAAATTTAGTATTATGTGTCAAAATTATACAAACACTTGCACACATGAAAATAACGCTGAGATATTGAGATGTATCAAAACGAAAAGAAATCTTAAAATAGACCATTGGTACAAACATTCAAATGTTTAACTGTTAACAATACCTTAGTATATATATTTCAATATCTTGAGTATTTCCCATTTGATCAGTGATGGGAACATTAAACAGAAGTCCAGATATCATCAGTCTGTTCACTGCCACAGGTGCTCTAGGTACAATACAATTTTAGCTGGAAGCGTGCTTTGAAGTTCTGATCCGTGGGTAAATATGGATACCACATAATGTAGTTTGTGTTCCAAATATTGTTGTACAAATTGAATGACACACCTGTCACATCACTTTGAGCAATTGGTTTTAATGGAACTGGGAAAGGGGATGGTGGATGGAACTTTGTTGCTATAGAAACAAGTGGCACATCATAGGTATGAAACTGTAGACCATTTCCATTAATTTTGGTGAAGTACACGCCATTGTCCACTGCTGTAATTTAGAAACAGAGAAATAAAAACAGTTTTAAGATCCTCTTTGTATCAACTCTAGATTTTGATATTTAACATAGGTTTACCTGTAAATGGTATATTGTATGGAACTACAAACATATATACACATACCTTTAAACTTAGGAATATATGTATCAACTTTGACCAGTGTCAAATAACCTCATTTGGCACCAGAAATGTGACTATTAGATTTGACAATTCAATTTCTTCAAGCTTCATTATTCACCACATATTATCTACTACTGTGTTTGCCTAAAGTAAACATGAAATAGTATTCAGAATTGTAATACTGTGGTGAAACAAGTGAAATAAAAACTTAATGATATTTTGCATCAATGTACAATTAATTCATTATATTGACTTCTAAAATCACAAAAGCTTAAAAACCTAACAAATAAACAAAATAACTGGTGACCACTGATAAGCAATCTCAGTAACAGGAAAACTTGCTCAAAATGTTAAAACCTGAAATGAAAAACCACAGATTAGACCAGCCTTTCAAGACTTACCATGAACATACTGACTACCATTCAGTACAACATTTCCAGGATCAACAAGGTGACCCACTTTTGACACATGCCATTTGAACTGTGATTCAGAGGTCTCTCCTCCAGGGGATCGTGGGGCAAAGTGGTACATGATAGCTTCAGCAAGACGAGTAGGTGGTTTCTGAAACCACTGAAGTGTGACATCAAACCCTGGAACAGAAATCTCTCATTAAAATTCAGAACTTGGTAGTTAATCTGAAGTCTGAAGTCATACAGTTTGAAAAATGGTTACATAATATTTACACTTTGTGACAGAATTGAGAGCATATGCTATTTGATACAATCTGACTGATTTTTGTGAACAAGTAGATAAGAGATGGAGCATCAACACGAGGGACTCTGTGAAGTAGATTTTATTTGTTGACATGATTTGTTAGGAGGCCTACCATCATCAGAATAAGTTTACAATGGTTTTGTAGAGCGAAGATGCAAAATAGGGTCTACAATACAATGACGTCATGATAATTGTTGGTATAGATCACAGAACAAACTTTGGAAATAGTAACTGTAAATTGGTGAGATTATGGACTATAATACAAAAAGTGGCAAACAAGACTGACTTGGATTATTCTTCTAGTCATGGAATGATGATAATGAAATACAATGCAGCAAAACGAAAATATATAATTTGGTAAAATACCAAATGACACGTGTATTTATACTGTCAAAAAATGTATTCATTATTGGCATGTTCAGTCAAGTCTTCTTTTAGTTTAATGTGAATGATTATTGTTCAGAGTTAAAGTTATAGACTACCTTACACATCTCGATGATGATTTGTGTCTGGAGCTGGGGTTGTACATTACCTAATGCTTTATATCTTAGATTTGTATCAAACTCAGGTTGTAAACTATTCTTCATTCAAAAATAACTTTAGCTTTATACCTCAGATTCAACAATATATGTTTTTCTACCAAGTATTTAAAATGATTTTGTATACTCAAATATCTATTCAAATTTCATTGACTAATCACCTTTCATGAGAGATAACTGTTCTCAACCAGGAATTTCTTTTATAAAAAATGGAAAATTACCAACTCATTTTCTATTTTATATAATTCATTCGTATATGTTAAAATAATTGGATATAGATAGAGGTCTGTTGAAGAATGTAGTTGGACCTACCTCCATAGTTGTTAGCCATTTTCTTCGAGATATAATGTAACCAGAATAAAGGTGGAGCTCCGTAGCGTTTAGTGGCCACAATGTTGGACATTTCAATCTTCAGGAGTATGTCACAGGCAGGAGCTACCACACAAAAAACAGGTAAAAAACACACCAAGATGATCACTCACTCCAATATAATGGAGATTATGCATTCAAATACCTATGTATGTCATTTGATATTTGAAAAACAACAATAGAATGGGGACATGTCAACAAAACTGAAATTTACACTCAAAAAGGATCAAACAAAGGCAAACATGAACAAAGGAACAAATTTACTCTAAAATCCTTGTAAAGAAACAAGGAAAGCACGGATAGGTGTTTCTGAAGGATATTAAAGTGTTTCTAGCTTCACATATAACACCCTGACCATGTAAATCTAGGACAGTCCATGTAGGGTGACATTTTCAAAATAACTTGTTTTCTGACAATCCACCAAGAATAATGATAAGTTTAACTAAGGGCTTTCACCAGTGATTATGTCCATCTCTACTTCACTATTAACAGAGTACCACAACTTTGAGTTTAGAGAGTACTACTGTACTGTCAACAGAAAACTTGATAAATTAACCTGATTTATGTGACTTGTAGATTGTAATGAGTCTTGTGAACCACTGGCGAGAGTCTGGATGAGCGTTGGACGTGGAGTTGGGTTTGTCGTATCCAGCGCCCCCATAGTAATTATACTGAGATGCCATGTTGTTGAAATCTGTCTCATTGTAGGTATAATAACGTATCTCTCCAAAAGTGTCCGTTCCACTTGCCCAGTCTATCTGTGGGTTGTAAAAAATATTATATTACATGTGTATTTAATCACACAAACCAAAATACAAAAATGTACATGCATATATATACTTTTTATACTATGCAGAACATGAATTGTTGAGTTTAAAGTTTGTAAGAAATACCTTTGTAGAAAAAATGTTGTCATGAGACAGAAAATTAATTGCATATCTTTCTGGAAATAACAATTAAGTCCTACTTGTACATTTAAGCCAGAATCCGATGAAACGTTTCTGTGACAGTACCTTATTATAAGGATCATAAAGCCTGTTGATGGCACCTGTTTTGGAGAATTGTATCTGTACACCATCTTCGCAGCTAAATACTTGTGCAACATCCTCCACAGCATCATAATCTGTCAAAGTGGAAGTGCTGTGATCAAATCATTTGAAAAGTCAATATAAAACCTGAGTACATATATTCCAACTGCTCCTTAACTTTAACAAATTCTTTAACCTCAAAATAATAATAAGAAGAAAAGAGTGAAAAATTAAAGGAAGATTCTGTTAGGCAACAATTTTCTGTTTGTTAACTCCAATAATGGTTTTCTGTGGTAATCAATTTATTATCAATTGTCACCACTAGCTGTGTGTATACTAAACCAATAGAACTCACCTGTCAAATCAGGTTCCTCTGGAGTCAGTTGTTGTATCTCATTCTCAGCTATATAGGATAAAGGGTGACCTTTGACCCTTTCCAGGGCAATATCAATAAATTGTCTCTGCTCCAACCAGGCATTTTCACAGTCAAGAAAGTTTTTACCTTAAAATGGTATGATAATGAAAAGGCAATATTATGGAAATTGTGCAAATTGTCAGAATATTCATGTAACAGAGGTCATTATTTATTTCAATGCCTCTACTAGGAATCGAACCTTAAAAGTCTGACGCTCAACCAATCAAGTTAAAGATAAGTTCTCTCTAGCCGAGTCATATATTGTGGCTAGTATTTTATTTTACCATGGTTACATACTCCCCCTCCAGTAAATAACTTGATCTCGAGTTTCCAGGGGTTACAGCGATGCTGGTGGGGCATGGCTAAGTACCATGTAACAGAGGTCATTATTTATTTCAATGTCTCCGCTAAGAATCAAACCCGGGACCCCTGGCTTACTAGTTTGACACTCATCCAAGCGAGCTAAAGAAAAGTTCTCTCTAGCCAAATGGTATATTGCGGCTAGTATTTTACCAGGGTTACATACATCTACACATGTATACTAAAGTTACACAGGCATGAGAATACAGGTATGTTCCATTTAGAATAAGTTCTGATGTACATAATGACGGCAGGACGATAGTTTGTGCCTCACATACATATATATATCCCCAACCTTGATTTATTTCAGAAGTATCACCTTTAGTATATTTAGCAATGTTGACTTGTGAACAGTTATTCTCCCAAATCCAGTATAAAATCACATTGCTGCACCTTATAAGATTATCTAACTTCTAAAACATGTGAAATTCCTATAAAGAATCCCTGATTATCAATAAGTCCCCAACTTACCATTTCGAGCCTTAAGAAACAATGGGTTTGACCAGTTGACGTTATCTCCTACTCCTGGCAGGCCCCATGTGTGTTCTGGAGGTTTGATGATGAAACGGATGGCATCCTTGATCCTCTTATCATTGTAATCACACTGATCTGAGAATAAAACACATGACCAGAATTAATCTAATCCACATGATGCTCTCTTTGAAGAACTCAACCCTTCAAAACATTCGGAACAAACTATCAATGCAATTCTAGTATATTTACATTTTATATTCAAGCATTTCATTGAAGCATAGAGACTGATTTTCAAATATCAAAAAGTACATCTGTATCTCGCATGTTAATTGTATCAACAGGTTTATCGACACACTGATATCAATAATTCTATCATTAATTACACTTTTACAAACGTCCATAACATAACATGTCTTAATTATCACCCATTATTCCCCGCACTTTCTAAAGTCTCACCTGTCATAAAGCAGCTACTTAGAGATTTGGTAAAGGCTCTATATTTGGCCATTTTGTTTGGGTCAGATGCAATCCCCTGTATCCAGGTGTCCCCTACTTCTTTGCTGATTACAGGGAGCTGGTTTTTGATTGGCTGAACAGCTTCAAAGAATTCATCAAATGTGGAAGCCTTGATTTTAGCACCAGGAAATTCTTTTCTCATGATTTCATAATAGTTCAAAATATCCTAAAGCAAAGAAAAAAAATCTGCATTGTACATGAGAATTTACAGTTTTTTGTTCAAAATTAAAAAATAACTCATCCATTTCATTCAGAGTCAAAAGGCAATATCTATTATCTCAAAAAATGTGTATTTTAATTAAGTTTGGTCAAAATTGGTAAAATGATTCTTCTTGCCACCACTGATATGATCTGCCTATCCTGCTGATTGTCCCAGCCCTGACCTTTTTTTTTATTTATCCATTAACTATATTCCTGCTTTACTTTTGCACTTGTATTTTTATTTCACTTGTTGCTTTGGGAGACTTCCATGCTTGTTTTATTTTGTATTTAGATTACATGTCACCTTGTTTCAGACAGTGTTAGGAACCTAGTCACTAATCTGGTCACACATAGCACAGAAATTGATAGACTGTGTTATCCATATCACTTACTTGGATACTCTTAGGAGGTCCTCCATTATCCTGTATAAAGGCATAACACAATGCATGATTGAAACCTTTCACTGTCACACAGTCTTTCCTTGATAGTCCCCCAGGCTTGGCAGGGCTGCTCCCTGGTCCCAAGGGATAGCCACCTGAATATGCAGCACAGGACACAGGAAGAATGTTTCATTTTTTTCTCTCTTCCAAATCTCTGCTACCTTTATATGCTGTCTTTATATTCTTTCAAAACATTTCATGGAGGAAACTGAATATAATTCAAAATTTGAAATCTCAAAAACGTACATCTTGATGGAAAATGACTTCTTTACAACCTGTATTAGCCTGATTTATCAGTTCAACCTATACTTATTTTTCATAGTCTTTTTATGTAACTGGTAGTTATCAGCATCAATTTACTTAGTTTTTATTTACAATTTGACCTCTGTTAACCTGGACTTGAGATGTAACTTAAGTTCACCTATATATAGCATTAACTGTGTTCATCTGTATTTTCTTTTTGGAATTGTGTTTATTTAGCTTTGATTCAATATGTCTACTTCTAAAGACTTGCTATTATTCTTTTACTTCTGCTTGTTTCTCTTTACCTAAATTTACCTTATTGCCAGAGTCAGAGACATATATAACACATACATGTGTTATATACGTCTCTGCCAGAGTTTACCTTTATAAAATTACAATGATGTCAATTGTACTATATATATATAAAATAAATTTAATCATTTTTACAACAACTGTGAAACGGGTTTTCAAACTTATACTAATCACACTTGTTGGCCTTGACTGAAGTACACAAGGGGTCTGACAATGGGAGGAAACTGGTGTATCCAAAGAAAGCCTACATGGATGGTCAGTTGACTTCTTACCTTTTGTTTACCTGAAGTTATATGTATTGACCTGAGTGTTCTTGTGGTTACAATGTATTTGTATGGACCTGAGGTTACCTGTAGTTATTTGTATTAAGCTGAGGTTACTTAAGATTATATTAATTGTATAAGAACCTCAGGTTATCAGCAGTTATTTGTTGCGGTTACAATATATCTGTATGGGTCTGAGATTACCTACAGTTATTTGTATTGACCCGAGTTTACTTTTGGCTACAATAGATTTGTCTGGGCCTGAAGTGTTTATTTGCGTTGACCCAAGTTTACTTGTGGTAACAATATATTTGTGTGGACCTGAGGTTAACTATAGTTATTTGTAATGACCTCAGTTTACCTGTGTTTACATGTTTTGACTAGTTTTTATGTGAGGAAATAATTGTATTGACCTAGGAGGCCTTGTCTTTACCTGCATGCCAAGTGGCAAGGACAGCACTTTCCTCAAATTTCCAAAGAAAGAGCTTTGGTACCGCTGGTGGACTGGTGCCTGGGTTTACTCCCACAGAAACAGCTATCACACCTTTCTGCACGAGACTTGGAATGACTGCCTGTGTCAGTCCTGTAGAAAGCCAACACAGATTTTACACAACTTACATCCACAACGGTATGGTATATATAGAAAATACAAGGGACTTACATTTACTCAGGAAGAAGTATTTGAATACTTACCAGGAACATCACGCTGACTAAGGGTAGGAAATTTCCTTTTTATGTAGAACAATGCATCCAAATCAGAACTGATGTTAAGACTCAAATCAAAAAGAATTTTATTGATATTTTCTGGTTGCATGTTCATTGGTCCTGCGTGCCATGTGATGTCGCCTCGATCAACAGCAGACTTAAATTGTTCCACTTGAGTTTCATTTGGACACTGAATCAAAACAAAATCAGTTTTAAACAAAAACATCAACAATCATTTCATTACATTTTCTTTGGTCAAATGAAATGAAATGAAGAACTGAACAAGCTCAATTTTGTCTAAATTAAGAGATTTCAAATATGAATTGTTGATCAAAATTTGATAGTATTTTTGTTTTTTCTTTTGAAGTTCAGTCCATTGTATCTGTTCAGTAATGGAAAAAAATTGTCGTCTTCTAGATGAGGGCACAGTTGTCAATTACTCACCGTGGTTATAATGCACAGGGCACATGACTACCAAGCAACTCTACAGATACTTCATACAAGTATCATATGTAATGTGAGGGTTTGATTAATCATTTAGGGAAGCCAAGTCAATAGAATGTGACTTTTTCTTTGTATGATCAATGTCATAAGAACAATTTAAGTAAGGGAAAAAACATAGATGGACAATGGTCAGGTTATTGGTACTTACCTTTAGAGTAATGTTGTTAAGAACAAAATTTTGAGGACAGTCAAGGAAGAGACTGACCAACCAAGGATGAGTCGTGTACACAAATCCCTCCACATACTCCTCTGTTCGCAACTGCTGGGACAGGTTGATGGCTCGAGGAAAGTACTCATGGAAGTAGGTGTTTAATATATTGTTGATGAACCCTGTCTGTGTTACACCATCATAACCTACATCTTTAAAACAACAAAAATCTGACAGATTAAATAAACTTTATAGTGGATCGAGAACATATAACTTGGTATGCCATTTTCGATTCCAAGTGAAATGTTTGCACATTAACTATATATGTTGTGCAGATTAAAAAGGGAAAAAATATATGCTCAGGCAAAAGACATACAAGAACACAAACAGCAATACCTCTCGCTATGTCTTATCTGACGCATATAATTCATTTGTCTCTCTTTAAACTAGAAAATCAATTAATTACCTAAATGCGTCATGAAAATCAGATGGACTGTATCAATTTCCGAAGACTGTGGCCTTCCAGGAAACCCCTAAAATTAAGTAAAATAAATTTCATCATATTACACCCAGTGACAATTTATTTAGTATGTTCATGAGGTGTGGGTATATATTTTATCAGTAGCCAGAAATGCGAGATAAATATAAAACCTACCGCATAACACCTAAGACTACAATAAAACAAAAATGAAACAGCAAAACGTAAACACAGCCGCCCGTGAGCCGCCATATTTTGATCATGTGACCGTGTAACATCTGTCAAGGGAGATAATATTGACAAAATACTGTTTGAAAGTAAACGTTTGAAATGACATAGAGAATTGATCATATGCAAAAATGACACAGAAAAAATAATTCATTATTTATTACTTGTAAGCTTTTAAACAGACCATTAAGCACGAATTTGGACTGTTTAAGATCGCTCCAAATCAATTTGTTTATTCACACAAGTATTTAATAATTTTTACTCTAGCCTGTATTCAAAAACTAATTGGTTATGAAAGAAATCATAACGCAATTTTGTGTCTGTGTTTGATCACCATAATAGCCTTGTTTGAATATCATATTATTAAAAACCATCAACCGTGAAACACTATTTACAAAAATTCGATATATACTCAGTCATAATATAACAAACTGACTTCTTATTGCATATGTATGAACCTCAAAGTGCTCACAGATGTTTTATTTTTTATAACTGAAAGTGGATGACACGCATTTAGACCTAAAACAGATGATACAATCTACCACTGTCTCCAAACGATGTAGAATAAATATCTCTGGCTTCTGGTTGCAATACACAAAATGCACCAAGACAAAACTAACAGACGTCAAGACCTGACGAAGATATTTATTGCTCATATTTAAAATTAAGGCGAGATTACAGAGACAAGTTCTGTATATCTAGATAGAAAACATGATTTCTTGTCCGGTGCGACTAAATGATGATTAAATCCAGGTAAGAGAAAACGGTTATTTGTGATTGTTGTGTAGGCTTTATTCAGAAAAAACTTATTTAATTCAGAGTAAAATCAATATATTCACCAGTAACAATTCTACAACTTGTATAATAACAGTACACATCTACATACGGAAAATACAGAGATGAATTTACGTACATTTTACCTTGATATTGCAGTGTTGCAATGGTTATTTTAGAATTAACGATAAGTTTCTTTAAATAGTGTTTTCAAAGTATTTTATGTTCACGCTTTCGTTCTATATCACTTGAAAATACCAAAACATACAATCCATAGAAGATAACAACTTGATTTTACTGGATACCGTCAGCAGGAAAAAATCTACCAATTAAGTTGTATATACACTACAAACACTTAAATATATGTATGATTGTACTACACTAATTATGTATAATGATACAATGTGTTAATACACTATGTATAAAACTATATCGGACTAATTATGTTTAGCGATACAATGTGTTAATACACCATATATAAAACTATATAATTATATATAATGATACAATGTGTTAATACACCATATATAAAACTATATAACGTGTTAATACACCATATATAAAACTATATAATTATGTATAATGATACAATTATGTATTGTGATACAATGTGTTTGTGATACTGTATTTAAAACTGTATTTTACTAACTACAATGTATGTATAATGGTACAAAGTGTTAATACATCATTTATAAAACTATATCGGACTAGTATAGTGATACAATTTGTATCAATACTACATAAAAACCATATCAGACTAGTTATGTATAGTGATACAAGCTGTATATATACTATACTGAGAGGAAAAAGAAACGCAATTAGAAATTTCCAGGTCAACTACGGGGAATAGAAAAGGGTTTTAGAATGTAATTATGGTGTAACTGGAAGATAGTTGACCACTCTGTCATCTACGAGAATTTCATTCGTGTACGTTAAGTAAACCTTTCAAATTTGACGTGTGTGCCCCCCCGCGAGCTGCAGTAACTGCACGAACTCTTTTGTGCATTGAATTGGTCAGGGTATTAACCCTCCTCATTGGTATACGATTCCATTCCTCATCCAGCGCAAACGCCAACTGAGCGACGTTTATAGGAGGATTCTGCCTACGTTTTATCCTTCTGTCCAACTCGTCCCATAAATGTTCTATTAGGGAGAGGTCAGGGCTGTATGGGGGCCAGTCTACGGTGGGGACATTGTTTGCTGCGAGATAACCACGGCAAACCCTCGCTACACGCGTCCGGGCGCTGTCCTGCTGAAACGCCAGTTGACGGTGCTGTACTAGAGGAACAACATGTGGCGCTAGGACTTGATTTCGGACGGCCGTAAGATTTCCCAGAATAACGACCAGAGGAATCTTGATACCATGCGCAATCCCTCTCCATACCATAACCAATCCTCCTCCAAAGCGGTCATTCTCTATCACACAAGCATCTGCATAGCGCTCGTTGGTACGTCTATAGACACGACGTCGGCCGTCTGCCTGGTAAGCGAAAACCTGGACTCATCTGAGAACAGGACCCTTCTCCAACGTTGCATTGGGAAGCGTTTTATGGAATGTTCGTTCAGCCATTGCATTCGTCTGGCACGTCGCCGCGCATTAAGCTGTGGTCCAACATATGTTCTTTGCTATTTCCGTGGCCGTCAGAAAGCGATTGCGTAGGTGCGAAAGTCGCATTGCCCTATTCTGCCGACGCGTCGTCACACGAGGGCGACCGCTTGGGGGACGGTCTGAAACCCTTCATGTGGCATGTTCGATGGATGGACTCCAAATTGATTAGCGACCTGATTTTGCGGGGCACCTTGCATAAGAAGTGCAATGGCACGACCCCTGTCAACTTCGGACAGTCGTGACATTTTTTACGGTGAACTGTTTATGCCTAAAATGTGGGGAGTCAAGATGGATATGTCTGAAGATTCGCACACACAGATTTTAAACCAATCCTTTATACTGGGTTCGAGATATCGTGCTTTGGTCTCTTATTCTTTTGTACAAGCGGCGTGCGCAGTTTAGATATGCATCAGTGATTTTATACGGTACCATACGGACCTAACTCAAATGCACACATTTGTCAAGTTTCAAGGGTGTACGTCAAGGATTTAATTTACAATATCAACTTTCTGCTAATTGTGTTTCTTTTTCCTCTCGATATATATATATAATGTAGTAATCACGTGTATTGGTATATCTATTTAGATCTTTATATGAAATGTTTCAGATCCAGCTCCCCGGCAGTCTAACATGAGGTTTTACAGTCGGGAATCTATCCTGGTAGAGATTGCTCTATCATAGCTATGGGACAATCCTATTAGTCATTACTGTCTGAATACGCTCTATAATTAACCAATCCCTTTATTCATATTAAAACGGATGTGCCGTGACAGTGTTCTCACTGTAAATCTTCTCTATACCATACCCCTATTTGTTGTGACAGTAGTTATCTTGTAAGACTTTTTGACGTCACAACAACACGACGCCTTACAGCCCCATTTCTCAATCCCAAAAAGCACCCCGAAAGTTCGCCGAAATTTCTTCCCAACACAAATATATATGACAAAGTTTATGCTGGAATTTATGACATACAGAAAATTAATGATTACTGTTATAATGGTTTGTACGGAAGCGTTGTCTTTTTCGTCATCAATTAAAAATTGGACCTGGTTTAAAAATCCAAGTGCCTGGCATAATGTGAATACTGCAATAATGAGGACTATCATGGTCGTGGTGTTTTTCTATTTTAACGCGAGAAGTGCATGCCTTTAGTGTTCGTCGAAGAGCGCGCATTTCACTTAGCTTCCTTAGAATAAGGATGTTGAGCGTGAGAAGGGCGAGAAATGGAATTCAGAAGTAAACTCCGGTGTACATCCATACAGCATACACAGACTTGTAGACAAATCCTTTTCCAACATCTGACTGTCTTATGACATAACAATCAAGATGATATTGTCGACATTAATCTGGGAACATTATATCTAAGAGCAAACAATATTATCCCGACAATCGAGACTAACACTTTTTTACTTGAATGAATATAAACATGCTTCATTGGATGGCATATAGCGATGTACCGTTCAATGGAGACGAACACCAGCTATTCGTTATACAACTGTGACGTCATGGTGAGATAGCCTTGAATCCATGGGGAAGTATAACGTGGAATCCGAAATCCCTGTGAACAAGCCTGGCCACAAGACTAGGCAAGGCATAAGGCTACACTGGCGAACGTTATTAGAGCTATGTCCGAGACCACTAGTGCTCTAAGGAACAAATTTGTCATGGACGCCGTATCCGTCTTCCACAGAATAATAGCTTTATTCCCAATGTATCCGAATGTCATCACCATGGGAACACATATTTCGTATATAACAAACTCTATCGGAACTTTCCCGTTGTCTTGTTGCTTATGTTTCCTGTGAATTGTTCTTCTGTTACATCCATGTTAACAGTTAAAGACAGTGTGAATATCTTTAGCATTTATCTAATAGGAAACTAACGAAATATTTGTTGCTCATGTTTCCGATGAATACTTCCGTTATATTTATGCTACAAGACATTGTAAATTCCTTCAATGTTATTACTTGTGTCCCAACCATCACTGGACAACGTTTTCTTGTATGTTGAGAGCTTTAAGTAATACAATGTTTTCTACATCATACCATGATTAAATCATTCGATAAACATATAATGTACTTCCGGTTGTTGCTGTGATCTCATGGTATCCTGTTTGAACGGACCGGAATCTAACGACCGATAGCCTATCAGATTATGTATCTTTGCTAGTAATCTCACATAGCCTGTATTGAATTGTAAAACACGACAAACAATTAGGAAATCGTACATAAAAGGCGATGGCACCATAAACAGCTGATTCTGTAATAAATGTCGACGTTATTCTGTGAACATTACGTGATCGGCCGCCATGACAAAAATCTTTTCATTGAGCTACATTTTGATGTCTGTAATTTGATGTTTATTCCTAACTGTATCTAGTGATGTTATTTTTGAAATAGTTTTTCGCTTGACATTTATCAATGCGATGGCACTTTAATAGCATACATCATTTAGAACGTTCATTATTTGTCTATTCTATAAAGAACATGACGTGTTCATTGACCAAACATGAAAAACAGAACCGGTGTTTAAGGCTTGTGACAGTTTGTTTAATTTTTGATCGTTTTTGTTTTGAATAACAGTATCAACTCCCTCAATTATTGGAGTGTCCGAATTTTTTAAAATTTCCAATCTTCGTTGCGATATTTTTTGTTCATCAGATGATGCACCAATCTTTTTCTTAGTCATATAAATCATAATTTTTGAATGGATACACAAAGGTTTTTAAATATATGCTATTTACATAGACTGCAGCAAGTCAAGTGCATATGTACTTTTAACGCCAGTTCTTGTTTTATTTCAAAGTGTTACTTTTCTTTCAAACTATTATACAGTAAAATGTTTCATCCTCGAAACTTGTGCTAAAACAGAAATAGACTGGAAAATACGATGCTTGTTTAGGGGTAGGGAACAGTGCTGTTGGTTGGTGCAGCGTTTGGGAAAGTTTGACGTTATCACCGTAAAATAGTTCAATACTGTAGTATTCATTGTGAAATGTTCGTTAATTTGTTATTAATCCAGTCCACATATTTATATTGGATTGATCAGTACTTACATGCCAGGTGTTACCGATCTTTTACAAGAGTCTCTGTCAGTTTTTACCCCGTTTTATCGATTTTGAGCAGGACTTAAGATGCTGTAGTGGTTGTTTCTGGTTTTATATACGTGCATGTATCATTAATATATTTTAACAATTCTTTCTATTATACGAATTATTTTATAACTATTATTATCATAATGATAATAAAATAATTATCTTTAATATACGTGTAGGTTTATGTATGTTTTCGTGCGAGATTTTACAGATTATATCATAATAACATTTTAACAATTACTTGGAGGTGATTAATTCAGTATGTCATAAATAACAACACATACTGTATGAAATTTCTTTACAAAAGACTTTTCTGTGTGACTCAGATCTGTTGGCGCCTTTGAATGTCAGCACACAGACAAACACTATCAAGTATTTTGAAGAAAAAAAACCCGTGTCTCCATTCATTAACTAATACAGGTGCTACAGTATATTTCGGAGCATTATAAGAAGTCTATTCTCTAGAAGTTTCCGTTATGGTTGAAATGGGTTTTGCAGTGATTTTCAACTAACAGAGCCCAGTTTAACATTTTGATAGGATTAAATAAATGAATCAACAGTTTCCAGCTTTATATATGTCCTGAATGTATAATTAAGCGAAATGTCGAGAACTAATGTTAGTATGGTATATATTTGTCTGCCCCGGAAATGTCTGTAACATGCAATATGAATGGAAACACGTGGACGTATAGTCAGTAAAATTAATGCTTTAACATTTCTTTTATACTAACTCCTCTAGCTTAGACAGGCTAATATATTCCATAACAGATACTGAATCCTGAACAAAAGGAAAATTTACTCGGAAAACTCAGAAACCGCGGAACCACACCCCCCCCCCCTTCCCGTGTATGTCATATAGTTTCATTTGTTTTAAAAGCCATGTCCTTTAAAACTGTTTAGTATAGCACACTTATTTATGATTACAAAGTGTAATGTTTTAAAAGAATTTTGGTACATGTCAAGATGTGTCATAGTTACGCCCACTACATAGAACACAAAGCTAATTCTGTATTTCATCAGAAATATTCCATTTGTACGGTGTTCGTTAATTTACTTAATGTTATCGCTGGCGTTAACTATTGCAGACTGGGATTGACAAAGTATTAGTTTTCAAACTTTCTCCGCGTAAATGTTTCCCTAGTCTATGTTCTGCCCTCTTACTTTAAATATGAATAGTCATGACGGTATTTTCTTTTACATCCAAACTGTTTGCTCACTTTTGTGCAATTTAGAATTGTTTTTTTTTGGTAATACAGTGATAAACTATAAACCAAGCGAAATTCTCCCAACAGTAATGGTTGGATTAATGATATAAACAGGTTTTAGAATAAATTGTTCTGATGTAAACGACAGTTATGTTTTCTGACCTATCATTATTATACTTAGCTGTGTGGTATAATGAATGTTAATGGATGTAATTAACAAAGGCACCGTTCCGTCAGGATGCACTTAAGTATGATAAAGCAGATGTTATAACATTGCCATGGTAATCGTTTATCTTCTGACGGACATGTGTTGAAATAAAATGAGTTTGTAAATCAGAAATAACTTAGCAGTGGTTACTGCAAAACATTGGAGAGGCTATATAACAAATATATATAGAAAATATTCAGTAAATTTTTCAATGAAACTTTCAGTGTCACGTGCATCATTTTAAAAATGAGGTCAACAACTCCGGGATTCAATTTTTACGCACTAAGATATTACGCAGCTAAACATACTAAAATGATTGCATACTGCACATAAAGGTAACACATTTAAATACGGGCCTGTTGACTATATCTAAGTCTGTAGTCTAACGATATCCTTTATTAATCAATTATTACGTAATATCTTTCCACGCATGACTTCACATTGTGCGTTTACGTTTACATTTCACCGTTTAACTCCTCAAGGCATCAAATCGTTTCAAGAGTAAAAGTGTATCCTGAACATTTTCCTGTATTTAGCCATAGAATACTTCATATTATACAATAAGAGGACAAGAAAGTGCGATTGTCATGGTTATTTACGTTTCCTAGTCGTTGTGATTTATCTGAAATGCACCCTTTGTCTCAGCGGCGATCACCGCGATATTGGTAGTCAACACTGTCAAAATTGCCCAGTAGAGATATTTCGTGTATTCGATACACGATTTTTTAGCTACTTTCGTGATCTCTTTCGTTGACACTTACTTTAATGGTTATATTAAAAGTGCTACTTACATATAGAAACCTTAATAAAATGCATTGTGTTAAGGTACCATGTGTTCCGACATCACGCCAATATATCGTTGTATATGTTGACCTTTAGATACCTTTATTACTACTGTCTTATCGATATAGTGTGATTGTATTTGGTTTTGTTTGATTCTGGACAGGAACATCTCAGTGATGTTTGGAGACGAGCTTTTGAGTATAAATTTGTCGTGTCCGTGAGATTCACATGAATGTAACAAATAACGACATTCACTTCGATGATTTAAAAACACTAACCTTTGAAATGCCACAAAATATGGATATGTAAAAGTGAAAGAAAAGTTGAAATACAATACAATAATATTTTATTAGTGTTTCACATCATAATTTACAATAAATCACACAAAACTATTGCCAGACATAATGATGTCCAGCCGGATTCGGATTACGAGACACTGTTAAATGTCAAAATAAAAGACGTATTTTACGTAATACATGTATCGGTTACAATGACATTTTAAAAGAGAATGTCTATGCCTCATAATGAGATGAATTGATTTTGATTAAAGATATTGAGTTTCTTCTGTTTGTAAAATTCATAAAAAAAATTCAAGGCATAGTAATTGAAATACATGAAAACAGTTATTATCTCCGCATGAGATACGCCTCAGCTCACAGATGTTTGTCATCCTGTGTATATATAACATTGACCAAGTTTGCTACGGATTGCGTGTAGGCGACAATCGGAACCATGGTCTCTCTCTATAATATTTTAGTGATTATGACGTTCCTATTGGGAGATATTAGCCCAGGTAAGTCTTTGAATATTAATATCTTGTATGCAAATTGTCTCCTAACTTCATATTATGTATAATTGACCACATAGCTACAAAATGTATCGGCAGTGTGCTTGCTGTCATCTGGTCATATTGATACGTAAAAGTTTCACTGAATCCTTGTCTGAAGCGAATTATAGTTTACATATCGTCTGTATAAGAAGCACGACATCACGGATGTTTTGCATGACATTATGGCGAGCGATGCCGACATTTATCTCTCAAAATTTTGTAAGATATATTGGTAAATAGTTTTATAATACATCTGTATGATTTATGTACAAGATATATATATGTGTCATATCGTTCTTTTTAATTATATATAGATCTATATCTATATATAGGATCATAAATGAGTTTCCATTTCATAGGAGATTTAATGAATCGATTCTTAGACTTATTTTTGTCTTTTAGATGCATAAAACCTCAAGAAATGAAAACAGTGAAAATATCATTTTTACCTGTTATCACATAACTCTAAACGTTACATTTTAAGAGGTTTTAAGGTAAATATGTGGAGGACAAAACGAAACGGAGCAGCTAATTTGCTGTCCATATTATGAAATCGTAATCGATTTCTGACTGGCAAAGCAAAGGAAAAACGCTGTAGAGTATCGTTACACTAGTGACATACGTGCAAAAAACAAAGAGAAAATACCAAATTGTCAACGTAACCATAACCTACACTCAAATAAAACAAGTACAAGGAGATTAAGACCTAGGAGTTCTAGAAGAGTAGGCATCCTCTGCTTCATCGACGACATATATAAGACTATCGAAAACAATCATTTCGCAAACGGCATTTCACATTGGGGCCAAGGTTTACATGCCGGGTGTCGTTGATGAAGCAGAAGACGCTTACACTTCAGGAACACCTGGTTTTATTCCCCTTGTACTTTTACATGAGACATCACGTGAAAACTTTCTTTTGCCATCTGTTGATATGTTGGTATTTGCGCGTCGTGCCAGCTTTCCAAAACTTTCCATACCATCTAACACAACAATGAATTGTGTTCCGCTATCCACCAATGTCCATCACACCTGTCTTATTATTATCGCCATCGCCTACTGCTGTTATATGGCTGGATGCTTACAGTGCCGCTACGATTCACAACACTCAACATTATATGTCAAGCTTCTTTTAACAGCAGGAGGAATCCTTGAGAGAAAAGTTGGCGATTGGCAAATGATTTACCGGGCGAGCAGCAGGAACGACCAATCGGTGATCAAGACGTATATGGAACAAGGTGTTGCGAGCGAACAAAATGAAACAAATGCTGGCTGTGTTTCTATCAACGGGCGGGACAAATGCAAAATAAATTACAGACACAGCATGATTGACAGATGGGAGAGTGCGGGGGTCAGAAAGGTACTTAATAGGTCGTGAAGATAAACAATAAACGTGTGTATATAGATAACATTGTTTGTAATAAATCACAACACACGGAAGAAAATGTTACGTCCGCTTGGTAAAGCGAGAACTCCAATCGGTCAAAAGCAAATTGTGTCCGTTTCCGATCCAATCGATTACTTTCTGTCAAAGCCATCTTACTGATAAATAAACATAAAAATCACAGTTAAATCATTAAGTCTTGAAATTAAAACAAGAGGCCCATATGGCTTTATCGATTACCTGGTTGACTTTACTGATTAATTTAAATTATCTTATGTCTAAAATATGCAAATTATGTTAAACATTTGAATATGTCTTCCTTATTTGACTCCGCTCTCATCTAAAGGCGGTTAGATGCACTCTTTGGATAAACAAAATTCTCTTCACCAAGGATATTTCAGATCAAATCTGGACAAAACATTCCAACATAAGAAGGATTCAACGAATTAGATTTCCTCTATTGGGCCCCGTTTCTCCAGTTCAAAGGGGCTGAAACCTGCACCTATTAGCCCCCCGCCCCCGTCCGAGGGGCTCAGATCCCCTGTTTATACACAACTGATTTACCTTCATGGACGATTGTTTCCGATCAAACTCGGACAACATCCAAGTATTTCTACAGAAGAAGGTTTTTAAAGAATTTGCTTTATTGCCATATTTGGTCCCTCCCGCCCCAGGGAACTTAGACCCACCGTTTATACAAAGCTGATTTCCTTTCAGCCAAGAATGCTTCAGACCAAATTTAGGCAATCATTCCTACGGGAGGATTGGGATTTTGAAGAATTTACTCTATTTCACCTTTTGAGCTTCGGCACTCCTGCCCTAGGGGTAAAGACCAACTGTTATACCAAACTGATTCCTCTTCACCTAGGAATGCTTCAGATCAAAGTTGGCAAAATTCAATCATTACTATTGGAGGGGTAGTATTTTAAAGAATTAACTCTTCGGGCGAGGTGAGCTAAAAATCTGTACGAAGTAACCCACATTAATATACGTTATACAGAAAAAGACATTGTTTAAATACTGTCTTACATTTTGAACTGCTTATGTCTGACGACTGATGACGCACTCGTGGCAATTTTTTATCAAACACTAATACGCCACACTGCTCACCAATAACGAAACTTTTTTCAGGTGAGACTTGAACTCTACAAAGAGGGAGAACTTGTGGCACACATTGTGTTTAATGGTAAATCCACCACATCCACAAGCTGGTTCAGTCAGGAAAATGTGATTTCCTCTAATTGGTTCGACCTTAAAGAAAACAACAATGATGAGGGCAATCAGTTTTCCTTTTTTGGATACAGGTGAGTGATGTTCACACAGACCAACACATTTCTGGCACATTTAAGAGAGCAGTGCATTTAGATATAGGTTATCAATCTAGTTTCTGTTCTATTTTGTAATGTTATTGTACTTGTAATGTCCTTACAAGAATTTTGAGAATATTCGACAACAGAGAGAACTCGATGTATCGGCGGAAGTCTTGTGTTCTAACAATATCTTCCTTAACATTAACGTAGATCACATATCCATGCACGTCCTAACATACCTAATGAAGTCACTGTTCCTTTTTAATGTCTCGCTTGACAATAACTCACTTTTAGCCTTTAGAGTCCAAGGATCCGGTGATGTAGGCTGTTGGTCAATGTCAAGGTCATTAAAACAGTAGTTTGTGCTGTCTGACCCAAGCTCTGAATGGGATACGTATGGGAATCTATCGCGCTTATTATGATGCCATTTAAGGGACTGAATGAATATTCCCGCAAAGAGGCAGCGATTAAGACTGTTTAAAGTAATAAGCTGCGTTCTGTCCTTCTTAATGTAAAACGCAATGACATATGAAGGACACAGATTGCTAAAGCAGTTTCTGAACTACGAGTGAGAAAGCCGTTTTTTCCCAATAAACCGTGTATCTTTCTGCTATTGGTTGGGCGTTGAGATAAGTCAAAACTTCATTTACTGTACAATGTACGAAAAAACAGAAAGTGTGACCTTAAACCATTATATATATACTAGAAATTTGCCCAGCCCATTGTAAGCGATAAGACTAACATCTCGGTGTTTCTATTTTCCAGAAATAACGACATCGATCGGCGACTTTATATCAACAAGAATTGGAAGGGAGGATGCAGCTTCCATAAGGGCTGGATGGTGGTAATAGAGAGTGTTACCCGGGGTAACGGTTGTAACTACGAGGTATTCCCCTCCTATCCAGTCTTCCTGTACATCCCACACTCATACGCGGACTTCATTGATGACTGTAAGTGTTTTTTTGTTTAATCATTTCTAGGTGAGAGAATGGAATATCACGTCTGGATATGACAAACGAAACAGATGGAAAAATGTCCCCTTACAATGGCTATACAATAACGTTTGCGGTATAATCCACCAATGTAAACATGGGGAAATGTCCCCCTTACAATGGCTATACAATAAAGTTTGCGGCATAATCCACCAATGTAAACATGGGGAAATATCCCTTTACAATGGCTATACAATAAAGTTTGCGGCATAATCCACCAATGTAAACATAGGGAAATATCCCTTTACAATGGCTATTCAATAAAGTTTGCGGCATGATCCGCCAATGTAAACATGGGGAAATATCCCTTTACAATGGCTATACAATAAAGTTTGCGGCATGATCCGCCAATGTAAACATGGGGAAATATCCCCTTACAATGACTATACAAAAAAGTTAGCGGCATAATCTACAAATGTAAATTTCAAGGATTTCTTGATACATTTCTATAATTACAAATCATTGTTGATATAATTTTAAAAAAACCAAAAAGATACTATCAATATGTACACAGCCTTCAACATCAGGACCATAATTAGTTCGACTCCAGATCCTCAAATGAGTTATTGGGCAGAAACTGATAAAAAAAACAAATGTTGAAGGTTTGTGTTTGATCAAGTACCTTTCTTAATCCAAGAGGAACGTTCTTAGCGTCATGTAATGATGATTTTTCACATTATTAGACAGTTGCAAATATTGTTAAGACATTTCTGGATGGTATAATGCGGTAAAAAACCGATTATTAAAGTGTCTGAATGACAGTTGTTATTGGAGGGTTCATTTTGGTGGTCATTTTGGTTCACCCTGTTCTACGACTGAAACTTCATATCACTCACCTTCAATAAATCCGATTCTCTACTGCAAAGTTAAGCGTATCAACATTGGCTGATTAAGGTACAATCAACTAACAGAAGCTAATTGTTCTGTGTTTTATATTCCAGTCAAGCGCGAGGCAGATGTGTTGGCCATTTCTGTGATAGCCACCCAAGTGAACGCTTTGTAACAGGACACAAGAATGTTATCCCGCATTGGATATTTGACAGAAAAAGTTCTAGCAGGATACACACATGATCAGTGATACCCTCCTGTTGTCTAATTGAAGTCAGAACTGTACTATGAAAACTTCATTATTTGCTTAACAAATTATGTACATGGATGTAGTTCTACCTGACAATGATAACTGTGTATTCTCATCTAATGATATATACAGGATCTTATTTGGGATCCTATTTCGCATGTTAGCTGTGAAAGATTACCAAGACTAGTTGACTTGAAAAAAACACATTATCATAAATGACATTTTTATAAAATGATACTAAACCATACAAAAACACAGACGGACATTTTTCATTCTTTCAAATTGTTTTATTTACACCTAATTTCACACAGACATATCAATAATACTGTGAGTCAATTCATTTACTTCTGGATAGTCAGGTCATTAGCATATTTCTTTGATCAATGAAAACATTATCTCCTCTTTTGCATGTGTTTTTCCACAACTAATTGGGATGTAAATACAAACAAACACGCGGGTATGTACTACACAATTAAAAGTATACTTATAATTGTATAAAATCAAAACAGAAATATCTAAGACATGGATATCATTTTATATCCACCAAAATTCACACTATAATATATATGTAAATATGATTTATCTAAAGTTTTACAAAAAAATCTCGATCAAATGACCAACTGGACACTCATATTTAAATGCCACCAAATAATGATTGTCAGATGCATAGATTATAAACAAGCAGTCGTACAGCAAAGGGAAAATATCCTTATCACAGAGGGCAAGGCTTCGGGGTACGACAATACCTCAGTAAACAATAATAACATTTCCTTTACAAAATTACATGTAGATCAATAAAGAAAATAGGATTTAGACTAAGAGAGCCATTATATCAGACAAGAATACAAAATGACAGTAGTCTGGACAAGTGGTCTAGTGACTCATAAATCATCAAAAGAATGGACTGAGGAACACCAGAACAAGTCTACCTTATAAGGAAGTCTAGTCAATGATTATGGTCAATTGTTAAGGGATTCTCTTAATGGAATACCACCCCAGCACTCGGTAATAAGCCTTAAAGGACACCAAAATTTTACTAGGGCTAACAAGCATTATGATTTTTAGTCTTTACAGGACACCAAAATTTCACTAGGGCTAACAAGTATTGTTTTTTAATCTTTAAAGGACACCAAAATTTCCCACGGGCTAACAAGCATTATGTTTTTTAGTCTTTACAGGACACCAAAATTTCCCTGGGCTAACAATCATTATGTTTTTTAGTCTTTACAGGACACCAAAATTTCACTAGGGCTAACAAGCATTATGTTTTTTAGTCTTAACAGGTCACCAAAATTTCCCACTGGCTAACAAGCATTATGTTTTTAAGTCTTTACAGGACACCAAAATTTCACTAGGGCTAACAAGTATTATGTTTTTTAGTCTTTACTGGACACCAAAATTTCCCCAGGGATACAGAATATTATGTTTTGTAGCCTATCTTACTCAAGTTAACACATTACCTTGAAAATGGCTTTGGGATAAGCTGACATACTGTATAATATATAAATAAGATGGAATGTGATATTTTTCATTACTTAGTTCTAAGGTCAAACTCCATCAGCCAATAAATGTATATCTGAGTAACGATTTGAGTGCTACAGCCAATTTAAAGTTCATCATCTACATATCACAGATTTTACATCCATGGCTTTAACTGAAACTTTCAATGTGGTAACCCAAACATAACAAAATAAATCCTTAGACATATAGTAAGTGCTTAAAGGTATGATATAGAGCAAAACATATATATAGCACATATAGATAACAAAGCTGACAGCATTGTCATATTAATCACATAGAAAAAAGACAAATATGTGGTAAGTCCTTTTGTCTGGTTCTTAAAACTGTTTTGTAGTATTTTGTATGAGATTTTGTCATGTAAACATCAACAATAAGGGGCTTATCCTTTTTTTAAGTTACACATCTGTGGTTGTCTCCCTTATCTGTACTTTACTTAGCAGTGAGAACAAGCCTGTAGTCGTCTCCCCTATTTCTGCTTAGAATAGCTGTAAGAACAAGTCTGTAGTTGTCTCCCTTACTAGTAATTTGCATTGCCTTATAAGAAGTGTGTAGATGTCTTCCCAACCAGTACTTTGCTTAGCTGTGAGAACAAGCCCATTGTTGTCTCCCCTCCTAGTTTTTGCTTAGCCTGAGAAGTTAGTAGTTGTCTCCCCTACCTGTGATTAGTGTAACTGTGACAAAAAGACTGTAGATATCTCCCTTGCCTGTACTGTAGTTGTATCCACTACATGTACTTTGATTAGCTGTGAGAAAAAGTCCAGGTGCCTCTACTACCTGTACATTGATTAGTTGTAAGAACAAGTCTGAAGTTGTCTCTCCTACCTACACCTCAATTAGCTATGAAAACAAAGTAAGTTTTTCACATGACCTTGATTTCTTTTTATTTGATATAGATAACAATAGCTTGACAGAGGATATAGTCCTGCAACATGAAAATATCTGTTGGTAAAACATACTTGTGAACAACAAATTCCAAATGTGAATCATTTGTTGATAATAATTTCAACATGGAATATCAAATATGCTCTTGTTTCAGCTCCAAATTAAGTAAAACTCAATGTCAGAAATTATTGAAATTTGATTTCTTAATTCCACCTCATAACAGGACCATCAACACAAGAAGAATCTCCAGGAGAAAAACTGCTCTAAACTAATTATTTCTTTTTTAGAACCAAAGTGTATCAACTAGACAGGAGAATCAAAAGGGAAAGTCAAATTTACAGTGATTCAAGTAGTACAGAACTACTGTATTCATTAGTGCAAAATTGAAATCCAGAAAGATCTAGATGTTCAGGCAGACATTAAGTGTATATGATTTGGCGATACAGACAGGATGTTACCACACAGGATCAAATTAACAAAAGGTCTAGCGGCCTTGACAGTTATCTGAGGTAAACAATATTGAATTTTCAGGTTAAAGGATAATTACCTTTCAAGTATCACAAAAAAAAATTTCGACATTGATGATAGTAAGACTGAAGTGAAATGACTTCAGTCCTTTGGAATCAGCCAGTGTCAATATATGGATACCATCAAAACTGTCATCCTATACTAATAATTCTGACTAAGTTATTTTCAATGGAAAATAAATGACTATTAATGAACTAAGTAATTTTCCTATATAAACTGTAGTAAACTTATCCCCTCTCAAGGAGGAAATGCGAGACCCTTGGGTCATGAAATTCACATTTTCTGTAAACAAGGATTCTGGTCCCACCCATCAGCGTCAGGGTGTCAGCCAGGATCGATAAGTGCATACCATCAAGCCATCATCCTTCGCTCATAATTCTAACCAAATTAAACAAATCATGTTCAAAAATGTACTTTTCCTAAGTAAACTTTACCACTATTTCAGGGGGAAATGCGAGACCCTGGAATCATGAATTAAAAATTAAGGTAAAGCACCTTCAGACCTTTTTGTCCATAAAGATTATAAGATTCTATCATATTTGGGTAATTAGAAAAAGATTTTTGAAACCAGAGTTAGTTTGACCCCTTTTTGCCTTGCCCCTCTGGCCATTGCTTCATCTTTGGCCAAAGGAGGATTCAGATTTCAGAAAATTTGGTTCTGTGGTTTTTGAGAAGTTGAAAATGTTAAAAGTATACAGACACATGACACCACACAAAAGGCAATCACCATAAGTCACCAGGTGACCTAATTAGCCAGAGCTACTAGGGTGAATAATGAAATGCACATGCAAACCAAATTTAATGTTGTTGTCGGGCTATTGTAGAACAGAAATTATTTATCGTCTAAATTTTTTTTAAAGAAGATGCACTATTCATTTATAAACATTCTCTATCATCAGTGGAAACTATGTTTATAGACTTCTGATTTGGGTAGGTTCACACCATTTCATTGAAATGGAGCATGTCTTAGTGGAGTTCTTTCTTCAAAACTATTCAGAATTGGGAGTCTGTGGAATGATTATGCTTAAACAGATGGCTTGTGTCAATTGCACATTTGACAGAAGAAAAATGGCCGAAATTAAATCCTTTTAAAATAAGATATAGGACTGATAAGGAAATACTAAAAAGCATGAGATATTAAATTTTCTGAAGTTATTTTCAAGCAACATCTGATGTTGTTTATGAGATTTAGAATGGACATACACCAAACATATAAGCCCCACCCCTTCCCTTGCTCATTATCTGAGGCATGTGCCAGATGGTGCTTTAAAGCATGCCAACTAAAGCATACCATTGTGAAGAATGAAATATTACTTACAAAACCTGTTGTGAAATTGTGTGAAAATATAAAGATACAAGTACGATTTTATAACTTTGGGAAAACCATTTTTTTTTTCCAATATAAAACCTGGCATACTATAGAAATAAAAAAAAACGCAAACCCAAAAGAAAAAATAAATCTATCCTCATTAGATATTGATATAGCTATGTGCTATAGCCACTGTCGAGTAAATTACTTCCCCTAGAGGAGAGAGACTGGTCTTCCCCTTCACTATACACACTACGATGGGGAGTAAACATCCCTGACTCCCGTGACGATAAAGACCCATTATCACACTCCGCTGTCCGCGTTATGATGGGTTGCTCAACATTGTCTCCCTCCACAGTCTGGGAATGACTCGCCAGTGGAGATACGTTTCTTGGCTGATGTTTTACATGACTAGAACCAGCCACTGACATGTCAGATCCCTGTTCTTTCATTTCACAGTATGTCGGAACACTTGTCATTTTACAAAGAGGAGTTTTACTAATATTTGTAACAATTGTCGGATCTGATCCTGCCCTCTCCCTTGTTGGAGAGACCTCCTTTGAAGCTGTCGAAGATGGGGATGCTGTTAAAAAGACAAACAAAACAAGTCTTATAGTAAAATCAATATTAGATATATATTTAAAATCAGCTACTGTAAATATTCGCATATAGTGCGCACTTTTTAAAGCTGAAACTGTCGTGTCAAAAAGGGGGTGCGCACTATACGCAGGTACATGCCATTTCTGGGGTTATCATTCCCAAGTTCTGCATCCGCCATATTGGATTACCTCCCTTCACATTGTTATATGTAAAAGTCGTCGGTCTTATATGATAGTTTGGAGATAAAAACAAAAAAATATAAAATGTTTTAATCATCTGCCATTCACGCTAGCATTACGGTGAATCTATTTTTTTTCGTTTCCCGTCGGTCTTACTATTGGTCGGGGCTATAGTAGTGTCTGAATTTCTGCCCCATTTTGATGATGTATCTGTGGAATTCAATGAATCCGGAAGTTTTTAGGCGATTGTCGTTCTGTTCATAAATCGAATAGCCCATCCCACCGATGCCCAAAGTTGGTGACCCCATGACCTCTCTTGATCTGCATGGCCCGCACGCGCAGTTCTGTTGTACTGGCAGCGATGCCGGGATATCGGCGATCGCATACAAAGTTGAACAGCTCTCTCTCTCCATCTCTGGGTGTTTCGCTGTCGCACCTATGTCAGCCCTTCTGGTCAGTGGTTGGGACTTTAGACGGTCTTTTCTTTCTTCCGTGCCTTGATATTTCACTCTGGAATGTCGAAGTGGCAGCACGAAACTCCAGTCTCTTGGCGTAGTCAAATGGCGTTCGCAGTTTCCCCATGTCGAAGTCGGTATAAACAATCTATCATTAAATACCTTTGGATACCGCGGTGGGTACAGATACCATGAAAGATCATGCCGATACTGAACAAACCACCTGCTTTTATGGGGACAAGGTAGGATTGAAAATGTTCAGACAGTTAAAACAACATCGTTTTCTGACCAATAGTACGCGTTCAGCCCAAGTCGGGTGTCATCAGTCTCCTTATACTCAACGTGTTAACTGTCATTAACCGTTAATTATACAATCAGCCAAGCCTTTCATGCTTGTTAGGTCACCTGGGTAAATTTGTTTACTTAAGGTAAATACATGTGTTAGGGTCACGCTCATTGTGGTTTCCTAATTATCAATGGATCAGACCACATCAAATGTTTTGTCGTAGTGACCAGTCAATTAAATTTTCTGTAGATTTTTTTTTTTTTTTTTTAAATCTGATCTCCAAAAAGTACCTGCGCACTATACGCGAGTGCGCACTATAAGTGAATATTTACGGAGCTATTTGACATCAATACTTAGTTTACAAGATATATGATAAATATAAATTCTGGTATGTCTGTAGTGAGAAAACGTATAAACAACAAGTTTTTATTATACAGAGCTTATTACGGCACACATTTAAATAATACAAACTAAAACCACACAGCAAAGTTTTGCTTTGATGGATAAGTATGTTGAAATCTGAAAGATATGTGTGACATGGTGTGTCATGTTTTGGTTTAAAAGCAGTTTACCTTCCTTTGTCTTCAATGGCTTGGTGAGTTCGTCCACCTGACTGTAGAGATGTAAGATCCTTCCCTCTAACTGTTGGTTGACCTTCACCATACACTGATACTTCTCATCTATAGACTATCAACACAAGAACGATTACCCACAAAATGTAAAATTCAAACTCATGAAATCACTCATTTTAAACTCGCACAAAAGAAAAATATTTTACTTTACTACTGATTTATCTAAAAAGAAATATCTCTCTCATTTCATCTAAAGAACTTTTCTTCAAATAAAGGAAACATGAAACAGATCACCTACAGCTTTGATCAACTTGGTCTGATTTACTCAAAATTCTTTTTGAATTCAACATTTCTGATCCTGTGATCTGAATTGCATATATCTAAAGTAGAAACTTTAATAGCAAGTTTGAACAGCCAGTAATTACAATCTTAAGGACAAACTGTATTAAAAATATCTCAATTAATTCATGATGGAAAAGAAAGTACCATTAAAACTGGTGACCACTGTAAGACTGATAATGGATCACCTACCTTAAGCTCTTCCTGATGGTTTGATATCACATCTGCTAAACTCTGTTTGATCTCTGCCAAGGCAATATCCTGTCATAGCAATACATGATCATTCAGAATGGATATATTGACTGGGTCTCACATCTTTATGTACAATTCAAAGTTTTTATTTATAGAGCATAAAAAGGGAGTAATGAAATACTAAAGCAACTGAGTAGAAGAAAATCTGCGTAAGTGTTTTCTGTATTAGCAACTACTGACCTTGGTTTTGATATTAGCCTCCAGCTGGTTAACACGGGACTGACTTGCCTCACTTGTCAAGGTTATTGACTTCAACTTCTTTTTTAGTGCTGTCATCAAATCAGAACAAGAATTCAATGAAATAATAGGTCTAGTCATCTTTGCTTTGAATATTTAAAATGTTGAATCCATGAACACTCACAAATTCAGTGAAAAAAATCTCAAACTAGGTGCAAAAAACTTCTTTCAAATGTTTGATACATATTTATTAAAAGTGTAAACAAAGAATATATTGAAGGAGTTATTGCCTAATCTCAAAACCACCAAATTATACTGTTTTTCAATCTAAACTTTAAGGCACACCCATGTTATGTTTAATCCTGAGTGTACCCCATTCACTTTGGATGACATGTGATTGGCCTCCAGTATGTTGTTCAGTGAGGTATTGCAAGGAGAACCTCTCAAACAGATGCCGGCCATAAACCCAGCAAACAGCACTGATCAGTTTATACATCCTATGGTCCTAAATACCAATTTTTTCTGCTAACCTTTGGAGTATGTTAGTATGTTACCATAGTGCCACCAAACCATCCAAAATCAAGGTTAATACAGCAACAAGTACAGAGATTAAATTTGAAAAACCAACATAATGATGAGAAGAGAATGATTTTGTATGTATTCGCGCCCTGCATACATATGCCAGACTCAGCAGTTGAGTAGTACCTGTGATCTCCGCTGCCTGTGACATGACATGGAGGTCTTGCTCATGCTTGGTCTTGGTGTGTATCCTAGCAGAGTTGATCTGTTCCTGGTAGTGTTGGTGTAACTCTCCCATCAGTAGCACCTCCTTGTGTAGTGTAAACACCTGTAACATTGTGACCATGACTACCTTCAAATCACTGGTAAAATCACTTTGCACTGATAACTTTGTCATGCATTATGTTGTAATTTAAAAAAAAAAATTTTCAGGACAGTACATTGATGTAGTCATAGTGGGAATAGACTATTTTCAGTTGACATTAATCTGAAATAAGCAAACTTCATTCCATTTGCACAACAACTTTGATCCAACTTGCCAAATATTGGGGTACTTAATGTATTTTATCTAAAGTAACATTACAAGCATATGATAACAATTATGGCTAAAATCTATAGTTGTAAGATTAATCAATTGATACTGATACAGAACTATACATTTTGTCCGTTTTTTTTATTTTGTTTTTTTTTTTACCTGCTCTTTCAGTTTTTGTGTGAACTGCACCTCCTCCTGAAGGTGATTTTTCTCCTTTTCAGACTTGAACAATTTTGATTCTGTCTCCTGAAGTCGCTGTGAAGAATAAGAGTAACAAGACATGTGAATAAATTAATAAAGTTTGATGTTATCAATGGGATCTCATAGTCATATCCATTTGTTATGTCCTTGTCACAGATATACATAGTTTTCATAACTGTTATGTTAAACAGCTAATATAACAAACTGCATGGTCAGTATTTCTCAAGGACATTGAACTGTAGTTAGTAAGAGACTGCATTGATCAAGGTACATTACTGGACAAACTATAATAAGATATTAAGACATTTGCCTGACCCTACTAATATGATTTAAATACGGATACATTTAATTAATTGAACAAACACATATAGGTGCTCTTCGCAGTAAGCTTAATGCTAAATATGTTGACTTCTACCTTCAAATATCATTGGAATACGACTGAAGGATTTTCATTTTCATACCTTATTTATTTGTTGAATATTTTAAGCATGGTCTTAAAGGTCATTTCTATAAACAAAAGGTCTAAGAGAGATCTTGATGCCTACCATCATATGATCTTTATAAGTGCTTTAAAAATTGGATCTTTTCTCTTCTTTTTATCAGTCTCAAAACCAAATATGGACAACTAGGGACCATAGGAGACCTATATATGTTTGAGAATGGTCCATTCATGGTTTCTTAAGAAATTGCCTAACAACCTGTAACTGGCAAAATAAAAAAAGGCAGCCTGTCAACCATTTCCTCCCAATCAGTCCCAAAGTGGACAAAGCATTATTGGGCCTAAGGGGAACCTATGTAATTATGAAATTCAGGACTAAATTTAATTTCCAAATGTTCTTGATAAAAAAACTATAACCTATAGCTGGCAAATCCAAGATCGCCACCTGTCGGACATTTAATTTTTTCAAATCAGTACCAAAAATGGAAAATGCGTTACTAGGAACCAAGGAGAACCTAAAGGAATTTTGACAATGATCCATATCAGAATTCAGAAGAAATTAATGTAACAAGTTATAACTCGAAATCCAAGATGGCTGCCTGTCAGATATTTTTTTTTCTATTCTGATCAAAGCTGAACAATGCATAAGTAAATCAATAGATCCAGGACTGCTTGAGAAACAGGAATAAAAAAAATGTTTAGGAAAGATGAAAAAAAAATTTTAAAAGCCTTTTATAAGTTGATAGAGAGCTAAAAACAAGCTATAAACTTGAATCTAGGCCTTTGGGTCTCTTCGAATGCGCAGGTGTAAGAACAGATTAAACAATAAACAATCCATCATAATCACCAATATATGAAACTTTCAGCATCTGATAGGGTAATTTTATAAGGATGTACCATTTTATTAGGAGTCAGTAACCACCTCAACGGATGTACTAAATACCTGTTTCAGGACATCTTGTTCCTCTCTCTGTCGCACTAACAGTGTTGTCAGCTCACTTTTTGCAGATTTCAAATCCTCATTCTCTGCTAAGCATGACCTACAAGATTTACAAAAATATTATACAAGTATAACATATCAAAACCAAAATCTGATCTTCCTAAAAGTGGAGATAACAAGCATAGAGAATTAAATATTGATCATCTTTACTTTAACTCTATACATGGTCACTTCCAACAAACATTAAAATTCAAAGGGAATAAATGAAGATCTTTTCCACAATGAAAACAGGATACAAGAATTAAAGTCATGCAAGCTATGGTTTATTTTTACATCAACTTTATTTGTCACTGTAATTATTCTTCCTCAGAAACTTAAATCCACACAAATGAAGTTAATGTAAATGTTGACACTTCTTTCAGTTTGCTCTTTTTTCCACAAAGAGACAAAAATCTGTCACCAACTGCCGATTCAAACAAAGCAATAATCTAGTATTGCCCTGCAAACATAGCAATGAAAACATATCTCATGACCTCACCTCATTTGTACTTTACTTTCATACTCATTGCTCTCTTGGGACTCTTTATAGCGTCGGTTTTCTTCTTGAAGAAGTTGTAAAGAAAATCGCAAATGTTGCATTTCTGTTTCATACTGGGAAAGCTGATCAGCCTGAAAGAAATTAAAATACAAAGAATCAGGTACAAGTAGTACACTATTGACTTAAAATTTCCTAGATCTATACCTTCAGTCAAATTTCTTCTTAAATGAATATAATTTTTGTTATCTGCACACATGTGCTATAATATAAAATGCTGGACCACTAAAATTCTTGAGTTTGAAGCAGTAATTAATTTCATGTAATTGTAAAACTTAATTGATCCTCAACCTACATTTTCTTCAAATATCTCTGAAACTGATATGACCCATGTACAAACCATGGCATTGTTTTGCTCTTCCACTGCTTTGGCATTGGCTATTTTACGGAGAAGACGTCTGTTCTTTTTGGCGTGAAGTTCCCGTTTATGTCGCTCATACATCAGTTGGTTTTGTATCATGAAGATCTGTCCTCGTAAAATATTGACTTCATCTGCAGGTGGCATCCCTGATACAGAGCATTTCATACATAAGTGTTATTCATTCTTAATGCATAAAATAATTTACCGAGATCAAAGTGTAATACATTTTTTAAACTTACAGAGGAAATGAAAAGAGAGGGCTATCAAATGGAGATGAATGCATATAGGATATCCAAGGATACCATATTGTATTCTAGACACCTAAGAAGAGAATATTTTAATAGATATCAAATATGAAACAACTGTATAGAGGCACTCACAGAGGGGAAATGGGATATCAAGCAAATAACATAGGCAGTCGCCTTCAACCTTATAAAACATCATCTAAATCTCTCCTAACTCCCTCACAATTTCTCTTACCTCCATTTATTTATCAAATATCCCTCCCTGCATTCGTCTTTTTAATTCCCCCTCCTATAAATTTCTCTAAGCTTGTGAAATTTTTCTCTTACCTCCAAAATGAGTCCAGCTGACAGAGTCGTGACTAGTAATGGGTATTTTGGACAGCTGTTTGGCATGTACCTCACCTCCAAGACGGAGATGGCGATCTAGTAAGTCTGGTGGAGAGAAAGATGTAGGAATCCCGGCAGGACCTGTAACAGATAATGAATAACTACTGAACAGTAGCTATGGATGACCATCAATATTTAAGTAACACTTGTATACACACTTGTCAGACTGGTGAGCAAAAACACAGATTTAGCGGTCAAATTTTCACAAGAAGTTAAAAAAAATTGTAACTTGTAGTCATGTTAATGAAAAATATAAGGACCTATTACAGTGAGTTTCACCCAAGAATTTAAAAAAATAAAATGAGACTGAATACTGCATTAAAAAATGATTGATTTCTCCCATTTTTACCTCACTACATCATTAATAAATATTCACCAGTTAAAGAAATACAAAATGTGACCTTGACCACTGACCAAATTAAACTTAACACCATGCATAGTTTACATGTAAAATAGCATCAGGAAGTGAAAGAAGATAAATTACCCTGGTGTTGGTAAAATCTATAGAAACAAAAGTGGAGATGTAGCTAGACAGACTGGTGGATGAAAAATCCAATTAAAATCAAACACTAGCATGATGCATGTCCATTAAAAATAAGTTTACCAGTTACATAACTAGTACATCATGATTCATAAGTACATCTCTACAAATGACAGCAGACAGTTTAATGACAACGAATACACAGTTACTCGTTAATATGCTAATCAGGGAGGTTAACGATGATGAAACTTTTTTATCATACCTACACAGAAAGGAAGATCAGGTATCTGTACCCTTACAAAATGTATTACCTGATCTGAGAGTTAGAGAACTTTCCCAAAAGACCAATCAACCTTATCTATTTCAGATACATTAATGGATTGAGCAACATGTTTAGTTAAGGTCTCATCATTAATAAACAACTGGAGTTTATCATGGTATGTACTATGTTCTAATACTGTTGAGTTATACAGTAAAGGGATAATTACCTAGAGTAGACAAAGGACTGCCATCAGAATTACTCTGGTTACATTTTTGGCACACTAACATGGATCCTGGCTGTAGTAGGGTCCTCATCATATCTATATACATGTTTGGCACAACCTTATGATTGTCAGGTGATGGATTCTGACAAGCTCCTGCTGACATCACAGGACAGGATGATGGGGATTTCTCCTTTGGTAATGTTGATACATCTGATTGTGTTGTTTTGGGTGATGAATCTACTGTTTGTTTCACACCGTTTTTTACCCTCATTCTAGGACAGAGTTCTGAATTCTCTGATGGAGGTACTGGTAATTTTTGGTCTTGAAGAGAATTGGACTTATCATTTGTCTGTGGGCTGACTTTGACTTTCAGAGTGGCAGAGGCTGACCGAGAAACACTATCAGTCTCATCACTTTCAGATTCCAGAGAATCTATCTTTGGCAAGTGAGGACAAGACCTTGACCTGGCACCAAACTTCTGTTTCTCTGGAATGCTGTTGGCTGCTGTAAGACTGTTGAAACGGATTCTGTTGACTTTTTTCATGAACTGCTGAACAGACTCAGCGGTAAGTGTGGCTGTATGGCTTGTCAGTTCTGATACCTCCTGGTCGTCATCATCCTCATCATCAGGATCTAGAAAAGAAATCTAGATGTCAACTTCTGAATAATCAATGTTATTATTTCTTTTTATCTCAGTCTATGAAATCATGCAACTAGGAAGTCACTCTTTTTCAGAAAAAGCGTAGTATTTTAAAGAATTTGAAATCCATCACCTGAAGTCAAACTTGGTGTGGAAAATAAAAAATGTTTATACACAAATGGACACAAAAAAATATCATATTTCAGTATGAAACACTCTGCCATCCAAGATGTATTCATAGGATTTGACGTAACTTGAGACAGAAAATCTTGACCAGTCAACAAAGGGTCATAACTTAAGTTCATGAGACTCTCAACCATTCTATTATTTGTATATAATAGTTGTTTAATTATTGAACAGAAAGATATGCCTCTAATTATGTCACCAAAAGTGGCTGTTAATCCTGATTTAAAGCAGTGACCTCTGCTTGAGAATAGACCTGCTGGTGACAGACTTGGATTAAGTATTTATCAAGACACTTTCTCAGTCACTATTTGTTTATTTGTGTACACCTGTTACACTTACCCTCTCTTTGACCAGCTAAATCCTCCATTACTCTTGGAAGTGTGTCCATGGAGAAGGACTCCATCAAGTCGGACCTTTCACTCTCAGCTGGCGGCTCAGATTTTTCTTGATCCAGTGATTGTGAATGTTGTCCCTCATTGATGGCATCAAACTTTAGTTCTCTGGCAGTGAACAGACAAACTGAGTATTTAGTTACATACTTATGTATTTGTCAAAAAGTTTGATCCATTTTACACATTATCAATCACAATAAAAAAAAGTTTTGCACATGACACATTTCTTCTTTGATCTAGAAGAAAATTAAATTCTCTGTCCTTAACATTCTCTGAATATAACTTGTACACTTAAAATTTCTTAAATACATTTTGAATGATTTGAAAAACAATTTATGGAAAATTACTTACTTCAGGAAATCTCCTAGAGACCCCTAACTTTGTTGAGATAAATCGATCTTTGTTTATGTGTTTGATAAAATAAGTGTAAGTGAAGCACATTTAGTGCTAGTTGGGTACCTGATGGCTGGGCGAACAGGTTTAAATATACCAGGACCCTGTGGAGGGTCTGACGTAAATTCTGCTCGGAGTGGAGAGGGAGGAACACTCGATGGCTTTCCATCAGTGACTGATGTTCCACTTGTCTTTGCCTGTGCCATGGAACCTGTACTCAGACGCTTCAGCTCACTTCCTTTCGCAGAAGTGAGACCTCGACTACTTGTTCTACTATAACTCTGAAAAATAATGAGGAATAGCAAATACTGCTAATGGATTTATTATAACTTTCCATTGGTGGTAAAATTCATGTCAATCTTTAGCAGGGTGAAATGTTAATAGTCAACTGTTGTTATCTTATTGTTGTATGAGTCATATGAGAAAATGAAAAACATGATTGTATTGATGCCATTCAGTCAGTAACTTTAGGCTGTATTTGTTCATAAACTCAGGTGCATGAAGTATGCCACAAATTGTCTTCCCAAATCAATGTATACTGTCATTAACAAATCCAAAAAAGGCTAATCATGAAAAAGTTTTCACATCTCAGTTCCTGAGACACATCCAATTAGTATATGTGCATTTTAGTGGCATTATCAGAGATTCATGTATGTTTATCTTTCTCAAGCAGACATTGAGAAATACTCAGATCATAAAGTATGATATAATAAGATATCAATGCAAACCTTGTCTAACTCATCATTATTGGGAGATGTGGCTCTGGGTGTATCCACAGGAGGGGTTGCCAAGGGGGTGTTTCCATAGGTATCTGTTACCAAGGAACAGAGTTATGTCAAAATAATACAAAATCCTATCATGGTTATATAATTTTGCAATAGCCATACCCTGCTAACACATTTACTCTCATTTCAAATTAGTGGGATGGGTTTATTTCAATCAATAATGTACCATTTGTTGGCATTTCAAAATAAACTGTATCAAATGTGGAATTAATTTTTCTTGTTTCCTACTTCAATATTTAGTATAACATTGATGTTATTGTTGGAACACATTTTAAATAAAAGATGAAATAAGTCATAAAATCAACTCTAAATATGCTGTATGTGAGACATAAACTGAAGTCAGATAATGAATTAATATAAAGAATTACATCTGCTGGTATCATAACAGTTGGAGAGAGGTGTGGTCTGCTGTGAGGGTGGGGGTGTGGATAGGCCAACCACTACAGAAGGACTCCACAACCCTACACCATCAGCCCCTATCGTCAGACACGGTGGACTCAACTCCTGGGAGACCAGATTCAACTGTTGTGCTGCATTTAATACACTTCCATCCAAAACTGCAACAATTAACAAGTTGATAAAATGCAGATCTTAAAATCAATTAGCAAAAAGCTGCAAGTTGTGAAATTTAAGCAATAAACCTTTATAGCTAACTTACACAAATTAAAAAATCAGCTTTTGCTCCATAATCATAACATGGATGTAAGATATTACTAATATTTTCATGTCTCCTAAGTGAGATACAGAATTCCAACAACTGCATAAAAATTAAAACGCCAAAAGTAATCAATAAACAATTCCTTTGTCACCATTAAAACCCAACAATAGCAGAAAACAATAAAGCTGCATGGATTACCTTGTCAAGTGTAGTGTTATTTCAAAATAGGCTGTAAGAAATTAGCAGGGTAACCTAGCTACCTAAACATTTCTTACTGAAGTAAGATATGGAAAATGTACATCTTACTAAATAAAATACACACATCTGGGAGATAGAAGTATTTATTAACTGTCACTATTATGACCTTAATGACAAAAGGGTATTTCTTCTTACTTGTCCTTGATGTGGCCTTTGTAAGTAAGAATTTATCATCTACGCCAGAAATGACCAGTTTCAGGATTTAACATTTTGTGTTAGTCTGACATGTGACTACATCAATCAAGGTCTTTACCTGCATCAGGTGTGACTTGTTGAAGTGAAGGTTTCTTGATAGTAGGTTGAAATAATGTTTGACGTGGAGTAAGGACGGGACATGTCAGTTCCTCCCACATCCCCTCTGTTATGTCTAGAGACATCTTTGCACATTCAATTACCACATCCTGAGCCTCCATCTGGCGCCACCTACAGCAACATTTACATTGATGACTGAAAGTCCTAGCTTCTTCACATATTTGACTTTTGTAAGAAGTGTTTGTAAGCCATAGTCTTAGTGTCAATTTCAATTAAAAGACAACTAATCTGAGTTAGTTTCTTCAAATCAAATTACTGAAAAAATATTTTAGTAGAACAGTAAAAAGTCATGGTATGAACATATCAGAATCTGCAGTATTTACCTCTTGGGGGAGATTTCATGATCCCTTGAGCTAGTAATGAGATGGGGATGAAGTCTCACACGGTCTAACATGGGCTACAACACATGCAAGTCTTAAATTATTATCACGATTATTTGTTTATTTGATACCTGAAAGATCACATTATTCCAAACCTTATTTTAAATTTGCTTTTTATAACTATAACATCATTTAAAAAACATTATATCATAAAAATAAATGTACTGAAGTATTTAACAGATTAAAATTGAGAAAGTTTACTATATCCATAACAAATTATTTAAACAACAAGAGGCCCATGGGCCTTAACGGTCATCTGACAAAAAGCAAGCCAAACCTAGAAAGTGGTTGAGGTCATTCATTTGAACAAACTTGGAAGCCTCTCCTCCAAGCATCTTACAGGCCCAATATCAGCACTCATGGACTTTTGCTTGTTGAGAAGAAGTCGTTTGTATATTTTAACATATTTGACCCCTGTGACCTTGAAAGTGGGTTGAGGTCATTCATTTGAATAAACTTGGTAGCCTTTCCTCCCAGCATGCTACAGACCCAATATCGGCACTCATAGACTTTTGCTTATTGAGATGAAGTCCTTTGTATATTTTAACATATTTGACCCCTGTGACCTTGAAAGTGGGCCAAGGTCATTCATTTGAACAAACTTTGTAGGGCTCCATGCCAGCATGCTATGGGCCAAGTATTAGCCCCCTAGGCCTTCTAGTATTTGAGAAGAAGTTATTTAAAGATTTTGACATATTTGACCCCTGTGACCTTGAAAGTTGTTCAAGGTCATTCATTTAAACAAACTTGATAGCCCTTCATCCCAGCATGCCACAGGCACAATATCAGCAATCTGAGCCTTTTGGTTATTGAGAAGAAGTTGTTTAAAGATTTTAACATATTTGACCCCTGTGACCTTTAAAGTGGGTCAAGGTCATTCATTTGAACAAACTTGGTAGTCCTTCATCCCAGCATGTCACAGGCCCAATATCTACACTCTGAGCCTTTTGGTTAATGAGAAGAAGTTGTTTAAAGATTTTAACATATTTGACCCCTGTGACCTTTAAAGTGGGTCAAGGTCATTCATTTGAACAAACTTGGTAGAGCTCCATGCCAGTATCCTCTGTGCCAAGTATTAGCCCCCTAGACCTTCTAGTATTTGAGAAGAAGTCGTTTGAATGAAAAGTTTACGGACGGCGCACGGCGGACGGCGCACGACGACGGACGAAGCATGATGACTATAGGTCATCGGACCCTTCGGGTCAGATGACCTAAAAATGCACTAAAAAAAGGAAATGATAAACTGCAAAACCAACTAAAAACTCTAAATGTAAACTACAATGTTTTACCAAATTACTTAAGCTCTCACAAAAACAGAAGAAAATGGACAAAATACCAGCAAGTGAATAAAACGTTTCTCATATGGCAAAAGGCTGAAAAGTAATTGATCAAATTTGAGAATTCAGGCGATTAGGCACGCCTACACTTTATACATCATTTTGGACAATTTTTCCAGAAGTAGCGGCCATCTATTTACTAGGATTAAAACAATCTTTTTTGTTTCTCTTCTTGATTTACTACCAATACCTTAACGAATTCATCGAAGACCTTGGCATTGTCCTTTTTATTGTAGTGATGACGGAGGAATGTGAGGAAGTTGTAGGGAAACATGCCATACAGTCTGTGGAACAGGGAGTACAACGCTACTTGTAGGTGTATCAGGAACACATCTGGTACATTTCCTGTCAAACGAAATCACAACACAGGTTGAAGAAACATTTTTTGTATATCTGGCTGTGTTCCTTACTATCCTCTATGTTTAGGTCATGTATCTTTATCCAAGACATTTTTACACATTTCTCTTTTTCTGTCTTGGTTTATAGCTATCAGTAAACAATTTTGTTTCATTCTTCAGATGAGGTACACCTGAGAGAACTCGACAACTTGTGACAAGTAAATGGAATCTGTTACTTATAATGTTAAATTTGAATAGAAGTACCGAAAGCTTGAAACCTACATATAACTCAAATAACAATCTGATCCAAGCTGCTCTTTATTCCTAGACCATAAACCTTTTCTATTACTTATATTAAATTGCATGCATTATGGTAAGTGACCGAAACAAAATACTTTTATGTGTAACTCTGAATTGTTGAAGGATTAAAAAACTACTGAAGAATTAAAAAAAAAAAAAAAAAAAAACAATATCTCACCCGGTTTTCTCTCATTAAAAGCTATCAGACGACTAAATATGTTAAAAATTTCTGTCAACTGGTTTCCAATAAGAGCAGGAACAGAAGGCAGAAGTACTGTCAGAGTCATAACACCTGTCATCAACACTGGGATATCTGTTTCTGTCTGTAACCAAAACATTTCACATAACTAAACACACAACTACAGAAATCTGCTCTTTCTGATAACAAAATGTACATTTTATTATAGACAGGATTAACTATGAATGTGTTTATGTAAGTATCAGATTTGTAACCATAATATGTTGCAGTATTTCTATATATCTCTTTGTTGTTTCATCTTTTTTTCTCATCAACACAATGTAGTGGACAGTAAGTAGAGTCAGTAATAAATCTCCATGTGTCAGAGATGTGGATCATGCTTAGACAGCTGTTACCTTTAAAGTTTTGATGATGGCATGAAAGATCTGATGAGTGACTAGTTTGTGAACCCAGATAGGCTGTTTACAGGCCAAAGACAACAAAATCTTCATTGCAGGCAAACGGTGTTCCACACTCTTCAGTCCTTCATTTAGTTTATCTACCAGGTGCTACAAAGAGATAAATGCATAAGAACATGCTTATATAAATCCATAATAAGTGAACTGAATGGTTAATCACATCAAATATTAACATTAAGTTTCAGAAAGTTTTATTACCTTATCGTGAGGTTCACGGACATCTTTGATAATCTGGAGGGTCCTTTCAGAGTGTGATATGTAGTAGTAATCAACAAGACTGCATACAAGCCATGCTTCCTTTGCTGTGAAATTTATCAAAATGAAATTCTGTATAATATTTATGAAATGTATGATTCAAAACAAATGTAAGTCTCCACTCGGGTTTTGAAATAAAACTAAATATTTATTTTTCACTTTTGAATGGCGGTTTCATGCACTTGAAATGAGGACGTAATATGTTAAATTTTTTTGAATTATGACAGAAACAATTATTTTCAATGAATATAAATGCATGGGTTTGAATTACATATTTCTAAAACTTTAATAATTGTTCACTATTTAAACACCCTTACCAGTGCATAATACCTACTTGAAACTAGATTTTCCTGCACTAATTTAGTAATGTCATTAGAAACATTGATGTCGTTGGACTCCAACATGTTGAATAGCTCACGGACATCAACATTGTGAGCCCCAGCTGACTGTGCTGCCATTCTGCCACTTAAGTGACTTCACAGGTTCCCTTATTGAGAAAAAAAATATTTTTACATACATCAAAGATGCACAAAAATAGGTTGTGGCTCTGCATGATTTTCATTTCATTTTTATATGTAATCTAAAAAGTGTAGCAATTTAATTTAAAAAAGATTAAATAAGTAGTATTTAAGTGTTTTTTTCTTTCAATTTCAATCTTATTTACTGATTGTTTATCTTTAATATATGCATGTACAAAGAACAATATTGTCTTCTTAATTCAGTGTTTACATAATAAAAATGTTATAGGAGAAACAAAATTCTGGCCTAAAAAGATGAACTACGACCATACACTTGAGTTTTGAACTGTTTGACAACCGCTGCAAAACAGTACCAAACTGCTGCTGAAGCTCAAAACCAGAAACGACAAACTTTTGAATAATATCAATGTTGTAACTATGCAATTGTTTTCCAGGTCATGGAGATACATTATTTATCACCTTCATATAAAGGCACATCGTTATCAACTCTGGTCATATGAATTGACATCGGCATAATGTCAGAACAATGCATAGTGGTATGTAAAAACACCAATATAAATGTGCTGATTGTCAGTAGATGCTCAATGAGTTAGAGTTAGGTTCCTGATTTTGCTTACGGAAAGATCCGAGAAAATTAAAGTTAAATGTGCATTGTTAGCTTGTCAATTTTTTGACATATTTATGATTGATCTGAATCACCTCAACATTAACCATTCGAATTTATAAGAAAGAGCGGCACATGGCAGGGTACAAGTAGGATATTTCTAGATAAGGTTAAGTAACAAACCAACAGCGAGTCCTTCTCTAAAGCAACGGTTATAGATTTTCAAGAAAAAATGCAAGTGATCGCGACTCCATATTTCTTTCTCGAAACACTACATTCTAATATCGCGTGGGCCTCTCAAGTTTTCCGGTAAACGTTAAAATATGATATAGACAAATAACTAACGGATGAGTACCTCCGATAATGGTCTCACCGAGCACTGTCAGTCTGCCATCGCAATGTGTTGAGTTCAGCAATCCGGTGTGTACTGGAACTCTTTTTCATTCCATCACGAGATAGATGGATCAGTCCACTACTGAAAGGGAAATTACGTATCTGGGTTATATATTTACATGCTTTGTGTACCTTCGCATTTGAGTCAAAAGAACTTTACATCAGGAAGCACAGGATCATTTAAGATGGCAGCACTTGCATGTGTAATTAAAGAACAATAATTTCGAATGAGAATATTTGTTCTCGACTCACCCCTTTACCAAACGATATTCACTTCCGGCGGAAGTTGACCCTTTTGTGGAAAAATGGCGAAAAGTACGATTATGATGGAACTCAGTTGAAAGCCTATTAGCATTGAAGCTTTACCATTCAAGTTTAATTAAACAAAACGAAAAACTTAAAATATGTCATCACAAGCCAGTGAGCAGGATGAAAGAGAGCAAATTCAGGATGACATTGAACGTTTGCAACTTGCCTTGCAAGAAGAGGACGAATACGAAGACACCGACGATGAGAACGTTCTTCACATTGACCAAGATTATATTCCCGATTATGACGGTAAATCTTTCTGAACAGTCCTTGCATTCCTAAAGTACTAGTCATTTGAATACGTTACGAATTAAGATTTAAAAAAATAAAACATATATTATTTACAAGAAACTAAAGCGATTATTTATTGTGGTGGAATATTAGCTCCCTTTGTTTTATGCAAATTATCATGGACCTTGATGAGAGTTATAAGAAAACAGTTATGGAAATTCCCTTCGCACTGTGTTGTTTTCCAAAATGTTAAGGCGTTGATACTTTCAACAAAATGACTTTCAACCTATCTAGCCACAATCCATAGTTTGAAATTCAATATAATTTTTGAAAAATTGTCTTTAAAAAATCCTAATTGGATTGCACCGATTGGATATCATTTTTGTAAGACTATTCCCTTATCATGATGTATGGTCACAAAGGCTAATAGAGATCCCATTTCAAGTATATACCAGACGAATAAATGAAGTGTCAAATATATCTGATTTAAAGTAAGAGAAAATTGTTATTTTTGATATTCGGTTAACAGGTTTACATTTGCATCTTGATCTTAATAGGTTTTTAAACTCATTCCCCAGCACTTAAAACCAAGAAAAATCAAGAACTGCAAATACATTTGTCAAGTTATTGCACATGAAAAATGGTAATAAATAGCAAAAAAAAAAAAAAAAAAAAATATATTACAGAGTGAAAGAGTGAAAAATAGAACAAATAATAACAATTTACTATTTACTATTAATTTTCACATAAAGAATAAAATATAGGTTATAGACATGTAGAATTGTTTTTGATTTTGCAGATGGTTCCAAACCTGGTCCAAGTGGTATCATCACATATGAGCAAGCTGAGGTATTTACATGTATCTTATTTACTGTATATGTCTATTTTTTATATGTGAAATGACTGAAGTAATGATGTTGATTCATCTAATAAAATCCGTTATATTTAATGATGGTAGGTTATTCAAATTGTACAATGGATTTGGCCCTTTTTTCCCTAAACACCTCTTGTTATCACTCTTTCTCGAGAAGAAAACAAAATGGGTAACAGAAAGTCATCTTGGATTTCGACTTTGAAAGTTTGTTACTGCTATTTCTTGAGAAGTACTTGATGATGGACCTTTTTCAAATTTTGATTTTGAGACTGACCAGAAAAGCAAAATGGTTGACAGGTGGCCATTTTGAATTTTGACAATAAAAGTATGTAATCGCTATTTCTTGAGAAGGATTGGAAGGACCTTCCCCAACTTCATCTGTATGTTCTTCATGGTCACTAGTTGTGCCATTTTGAAGTAGAGACAGGTCTGAAAAGCAAAATGGCTTACAGATGGCATTCTTTAATTTTGACAATGAAAGTATGTTATCCCTATTTCTTAATGTTTATATTCTACTTTGCAGTTTCTTTGGTCCTTACTTTTGCCTTTTGATTTTGGGTTTGATCATCAGACAAACAAAATCTCTTAGAGACAACTGTCTTTGATTTGAAAGACAAAGATTTTTTGTTGCTATTTTTCATGAGGATTTTTTAAATTTCCTTTAATTAAGAGCAAATAAGAGAAAAAAAATGGAACAGATATGACTTTTAGAGAATGAATGAAGATCTTATGATGGTGGAACCAGGATCCCACTGGGATGTCTTGTTGATAGAAATTAACTGACTTTCCTATCAACTGTTACATGTAAATGTCTGAACAAAAATAAAAAGTTGACATACTTTCTAGTAGCTTTTGGATCTGTTAGTCATTACCAACTTTCTATTTCTGAAAAACACATTAGAACTTGTTTCAGACTAAGTTTAAAGTTTGTTATCCCAGGAAGAAGATGAGGAGACAGCTGACATACAGCTGGGCGCAGCAGACCTAGCACAGCTACAGATGGTAGGGGAGGATGGTGAAATTGTCATCAATCCAGAGACTTGTCTTGCCTTGAATAGAGCCTACCAAGAAATTCTCCTTGACCTTCTCCGGAAAATAGAAATATCACTGCAGGAAAACAGGAATAAACAGGTACTGTGCAGTGGAATTGAAATTAAACAAAACTGAAATCTTTTATAGTAATTTTAAATGCTGCAATATTAGGTATTTATTCTATTCTTTTTCCAAGAAAATGCATAATCGAAATAAAACATTTTATGCTGACATGTTTCTGTTTATTTACAATGCAAGGGTCTTCCCTTGTTTATCATTTTAGATGTGTTTTGTAAGAACAAATTGGATTTACAGCTATGTTTGAAATAGCTAATATTATCATATCTTTTATAACGTTTCTACAATATCTCTAAATACAGTAATATCATAAGTTATAAAAGGTACCTATGATACATGTAGTGATGTATTTATCCTTAATTCAACAGATACAAGTATAATTGATCAAGTGATACAGTAAACTGATTTCCAAAAACATAGGAAGGGGGTTGAGGTGTTCAAGGTTCATTATTTGCTATACTTCTTTAATTTCACAAAAACGTAATTTTCAGTCAATTAAGATTTAAAACCAACTCCCTGTTATGTATTGAATCAGTCTATGCCAGTGATGTATGTGAAACATTTGAATTTTCATTATTTTATTAAACATTTATAAAAAAAGCAAAGAAATGTTTGAAATTCAATTTTAATTAAATAAAACACTATTATAGATTAACATTTAAGTCTACTATAGAGAAAAGAAAAGGGCTATATGACTTTTCCTAGGTAGCTAGGAATGATATCCATCTTGTAGTACACATTATCTAGACAACAAACTAAATAGTCATTTAAGTAAACTACATTTTAGCCTGCATGTATATAATTTGACCAGGGAGCTGTAAAATTAAATTATTGAGAGGTACAGGTATAAGGGATAAAGCCAACACTGTGGTTTATCTCCGGGCAGATCCAGGTATCTTTTACTCTTTGGCTGGATACTGAAGGTGTGTTGGGCGGTTGTGTCATACTTAGGAATAATCAATCTAGGGTAAAACAACCACATGATGAAGTTTAAACAGGATGAAACATAATGATGAGTGTAATAAATTGAAAAACTCAAACTTGGTAGCTGTTGTGGTCGTTTTACCCTGGATTGAATTATTTGGAAACATTACAAGTTCAGGAAAATGATGTGGAAGAAAGGGACATGCCTGATGCACACTACCGTCTATTACCAAGATTGCTAACCTGACCAACCCTTTTTAAATCTTTTTTTTTTGTCGACAATTTGCAAAGAACTATTCAAATCAACAATCCCTCTCTACATTTCTCTAGTAAAAACCTATTCAAAAAATAAGAAAAAATTCCATGCTGATCTACCCTACGTTTTCTAGCAAAAACACATGTACTCTTTAAGCTTTGCCACGTTTGTCCGGCAAAATATCCACTGGGTCAAGAGATAGTGTCTTACTAAAAGTTTGAAGGTTGGTCTATAATAGATCAGTGATGTAGCACTTGCTGGCATTTCTGCTGAAACACCTGTTAAGTTATTTTTTTAAACTCTTTGATCTTGATAACATGCACGTTTTCTAGAGTTTGGTGTGTCGAATCCAGTGAACTTTGTAATCTTTGTTTACACTACATGAATGTTTTAAATGTAATAGATGTTGGTTATTTTTTTTTAACATATTTAGCTAAATTTGAAATGGTTATAATTCCATAAGATACCTTGTAAAGTCTTATTTACAATATGAAAATAAAATATAAAAAAAATGGATAGAAATGAGCTCCTACTTCATGATGCTATCCTAATTTGAAACAAAATTTGAAGCTTTTGCACAATGGACCTATATCTATGTTTTATTACTGTTTTTCTCAGACTACACTGGAAGAGGAGCTAAGTGTGAAATCCGGTAGAAAGAACATATCCTCATCAGATTCGAATTCCGTAATCAAACCTCTCACCTGGTTTAGAGTGCCATTCTTCAGAGATGTTAACGGAAGGGTAATTTTAATTATTATTACTATGAAATTGACAAAGATGATACAAACAGGTGAAACATTTATTAGGAATAGATAACTTTAAATCAATTTTCTTTTTATGAAAGAGAATACAAACCTTTAACGTATGGTTGATACTATGCAAAATGAAAAATACAGCATTTCCTAAAAGTTAGTCACAGATTTTGATTCATATTATGAATGACATTATATTTGATATCTTACCAGCATGCACCACAGAATGAGGATGTAGAGTTGAAAAAGACACTCGGGGAAATTAGACAGGACCATTTATACCCTGTACTATGTGAGTAGTTTTCCTTGGAACCTCTTAATTCTCTTTTTCACTTTTTCACTTTCATTGTATCTTAAACATCTCAATAATAACAGCTCAACAAACATATCATACTAGAGCAGAATTATATTGAATTGTCAATGCAAAATAACTTGTTTACTTGATAAATAACTTTATGCCATTGTAGAAACTTTCAAATAATCATAAAAGAAGATCCAAAAAGAGTTTATTAATGTCCTACTGAAAACAGTATTACATATAATTCTGGCCAGAGTTAACTGATAATTTGTATGAAATATATTGATATTCTGTTATACTTGTTATATATAAAACTGAAATTTGGAATTCAATGGCAAATGTCAGTCTTTTAATGGCTTCAACACAAACCCAGTAATACTTGTACTGTTGTAATATTACAGGGTACCGGGGACAGAGAGATCTTCTGAAAGAGGCAGTTAAGAGAGAAGCACAAGAGAAACTCATCAGACCATTAATGAATAAGTGAGATATTTACTAGGTTGTATTTGTATTTACTTTTATATATTGAATTACTTTACTCACAAGACCGGGATAGCTCAGTCTGGAGATTGTTGGCATAGATAGCCCCAGATGAAGATCAGAAATGCATTATTTGATGCACCCTGCCCATGGCTGTTTGTTTTTCTCAGGAAGCTGAGAAACAGACTGGTCAATGCTGTCATGGTTGTGTCCTTAGGTAAGACACTTTACCCTTATTGCTCTGGATGGCATGTGATGGGCCTCCAGTATGTTGTTCAATGAAGTAGACACCAGCTATGTAATTAAGACCAAGCATCAATATGACTTGGCTGTGTTCAGGGTGATTAACCCTGCAAATAATCAGCAAACAAAGAAAGCCTTTACACACATAAACATTTGGTTTATCTGAATTTGATGTCAAGCTACGTCTGGATGTTTACTTTATATAGAGCACTGTCTTGATATCAAGTGACTCCTGTCAAAAAAGACTTAGGATAATTTAGTATAAACTATTGTCTTCATATCATCCAAATTGTGATTTGATCAAAATATTCTAAAATCAATCCAACAGTTTCAAATTGAAATAAGGTTAGACTTGTTCTTAACTTAGCAATACTAGAAAAAGACATACAGATAAATAATTATACATGTTTATGTGTTATGATAATTTGACCTGGTACACATGTATAATGTAAAAGTGTAATAAGATAAGCTGCTGCATGATGATTTGATTTTTGTTCTAATTATTCAAATTCAGATTTACAAAATATCAGAAATCTCCACTAATTTTGTAGTCAGTATAACAGATTGTATTCAGAGATGTGTTTGTTGTTAATGTGATTTCATCTTTTTTATTCAGGAAAGAAGTAGAAGCAGAAAAGCACTTGTTAGCAGATAAAAATAAAAAATCAAAGGTTAAGAAGGAGATTGAAGCAAACCTTAAGGACATTGATTTGCAGATCGAAGACATCAGGTAAAAAATGGCCTCTCATATAATTGTTCTTTACTGAGCTTTTTTGAAATTTCTAAGTTCAGCAAACAGTGTATATTGGAGTAGGCAAAATTTGACACTTTTAAGCTTGTTTAGCCCAATGGTATCAGATGATGGGCTGTTTAAATTGCACTGTCATGGTGTGCTATGCCTGACTGTCCATAGTTCATCCTTTAGGGTTTTGGTGATTGTTAACCTGTGATATACTTTTGTTTTTAGGAGTTCAGTCTTCCAACAAGAAGTCTATAGATATGACTTTTAAAGCTTCATTACAACACTTTAAATTAGCTGGCTACTTTGTTGGTAATTAATGAGCATATATCTGCAACAGGGAAATATTTGATGCGGGCAGCTTAGAAATCAAGACACTAAAGATTGACAAAATTCACACCTATTACACACAACTGAAAACTGTAGGTCGAGAGTGAGGTCACTTGGATCTAAAACATGTCAACAACTTGATGCAAGAATAAATTGGTTTTTGCTATTAACGCAATTTCATTTTTTTAAAATGTTTTTTTCTGATATCATTTAAACAGTAAAAAACACAAAATTAGCATTAACTTTCCTTTCTGGGCTACAACTTCAAAGTCATTCCACTCAACTCCACAAAACTTTCTGGGTATATTAGGTTAGTGCTGTAGTTGTGCCTTTTTTATTAAGGACATTTTATTATTGGTCTTTTTTCTGTTACCATTAATTTTTTTTTATTTTCACGGATAATAATATGCTCTATTCAAATATCAACAGTCAAACACACAGGATAACATCAAGATATAAACTCTTACTATAAGGTTGTTTTATAAAATGTTGAAGTTGAGGAGATGTGAGGAAATTTTGTTGATAATTGACGAAAGAAGATGTTACATTATGAACTTGCACTTTCACCGTATTAGATCTTCAATTGATAGTAGAGGTACATAATTGAGTGGTGTTACAAATTGTTATACCGGTATATATATCATACCAGGTATTTGGGTTTTACATCAACAGCTGGATGCAAGAGATAAGCAAAGCTTTGCAGCTCCTTGTTTGTATGTTATTTCCTTTTCTCAGACAATATTGAAGGGATCTTTCCTAATTTTCAAATCTTAGTTTCCTTTTAGCACTTACTATGCGAGTTGAATGACTGATGGATGGACATCTTAGATTTTTACTGTGCAAATGTGCTGTTTTACAAATAGCACAGAAAGGACTTTCTTTCTCTATCAGATATATAAGTTTACCCCTCCTAGTCCTGTATGGTTAGTTTCGAAGACTGATCGGGAAAACAAAATGGCCGAAAGGTAGCCATCTTTACTTTCAATAAGATAGTTTTAGTCTGTAATTGCTATATATCTGAGAAAATATTTGATGGGTTGTTTTTTTTTAATTTGGTTCATTTTGTAGCTTTCCGTTGCTTATAAGTGAGACAGCACAGGTACAGCTAATTGTTTCTCCTTAAAACAATTTTCTGTCATAAAATTAAGCATAGTTGTTTTATATTATAGATCCTACAACCTGGAAACACTGGTTAGCAAACTAAAAATAGAGGATATTGATTGGATGAAAATTTCAAATATTGATGTAAGTAAAATTTTAGCATGCTGGATATATTGTTGTGTAGTTTTTATTTCATTGCTTTTTACATTGATTATCATCATTATTTTCCAGTATCACTGCATTAATCCTTTTTAAACCTGATATGTAGCTTTCTCATGGTCTTCTGTGATACATCTAACATGTCAGTTTTTTAGACTGATCAGAAAAGGAAATGGACTGCAATCTAAGATTTTTTATAGTAAGAGATTAGTATCACACTTTTTCAGAGATACATTAAGGCACCTTTCTCAAATTAGATTGTTAACTTTCTCATGTATCACACTTTTTCAGAGATACATTAAGGCACCTTTCTCAAATTAGATTGTTAACTTTCTCATGTATCACACTTTTTCAGAGATACATTAAGGCACCTTTCTTAAATTAGATTGTTAACTTTCTCATGTATCACACTTTTTCAGAGATACATTAAGGCACCTTTCTCAAATTAGATTGTTAACTTTCTCATGACCTTTTATTGTCCATTTTTAATTTTGAGACTGATAAGAAAACAAGATGGGTGACATGAGCTCAGATTTCATACATTGATTCCTCTTAGTCTTTTAGTTTTTACCATATTCAGTTTTGGGATAGATTGAAGTTTGATTGGAATTTTTCATCTGTGTACTTTTTATTTTATAACTCATCTCAAGAAGATTGCCGACTGTCTGCCTTCTTTCATCATTACTCTTGCAAATTGTTATCACCATTTATTAGAAATAACTGGAGGGATCTTCTGAAAGGTCATTTGGTGAATGGTTAATAATGCAGTAATGATTGTCATGGTGTAAACAGATCAGTGCTATCACCCTGCACGTCTGATATATTTTTCAGTTTTTCGGGAAGCATGGTCCTGAAGACTGCAAGAAGTTCTGGGTGAATGTATTACAGCCAGAAATCAACAAGGATAAGTGGGTCCCAGAAGAAAGAGACCTTCTCCAGGAACTGGCCATTAAACATGAAATGAGCAACTGGGATATAATAGCAAAAGAGCTTGGGGTGAGGTGTCTTACATTGACTGTAATTGTTATGAATTTAAGTGTAGATCGCATGTAATGGAAATGAACAGTATAATGTTTTATTGCAGAAACTGAACTTTTGTTTACTGTAAACATTTCTGTTTACAATAGTTTTTGTTTTTTTTTTTTTACAGTTTTACCAAGAGTTTAAGTTAATAGGATGTATTTTTTCATTGATATTGTGAAATAGATTTTGTTTTTGTCTTTATTTCTAATTTTGAAGATATCACTGAAGAAATTCAGTACCTAAGATACTAGATTAAGACTTTCTGTTGGTGTTAAATAGACTGTGATTTTGCTTTCAGACGAATCGATCTGCTTACCAATGCTTGCAATATTACCAACAGAACCTGAATATAAACTTCAGCTCACGGTAAGTCTCCAACAACATATCAAAGAAGGTGACAAAATGTAATGTTTGTTGAAAGTTGAGACTAGCTGATGAGCAAATGTAGTGAAAAAGCTCATTTTGAAATTTTAAAATTCTAAGCAAATGTTAACATGAAACAATAATCGATCGGTCAATGACAAGCTGTAATTTATACAGCGTGCGTGATAGGTTGCTCTGACATAACTGTAATACTGGTGATTTGTTACAGAGAATGGACTGAGGAAGAAGATAATTTACTGAGGGAGGTTGTGGAGAATTGTAGAGTTGGCAATAGAATATCATGGAATCAGGGTAAGTTTGAATGGTGGTAATGAAAGATAGTTCACAGAATGTAATTTAACTTTAAAAGTTTTAAAGACATGATTGTGTAAGTAGTTAGTGGAGAATGTGATGCATATATATTGATTGAGCCATGTTGCTTTATTGTAAACGGCGGTTACCATTACTAGTAATCTGCACAATAATTTTGTGAAAAATTAATTTCTGTTGAAACACTGGTATATTGTGTATACTGGGGTGCTAAACTCAATAATGTGTGCTTCCTTGTCAAAAGAACATGTCAGATTTTTGATGTCTCAGAACTTATCCTCTATAGCTGACATTGGGATACCAATGTTTTAAGTCATCAGTTTATCAATGTTTTAGTTTGCTGCTGTCAATTTACTGTTGAGGCTGAATATTATATACCTTTCCCTCAAAGAAAGGGAATGAACGGAGACATTTGGTATAAGTAATGGTTCTACTTTGTATAAGTAATGGTTCTACTTTGTATTAGTAATGGTTCTACTTTGTATAAGTAATGGTTCTATTCCTTTTTTCAAATTTTCTATGTACATTACTCTTGGTTGGTATTATAGCCCATGTTATGTTGAGACTGACCAGAAAAATAGAATATTTTACATCTAATATCTAAAATCTTGTATGTTGATAACGCTAATTTGTAATTGTTCTTTGTTGAGAAGTTAATTTTGGAACTGATAGAAAAATGACTATTCAGACCATATTTGATCTTCACTGTGACCTTTTGTAATTGCTGGTTCTTGATTAGGGCTGGATAGATCAATCTCTACTATTTGGAGGATTCACTTAGTCCCGCGTTATGCATTGACCTTACTAAAACTGACAAGAAAAACAAAAATGACTGACAGGTGACCATCTTGGATTTGGCAGTTAACAATCTAATTGATATTTCTTAATAGAAGATTTTGTATAAACAAGAATAATATTAGGAAAGAAGAGAAAAGAAGGGAAAATATTAAACTTTTAAAGAACAAACTAATATCATACAAGTGTGTTAGCCAAGATCCCTCTTGGATCTCTTGTCATCTTGTCCACCAGAACCAGAATTTAAATTTTCAAAACATTTGAGATATGATGATATTATCATCAGAGGTTGACTGTTGTAGTGTGCTACTTCATTGAGGGAAGGAATTGGAAACAGTGTCAGCGGCGTTGGATACAGATAGATCCAACAACCAAGAGAGGTCGTTGGTCAGCAGAGGAGGACTTTGTGAGTGAAATCCAGTCATCATTATATTGGAACAAAATTAAAGAACTTGCATCTGATTCATTTGATGATGCAAATAATTCATAACTTAGTGTAATTTATAACTGTGAGGATCACTATTAAGTTAAATTCTCTTTATGTTGACTTAAATAGATGTGCTTCTCTTATTAGTTGTTACTCAGTGCAGTTCACCTCCAAGGGACAGCCAACTGGAAGCTGATCCAGGAAATGGTTCCTGGGCGATCTGCATACCAGTGTCGGGACCGGTACACCAACTGTCTCAACCCCGACCTGAAACCACCTACGACCTGGACCTATGAGGAGGATAAAGTATTGCTACAATTGGCCAGCAAATATACTGACAAAGGTAAATTACGGAGATCATGATGAAGTTAACATGTCAGTAATTATAGAGATGTCTTTCACCATAATCGCATTAAGTTAGGATTGGATATTGTTTACATGTATATACTGTATGGATGTTAATACTTGTGAGGGTTTTTATTTTGCTGTATTTGCGGTCATTACCAATACCGCGAAATTAAATACACAGCAAACATTTAACATTGTTTGAAAACCTAAGATTATGTATGATATGTACCTTGTTATATAAAACAAATGAGACAAAGTCACATGGTGACCTATTCTAATCACCTTCATCAGGCATCGTGTGTCTGTTAATAATTGAACATTTTTGACTTCTCAAAAACCCCTGATCTGATTTCAATGAAATTTTCAGAAACCTTCTGTGGTCTTAGATGAACCAAAATTGTGAAGTATACAGTTCCCAGTCCCCAGGGGCCTGAGGGGTGGGCCCAAAAGGGGTCAAATTTACTCAGATTCCAAAAATCTTCTTTTAAAGACCCATATATGGTAGAATCAAATAATATTCATGAATGGAAGCATCTTAAGGTGATTTACCAAAATTACCAAAATTAACAATTTCCCTGTGGGGAGGGGGTAAAGTTTACTTTAGTTAATATAGGAAAACTAGATTTTTGAGCATAATTTGTTTAATTTTCATTGGAAATATTTCAAACTTGGTTAGAAATATGAAGGATGACGGCTTGATGGTTGGCTCATTTTGATCCTGACTGACCCCTAGGGGCTGATGGGCAGGTCCAAAAGAGGTCAAATTGCATTTTTCAGCTTAAGGTTGGTTATTTCCCCACAGGAAATAGCTATATAAGAATTATCAGAATAGGATGACAGTTTTGATGGTATGCATGTATTGACACTGGCTATCCTTTAACCTTTATATTCAATATTGCTGGTCTCTGGTGAGCTTCAAGGTCGCTAGGCCTCTTGTATGAAAATCTCAGATATTATATGATCTATACCTTGTATGAAAATCTCAGATATTGTATGATATATACCTTGTATGAAAATCTCAGATATTATATGATATATACCTTGTATGAAAATCTCAGATATTGTATGATATATACCTTGTATGAAAATCTCAGATATTGTGTGATATATACCTTGTATGAAAATCTCAGATATGGTATGATATATACCTTGTATGAAAATCACAGGTATTGTATGATATACACCTTGTATGAAAATCTCAGATATTGATATATACCAGATTACATGGATAGCAGTGTAAACATGTGTGCGAAATTTAATCCTGGTAAACTACCCCAAACCGGGACAAATACAAAACATTAGCCCTGCGAAATGAAAAGTTGTCAAATTCATAATGCTTTGTGGGAATCTTACACATTGATGAAGATTTTAAGTAAAAATACATTATTTGAATTAAAAGTTTGGTATTGGTTGTCAAGTGGAATAAGATGTTGCAAAAATTGAAGAGGAGATTGGAGTTGTTGGTCAAATGATGAAAGATGTGACATTATATTAGATAGAGATTAGAATGATCTTTTAAAGATTAAGTTGAATGTTCACATGCAGGAAATTTGCAAAATTCACATGTGAAGAGTATCATATACATTTTATATTTGAATTTTTGTGTATGCTGGAACTTGTGTATGCTGGAATCCTGGTGGATTAAAAATTGCAGGTATTTATAATCAGAATAAATAATCTGTGCTTAAATGTTAATGGATTTCTTTTTTCAGAAAGTTCTGGTATATGTTGGACAAAAATTGCTTCAGAGATGGAAGGGCGGACTGACAATATGGTCTTAAACCGTTACAAGCGGCTCAAATCGTGGAAGATTCAGTCTGATTGGCTCAGTTCACAAAATGTAATCTCTTGATAACTATAAGACTATTTTCAATTACATGTGAATGTTGACTTAAACTATTGTTACATAATATTGATTTATATTTAATGATAAATCAGCTATTGTGGTTGATGTTTCCTCATTGTTAAGGAAATAATTTGTCACTGCATTTTAAAATCAAAAGGATTGACAAACCTTTTAACAAATAAATACTGGATATGCTTTAAAGATTTGCTTTTTTCATGACCTTTAATGCTCTTTCTTTCTGTAGGATGAAACAAAGGCCTATCTGGGCACCATGTTCAACAAAGGTACAGATGGAGCAAATACTCAGGTAATACTCTTACCTACTTACCAGCCAAGTATTGATCAGTAAGTGTGGTTAGTCCAGGTATTACTGTCTACTACTTACCAGCCAAGTATTGATCAGTAAGTGTGGTTAGTCCAGGTATTACTGTCTACTACTTACCAGCCAAGTATTGATCAGTAAGTGTGGTTAGTACAGGTATTACTGTCTACTACTTACCAGCCAAGTATTGATCAGTAAGTGTGGTTAGTCCAGGTATTACTGTTTGCTACTTACCAGCCAGTTATTGATCAGTAAGTGTGGTTAGTACAGGTATTACTGTCTACTACTTACCAGCCAAGTATTGATCAGTAAGTGTGGTTAGTCCAGGTATTACTGTTTGCTACTTACCAGCCAGTTATTGATCAGTAAGTGTGGTTAGTCCAGGTATTACTGTTTGCTACTTACCAGCCAAGTATTGATCAGTAAGTGTGGTTAGTCCAGGTATTACTGTTTACTACATACCAGCCAATTATTGATCAGTAAGTGTGGTTAGTCCACAAGATTAAAATATCAACACCATGAACACACATTTTGCTGTATTTTAGAATGTAACATCAACTCGTCTCTTCCTTACAGGAGCCAGCTGCCATTGCTATACCACATTCATGGACGTTTGCATCAGGGGTGCAGCGAGATGATTATCTCAAACAGATACGTGATAAACAGGCTGGTAAGATGAATCTTATCAGAACTCAGAAGTGAATTAAATTATAATCATTTAGTCTCAATTGATAAAATCTTAGTCAACCAGTGGAAAGTGGAGAAAGTAAATTGATGCCACTGAAAAACAAAGTAGAATTTCCTCTTCAAAATATCATATCTTACATGTCTTCATGATTCTTTAGCTGTGAAATAATAAAAAATGTTCACAGATGGTTTTAATTCATATTTGAAAATTTTTACTAATGAATGATTAAAAATAATTAAAAAAAAAAACTTTGAACAACTGAGTCCAGAATTCTTACCAAAATCCTTACTGTAATGTGAAATATTATGCTAAGCTGATGGAGGGATGGCAATGATGATGTGCAGTTTTCAGTGATTTTGTTTCTTGTGTGTACTTCGATGATTTCGTCTTGTGATATTGTGTTGTTAGTTGGTTACGGTATTAGCTTCTTTACAATAGTGTGGTTTATTGTCTTGTTTTTAAATGTGTGAAAAGTTGTTTTCAATCCGTATTTAATTATCATTTCACGTAAAAGTGTCAAGATAAGATAAGATACTACCATGACTGACCTATACAACACTATGGACCAAATATCATTTTATTAAATAAAAGACAGCAGCCAAGTGAATGAATACAAAAAAAAAAGAAAGAAAATAAATAAATAACCCAACTAATTGATATATGAATGATTTAATGAAAAGAAAAACGTATGACCAAAGAACTGACAAGATGATAAATTAAGGATTTAATGGAAGAAGATAAATAAAAAGCAATAAAAGAAGAAATGAAAGCGAGTATAAAACAGAAAATTGTCATGGTTTATAGAGACTAAATCATTGTAGAAAAAAAGGAAATTAGGTGTTTAACACTACAGGATGAGGAAGTGATATAGTAAGGTCAGGCACTGTTGTTAACATTAAAATTGTTCTGACACTACTCTGATACAGTAACGTCAGGCACTGTTGTTAACATTAAAATTGTTCTGACACTACGTTGATACAGTAACGTCAGGCACTGTTGTTAACATTAAAATTGTTCTGACACTACGTTGATACAGTAACGTCAGGCACTGTTGTTAACATTAAAATTGTTCTGACACTACGTTGATACAGTAACGTCAGGCACTGTTGTTGACATTAAAATTGTTCTGACACTACGTTGATACAGTAACGTCAGGCACTGTTGTTGACATTAAAATTGTTCTGACACTACGTTGATACAGTAACGTCAGGCACTGTTGTTAACATTAAAATTGTTCTGACACTACGTTGATACAGTAACGTCAGGCACTGTTGTTAACATTAAAATTGTTCTGACACTACGTTGATACAGTAACGTCAGGCACTGTTGTTGACATTAAAATTGTTCTGACACTACGTTGATACAGTAACGTCAGGCACTGTTGTTGACATTAAAATTGTTCTGACACTACGTTGATACAGTAACGTCAGGCACTGTTGTTGACATTAAAATTGTTCTGACACTACGTTGATACAGTAACGTCAGGCACTGTTGTTGACATTAAAATTGTTCTGACACAACGTTGATACAGTAACGTCAGGCACTGTTGTTGACATTAAAATTGTTCTGACACTACGTTGATACAGTAACGTCAGGCACTGTTGTTAACATTAAAATTGTTCTGACACTACGTTGATACAGTAACGTCAGGCACTGTTGTTAACATTAAAATTGTTCTGACACTACGTTGATACAGTAACGTCAGGCACTGTTGTTAACATTAAAATTGTTCTGACACTACGTTGATACAGTAACGTCAGGCACTGTTGTTGACATTAAAATTGTTCTGACACTACTCTGATACAGTAACGTCAGGCACTGTTGTTGACATTAAAATTGTTCTGACACTACGTTGATACAGTAACGTCAGGCACTGTTGTTGACATTAAAATTGTTCTGACACAACGTTGATACAGTAACGTCAGGCACTGTTGTTAACATTAAAATTGTTCTGACACTACGTTGATACAGTAACGTCAGGCACTGTTGTTAACATTAAAATTGTTCTGACACTACGTTGATACAGTAACGTCAGGCACTGTTGTTAACATTAAAATTGTTCTGACACTACGTTGATACAGTAACGTCAGGCACTGTTGTTAACATTAAAATTGTTCTGACACTACGTTGATACAGTAACGTCAGACACTGTTGTTGACATTAAAATTGTTCTGACACTATGTTGATACAGTAACGTCAGGCACTGTTGTTGACATTAAAATTGTTCTGACACAACGTTGATACAGTAACGTCAGGCACTGTTGTTGACATTAAAATTGTTCTGACACTACGTTGATACAGTAACGTCAGGCACTGTTGTTAACATTAAAATTGTTCTGACACTACGTTGATACAGTAACGTCAGGCACTGTTGTTAACATTAAAATTGTTCTGATACTACTTTGGGTGTAAAAAGATATGTTGTTAATTAATATTCCTTTGTGTTGAGATCATAGATGTACTTTGTATATAGATGTAGTAGGTAGATGCATTGTTGAATATGAACCCTGCCCCTTTTCGGGATTGGCACACTTGTCTTTGTAAAAGAGATTAATGGTCCCTTTCTGGGCCTTTCCTTGGCAGTATCCTTACTATTGCTGAGCTGGGGAATGAAATAACAAATTTGTAAGAAAAAATGATGTGTGGATGCATCTTAGGATTTTGGTGTTATATATTATATCTGTATCTTAAGCAGGTAGTTACAACCTATTAACCTTTGACCTTTGACTTGATTAGTCACAAAATGCTCATGAAGAAACTGGTAATTTATAGCATACTAGAGGTAGACTTGACCCTTGACCTGTATAATTATGAGGTTAGGAATTATATTATTATGTTTATTATATATAATATTATGCAAATTGTGGTTTTCCCTGACCTGATTATTTATAAATGCTAAAAATCACATAAATAAGGACATTTAGTTAAGAATTTTTTACATAAAGATTGTACATTTCAAAGAACACAACATCACTTACTGGTCTTGATAAAGGTGAATGGGGCAACTCTTGACAGATACATATTAAAGAAAGAGGGAGGTAATTTATTACCTCAGAGGCATTAAGGATTTGCCCTGCGGCTATGCTTTATTTCTAAACTCCAAACCGTTTTTTTCAACAGGTGACATTGTAGTGCCACGTCCCCCCCTGAGTCACAAGTTTAGCACACGTAATATGGAACAAGTATGGCAACGTAAACTTCAGCTTAAGAAACTTGTGGAGCACCATTTACAGAAGTCATTGAATAAGAGTGTCACCTCAAAGGACAAGATGCTCATTCCCTCCAAAACTGCAAAAGAATTTGTACCTTTTGTTAAATTGGTAGGTAATTCCTCATGTAACTTGACTCTCCAAATTTATTGTTGACTACTAAATTTTAAAAAAGATATGTGTACTTGGTGATATTTCTTTCAACTCTCCAGGTCTGGAGCAAACTATTTGACCTTTGATAGTTAATGACCAAAAGAAAGTTTGTACACTTGAATTAGTAAATGTTAATTTGTTATTTGTTATAGAATACAAATCTTTCTAAGAGATAATTCTTGTATTTTCATGGATTTCTTTTTAAGAACAAAAAGCAGCGGATAGAAATGGATGACCTTTTCAAGGGCAAAGATCCACATAATGTTAAAGTATCTGACATACTTGCCATTACAAACAAGTTCAAAGAACATGAAAATGCAGCAACACGAAAACGTGTACGTCGATTCACCAAGGACAGTCGCATTGACCGCAAAATGGCTGACATAATCCAGATGAAGAAGTATCCCTTAATGATAACGCGTAGTGGTGCAGGGCGCCCCAAAAAGTACAATATCTGTAAGTAAATTAATGCTGCTCCAATAAATGAACAATATATACACATATAACACTATAATATATACAGTATATATCTATATATTTAAAAAAAAAATGAAATCAACACAGTAGTTTTCTAACATTTGCAAGCCAAAGGGCCATCGTCAGGTAATTATTTTAATGGCTTTGTAAAGACATTTTGATGTAATCGATAGTTTACTCCCCTTTACAGCTTTAACTGAAATTAATTCTTTATCAAATAGAAATGGAACTTCAGGAATAATATTTTTTTTTTTATTTTGGGCAGAGTGCATCCCCACATATACATCTTAGTATTTTTAGGTAGACATTACTACAATAAAAACACATTCTGTACATAATATTATACATATACCTATCTCTTATGGTATAGCAAATGTTTTGAGCAAAAATATGACTTTTACAACCAAATTACATAGACTACTATAATAAATCATTATAAAAGGAAAGGTTTGACCAACTTTGTTCATTATGTCTCATTGTATACTAGGAAAGTTATGAACTGAATCCACAGATTTGTTTACATTTTATATCAACAGTCCATCCACATGGCAAAGTTTCAAGTACGTACACTCCAGAGAATGTTACACAGCTAACCTCTGTATCCACCACACTTATGTTGTCTGTAAGTATACAAAAGACATATCAGTGACATAAGCCTATGAGTGCTGTAACAGCAACAGTTGTGGACAAACACAATAAAATGCATTCTTTGCATCCACTTGAAATTTGACATGTTTTATTATAAATAGAATTTGGGGTATTGTAATTGTTTGTGACATGGTTCAATATCACATGTATATGGTAATTTGTACTGTTTCCTGGATAAGTACATCTGTAGTTAACTTACTTATGTGTTTATTTTTATACCATGTTGTAATCAATTCAAGAAACATATGTAAGGATGAATACCATTGATCCATTTTGAAGAATTTGAGAGGCAAAAGATTGTAAGATGATTTATTTGAGACCACTAAATTTGTATTCTCAAAAAAAAACCCACCACATATATATCAGATAAGTCAGCCTATCCTGTTGTTAAGTTCTTTCATATAATGATAATCAAAACTATGGTTTGGTCTTTTTCCAGGCTCTTGAAGTGAATGGCCATAAGGCTTTGGAAAATGCACAGAAAAAGCCAGAAAAAGAAATGACTGAATTGGAAAAGGAAGAATTCACAATGCTTAAGAAACTTTTCCCACCATTGCCAGCATCTATGAAAGGCCAGCTTGCATCTAATTCAAAATTAATGACCCTTCAGAAGGTTGGGTCTCCTGGAATAGTTCACTCAGGGCCAGTAACTAAGGGACAGTCTATAGCAAAAGCTGGTGAAATGTCAGTGGAAGCATTACAGGGACTTACCTTGTCAGTAACCAATAAAACTCCTGATTCCTCTAGTGGAAGGAGGGCATCTGGGTCAAAATCAGTGAAGGAAGGAACAGTAGCACAGAACAGTATACAGACATCAGTTTCTGTGACCAGCTCGGAAGGTCCAGCCACCAGCGGAAATACAACAATTTCTAGTCATAAAGTAAGAGTTTCAAAACCAACATCACAACCCACAGCCATACTGAAACCACAAAATGTAGCAAGTTCTGGTTTAAGGACTTCTGAGAGACAGATTCGTAAGTCAGTTTCGAGGACTATTCCACAGACAGTGTCACACACTCCTAGTCTAACTGTTAACACAAAGCCTAACAGTGTCAGTAGCCCTATATCTGCCGTACAGCCACCAAGAGTTGTTGTTGTACAGAAAAAGGGAACACCCACCCCAAGTAACATTCCACTTCTTCCCCCAGGTGTAAAGCACCTAGAGGCATTTGCTGGACTTCTTGTTCAGTTTCAACTCCTCACAGCTAGTGCAGGGTCATTGTATAATGGAAAGTACTATGCAAATGTCACTAAGCAGATAAGATCCTCACTAGCTTCAATACAAAGCAAGGAACAGGAAGAAGACGAAAAGCTTGTAAAAACTGTGCTGGATTCTTTTAAGAATAGATCCAGTGCTGCTGTGATGCGCGGAGCGAAACATATAAACAAGGATTCTTTCTCAAAGAGTGCAGAGGCAACTTCCACTAGAGACTTATTGAGTGATGTTAGAGTTACTCCAGAGTATCACTTGCTACAGAAACGATTTGAAAGTCTGTTTTCATGGCCTGCTTTGTTATCCACTATCCAAGGCAGTGAAAACAAACAGAATCAGGACGTTCATATGCATATCACTGGTAAAAAAGCAAGACAGATCCATCGCAAGAAAATGCAGGAAAAAAGGCCAGCAGAGCCAGAACCAGATGTTGACATGGGGGACTTGCTAGCAGGTGGAGAGGAGGCCTTTGCTGCAAAGATAAAAAAAGCACTTGTAAAGAAAGAAAAGAAAAGAAAAATGTAGGTACACAGATATTTAATCATCAATTATCAGTGTCTGTGTTTTTCATAATTATGTATGAGATTTGAGTCTTTGCTCAACAGACAAAAGATTGAATATGAAAAAGATAAACTACTCATTTTTTTGGGGGGAGTTGCAGATATTCAAGATATTATTGAAAGATTTTCACCTATGTAATGCCAATGTAATAATATGGTGTCTGTATTACAAATAACCTTTTATATTATTCTATATAAATATGGCATTCTCCTTATCCCTTTAGCAAATTTTGTGTCTGCTGCTCATTCATCAACTTGTCACAAGTTTCAATTTTATAAACAAGTGGGGTTATCAAATATTTGAAGCCATGTTGAACAATAAAAGCATGGATTATAAACCATTAAAACTACACTTATTGATAAGATATATGTATGATATATTCGAGACTGAGTACACTTAACGGCAGCAAGTACCCTCAAGGACAGCCTATAGGATATATATATGACTTAAGTACTAAACAGATAGTACTCTCAAGGACAGTCCACAAGATATATATGTGACTTAAATACTAGACAATGAGTACTCTTGAGGACAGCACACAGTGTATATGTATGACTTGAGTACTAGACAGAGAGTACCCTACAGGGCAACACACAGGATATATGTTTGCATTAGGTACTAGATAGAGACTACCCTAAAGGACAGCCACAAGACTTATGTATGATTTGGTACCAGAGAGCACATCCCTCCAGAACAATCTTTGTTACAAGTCTTTGAGTATCCTAAATCTTAGCCAATAGGTATATAACTTATAAATGATTGATAAGCTTTAAATTACCAGTCCCAAATTTTCTTTGAATCTTAATATTTTAGGTACCCTTGTACTAAAGGAAAATGCTTCTATCGTAATCAGCTTCTAGACAAGGAATACAGACAAAAAATCATTCGTAAAAGGATTGTTACCAAGCGCCTTAACAAAGAACTTCGTGAAAAAGGTAAGTGGCCAAGGACATGAACAAACAGCTATGTGAATGATGATGTTGGCCATTATACCTAATATGCCTATTGAAAAATCCCAAATCAACCTATTTTGGTTTTATGTTTGGTAATATTGGAAAAAATTCTTTTTGGCCTAAGATCAAATATAAGAAGTCTCTTGGTTTTCATGCAACTGCAGATACTGTTTTGAAATGTGTTGAAATTAACTGTGTGTAGCCTCATGATTGTTATGATTTTCCTTTGCTTAAAGGTATTTCTGTGAATGATATGAGTGCAAAAGCAAAACCACTGAAGAAAAGGTTGCATCCAACACGCCAAAGTTCTAGAATTGCTAAAAAGGCAAATGTTGTAATGCCAGACTCTTCACAAGCATTGGACTCAAAATCAGCTCCTAAAAGAGTCTGTAAAAGAAACATTGACATGGATGTTCTAGTGAAAGTGGAGAAACTTGACCAAGCAAACAATGACCAAAATCTTTCAGATGAGGAGTTAACGGGAAACAGTTTTCAAAATGATCTTGGTACCGGAAATGCTGTGATTCAAGATCAGAACCCAAGCGAAATTGTTGATCTCCATATTTCTGACCATGAAAGTGGTACTCATAAAGTGATAGAAGAAAAAGGGAAAGACATCAATCATGATGGTTTGATTCATTCTGATACAAGTTTGGAAGATGACAGTCACTTGCCACTAGAAGTACCAATAGAATTGGATGAGAGCACCCAAGGGGTTTACCATTCCAAAAGAAAATCTGTGATGTCTTCAGAGAAACAGCCTCTTGGACCAAGTGTTACTAAGAAAAGGAAAATACAGGCAACAGAAAATTCTGAAAGTAGCAGAACTGACGGGGGCAGTATAGATATATGTACAGATGAAAATGACCACACAACGTTAGAATCTGTTACACCTCTTCAGTTCAACTCTGCTGCCATTCATCATGGAGAAGTCTCACATGCAGCAGTGACATCAGAACCAATCAAATCTAGCTCTGCAAGTATTCATATAGGGACGGGACTGCAGCCATCCACAGTAACAGGGCCTTGCACTGTGTTCCCTGGGATGAGTATTCCATCACAGCAGGGAATAAATTCTGTCCAATCTGGTCCTGATGCTGCTGGCAGTCTTACACCTGGTGGTGGACTTAGAGTGATTGGTGGACCTTTAACAACAGGTTCTCCTTCCAATGTGGCAGTGCCATTTACACATCCTGGACTGGAAGGTCATTTGGTTTTTGCAATTCCTGTAGAACAACTTGCCCAAAGCACTGCCCAGATGACCTCTGCAGTTCCCAACCAAGAAGGTCAGTATTGTACAGTAGAAGATTCCTGCACTTTCTGTGCCTCATTTTGAAAAAAGAAAAAAGAATTCTGAGACTTGATGAATTATTATTAGTGCACCAGATACAAATAACTGTTCAAATTTTATTCTTTTGAAGCTCTTGGGGATTGATAAGGAATGCTTCAAATTCCCATTCTTCCTCTTTGACATGCTGTGAAAACATAAAATGAATAATCAATGAGATATAAAGTTGTAATATCTGGTGTACCATCAAGGAAATATCAAAATCATATCTGGTTTTCCAAGTATCTACATGTTTTTTTTTTTTTTTTATTTTTCTGACATTTTTGGGATAAATATATGAAATGCTTAGTTTTCTCTCTGAATAAAGACAGCATATGCTTTTTCATATTTGTTGAATAAAATGATCAGAATTATGATAATTGTAGACCACAATAATAAAAGTAAACTCCTGAAAGGATCTCTATATTTTTCTGCTTCAGAACTGGTCTTTTGCAGTTGCTTTTCTATGTTTGATTTGTTGGTATGATATGCTTTACATTACTTTAGAATCATTATCTAATAGACCAAATGGATAGGAAATATGTTCTTTTATTTTCCCACAGGTTTTTAAGCAGATTTCACACCGCTTTGCACAGTAAATTCCTGACATTTGTCTCTAGAGACTAGTTGAATATCAGTGTCACACCTGTGAGCTACAGAAACTGAATGATGTATATCCTTGTTGTTCTGATTTCAGGTGTTTTCCCAGTGACGCTTCTCATCAATACCAATCACTTAACTTCCTTCTGCTCTCCTGCAAGAAACAGTCAGTCATTACCAACCGACCAAATACCTGTCAGTCGAACAGATCATGTTTCAGCCAATCAGACAACAGAGAGTGTCACATCCAAGCAGACAACAGAGAGTGTCACATCCAATCAGACAACAGAGAGTGTCACCTCCAATCAGACAGCAGAGAGTGTCACATCCAAGCAGACGACAGAAGGTATCACATCCAATCAGACGACAGAAGGTATCACATCCAATCAGACGACAGAGACATCAAAAAGTGTCACATCCAATCAGACTATCAGAAGTTAATCAGACAGTTGAAAGCTTGTCATCCAATTAAAGGATTGAAAGTGACAAATTCAGTTATATTATTGAAAGATGATCAGCCAATCAGACAGCTTAATGGTAGACATCCAATTAGAAAGTGAAACTTTCCATGAAATATGTCATGCAATCAAAGGATAGAAAGTGACAAATTCAGTTATATTATTGAAAGCTGATCAGCCAATCAGACAGCTTAATGGTAGACATCCAATTAGAAAGTGAAACTTTCAATCAGATAATATATTCATTGAAGTGGTATACTGTCACTCTAACAATCTAATCAAACAGAAATTTGTGTGTTGATAAATGTGTCATCCAATCAACAAGTATTAAGTAGCGTTGATTAAAAAAAAAATAAAATGAAAGTCCTCACTTCTAATATACCAGTTTATGCATGCAGACAGTATGGTACAAAGACTTTATATTGAGCAAGCAGTCATTGTTTATCATGAACATGTTTCTGAGAAACAAAAAGATTAATTACAGATATTTCTGCATCGTTTTGTGTTGTTTTTATAAGTTTGTTACTAATATTGAAGACTTGAGTCAAACAGCAGTTTGAGACTTCAATACGATCTGTTTTTTTGTTGATAATAAAAAATGAATCCTGAACATGCTGTTGATTAGATTTTCACTGCTATTTACAGCCATTACTGCTTTGTTTTACACAACTGTGAAGCCCACAAACAAGTACACATTTTACCTCGCTTTGTGACAATGCCTTGTATTAATTAGGATGTAAAAAACTGATGTAGGTCAAGTTATTTAAGTGAATGTTTTAAAAAAAGTGTATGGTGAAGGGAAAACACATTGTTTGAAATGAAACAGCTCCTTTCATTGCAATAACTGAACTTACCAAGTGAAAAAAAAACTTTGCATACAAAATTGAAAATTTGATGAGACTAGAGGACACCGTATGATAAGCTTCGATGGGAAATGTCTTTTTCAGCCTGCTGGTAAAGTATCTTTCCTAACTAGAAATAACTATATTGCATATGCCGAAAATTTTCTTTGTCTTATATATATTTTATCCGATATTCCTTTTGTTAATTAATGAAAGATCCTTCATCTGTCAGATTTGATCTTCATGTAGACAATGAGCAATCCATCGGTAAAATGATGTAAAATATGTTTTATAATAAAAGTAGAGATAAGTAAACGTAATATATGTGATAAGAATACAGATCATTGTAAATGATAAAACATGGTGAGATATCGTGTATTAAGAGGACTATAGAAATTAGCGTCACGGAATTCTGAGTTTTGCACATTTATGAATATAAAGCTCGGTTATGAAAACCTGATAAACTAATATCGAAACGCAGAATTTTACGGTTAGAGAAGTCAAGTGGAGGAAGAAGAATTAAATCATCTTGAGGGTGCGCGAAACTACTGATTGTCATTAAAAATCATAATAGGCACACAAAACAGATGACGGATAAAAAATAAGCCAAATATAGGAACTCTGCCGACGAAAATTAATTTTGAAAGGATTTATCGTAAAGAAACAACAAAAAATGCAAGAAAAAAATGTATGTAGCAACACAACAATAGGAAACGTGTGAAACTTATTAAGGAAGCAAAACGGAAGATATATTATATGTAGTTTGAAGTATTTATAAGAAAATATCTTACTCCCACCATTGTATATGTGATCGTCTTAGTACACCCTCTATGCTGTAATATGTTTTTGATACTGTGGATATTCAGATATATCATTCATTTATTTTTACACGTATTTCTCATCGGAGAATGACATTATGAAGCACCATACTCTACCAGATAATATTCCTATTCTTCTTTTACATGTTCAAGTATATCTGATTTCATCAGTCTTTTGTTCTTATTTTGCCCTCGTTTTTAAATTTGAATACATAATTTAAGTTGATTTTTTTACTAAGGATTGACATGACTTCTTGAGGAAATTGGTTCGTCATGGATAGTGATCCGACAAATGATTTGATGCCTGTGTTATACAGGACAAAACAAGCAACCGTAACATTCACAACAGCAACACACAATCATTTCATAATACTTTTTCCGATGAAGCAATTAAAGTGCTAGAACACAAGGATATCAATCACCCTTACAACCAGGTAGAAGGGCAAGGACAAGGTGAAGTTCCAGTGCCTGGATTGGTTGTCAATATCAACATTACTAAACTACATTTATTGTACAGCATTTGTTTGTTTTCCAATTATTTATATATATAAGAATTTTAAAAAAATTGTGTTAAACATCGAACACGGATCCCGTTGAATTAAAAATGTAAAGTACAAATTATTTGGTACATCATTTAGCTTGCGCAAACTCCATCACAGCAGAATGATAAAAAGCTGATTATCCTAGCGATATTAAAACATAATACTACACATTTACATTAAATTTAATTTACGCAAGTTGGTTGTTTGTTTGGAATGTACAATATTAAAAATAAACTTTAAAATTTCCAGAACTTCAATAAGAGCAATCAATGTACGGTGTTGGTAAATCACCGATATGGGCACACAAAGTCTGTTCTTGGTAAATCACCGATATGGGCACACAAGTCTGTTCTTGGTAAATCACCGATATGGGCACACAGAGTCTGTTCTTGGTAAATCACCGATATGGGCACACAAAGTCTGTTCTTGGTATACCTCCAACAAAAACACACAAAGTCTATTCTTGGTATGTATATCCAACAAAAACACACAAAGTCTATTCTTGATATATCTCCGACAAAAACACACAAAGTCTATTCTTGATATATCTCTAACAAAAACACACAAAGTCTGTTCTTGGTATATCTCCAACAAAAACTCACAAAGTCTGTTCTTGGTATATCTCCAACAAAAACACACAAAGTCTGTTCTTGGTATGTCTCCAACAAAAACTCTCAAACTCTGTTCTTGATATATCTCCAACAAAAGCTCTAATAAAGTACTCAAAGTCTGCTGTCGGTAAACCTCTAATAAAGTACCTAACGTCTGCTGCTGGTTTACCTCTAATAAAGTACTTAAAGTCTGCTGTTGATAAGTCTTTAATAAAGTACTCAAAGTCTGCTGCTGGTTTACCTCTAATAAAGTACTCAAAGTCTGATGTTGGTAAGTCTCTAATAAAGTACTCAAAGTCTGCTGCTGGTTTACCTCTAATAAAGTACTCAAAGTCTGCTGCTGGTTTACCTCTAATAAAGTACTCAAAGTCTGCTGTTGGTTTACCTCTAATAAAGTACTCAAAGTCTGCTGTTGGTTTACCTCTAATAAAGTACTCAAAGTCTGCTGTTGGTTTAACTTTAATAAAGTACTCAAAGTCTGCTGTTGGTTTAACTCTAATAAAGTACTCAAAGTCTGCTGCTGGTTTACCTCTAATAAAGTACTCAAAGTCTGCTGTTGGTAAGTCTCTAATAAAGTACTCAAAGTCTGCTGTTGGTTTAACTCTAATAAAGTACTCAAAGTCTGCTGCTGGTTTACCTCTAATAAAGTACTCAAAGTCTGCTGCTGGTTTACCTCTAATAAAGTACTCAAAGTCTGCTGCTGGTTTACCTCTAATAAAGTACTCAAAGTCTGCTGCTGGTTTACCTCTAATAAAGTACTCAAAGTCTGCTGCTGGTTTACCTCTAATAAAGTACTCAAAGTCTGCTGCTGGTTTACCTCTAATAAAGTACTCAAAGTCTGCTGTTGGTAAGTCTCTAATAAAGTACTCAAAGTCTGCTGTTGGTTTAACTTTAATAAAGTACTCAAAGTCTGCTGCTGGTTTACCTCTAATAAAGTACTCAAAGTCTGATGTTGGTAAGTCTCTAATAAAGTACTCAAAGTCTGATGTTGGTAAGTCTCTAATAAAGTACTCAAAGTCTGCTGCTGGTTTACCTCTAATAAAGTACTCAAAGTCTGCTGCTGGTTTACCTCTAATAAAGTACTCAAAGTCTGCTGCTGGTTTACCTCTAATAAAGTACTCAAAGTCTGCTGCTGGTTTACCTCTAATAAAGTACTCAAAGTCTGCTGTTGGTTTACCTCTAATAAAGTACTCAAAGTCTGCTGCTGGTTTACCTCTAATAAAGTACTCAAAGTCTGCTGTTGGTAAGTCTCTAATAAAGTACTCAAAGTCTGCTGTTGGTAAGTCTCTAATAAAATACTTAAAGTCTGCTGTTGGTAAGTCTCTAATAAAGTACTTAAAGTCTGCTGCTGGTTTACCTCTAATAAAGTACTCAAAGTCTGCTGTTGGTTTACCTCTAATAAAGTACTCAAAGTCTGCTGTTGATAAGTCTCTAATAAAGTACTCAAAGTCTGCTGCTGGTTTACCTCTAATAAAGTACTCAAAGTCTGCTGCTGGTTTACCTCTAATAAAGTACTCAAAGTCTGCTGCTGGTTTACCTCTAATAAAGTACTCAAAGTCTGCTGCTGGTTTACCTCTAATAAAGTACTCAAAGTCTGCTGCTGGTTTACCTCTAATAAAGTACTTAAAGTCTGCTGTTGGTAAGTCTCTAATAAAGTACTCAAAGTCTGCTGTTGGTAAGTCTCTAATAAAATACTTAAAGTCTGCTGTTGGTTTAACTCTAATAAAGTACTCAAAGTCTGCTGCTGGTTTACCTCTAATAAAGTACTCAAAGTCTGCTGCTGGTTTACCTCTAATAAAGTACTCAAAGTCTGATGTTGGTAAGTCTCTAATAAAGTACTCAAAGTCTGCTGCTGGTTTACCTCTAATAAAGTACTCAAAGTCTGCTGTTGGTTTACCTCTAATAAAGTACTCAAAGTCTGCTGCTGGTTTACCTCTAATAAAGTACTCAAAGTCTGCTGCTGGTTTACCTCTAATAAAGTACTCAAAGTCTGCTGCTGGTTTACCTCTGATAAAGTACTCAAAGTCTGATGTTGGTAAGTCTCTAATAAAGTACTCAAAGTCTGATGTTGGTAAGTCTCTAATAAAGTACTCAAAGTCTGCTGCTGGTTTACCTCTAATAAAGTACTCAAAGTCTGCTGTTGGTAAGTCTCTAATAAAGTACTCAAAGTCTGCTGTTGGTAAGTCTCTAATAAAGTACTCAAAGTCTGCTGCTGGTTTACCTCTAATAAAGTACTCAAAGTCTGCTGCTGGTTTACCTCTAATAAAGTACTCAAAGTCTGCTGCTGGTTTACCTCTAATAAAGTACTCAAAGTCTGCTGCTGGTTTACCTCTAATAAAGTACTCAAAGTCTGCTGCTGGTTTACCTCTAATAAAGTACTCAAAGTCTGATGTTGGTAAGTCTCTAATAAAGTACTCAAAGTCTGATGTTGGTAAGTCTCTAATAAAGTACTCAAAGTCTGATGTTGGTAAGTCTCTAATAAAGTATTCAATGTCTGCTGCTGGTTTACCTCTAATAAAGTACTCAAAGTCTGCTGCTGGTAACCTCTGTCACCTGATAATGTTGGGAGGAAACTGCAACGCAAGAAGAACAATGAAAACATTCCTTTAAAAGCTCTGCGACGTGCCTCCTGAATTTCTTTCCCACAGCTACATAGATCAAAATATTGATACTC